TTGATGTTCCTCATGCAGATGTGGCGAGACGGCTACAATATCCTCCCCAGCTTCAAGCACCATTTGCCATGGGCCCGAAGCAGCAACCCCAAATCAAAACAGAAACAACACAAACTCAAAATCCTCAAAGTTCTCGACCATGGATGCATCATACGCACAGGGCTCCGTTATCCGGTCAATGGAAATTGGAGGAAAGCCGGTTGGCTGAGCCTCTAAATCCCGTCTCAAAGAATCGGCCTGGAACTGCTGGTTCTCAGCAACAAATCATGTATGGCTTTGACAAAGAGACCGGAATATCATTTCCAGAATTCAATCTGCCGCGCCCCGGGCAAGACCAGACTCATCAACCTCCGCAGCAGCCTATTCCAAACCCAATGGCACCGCCTCCTCCCCGCCAGCGTTCTGATGTACCGCCATCCTCAGCACAGAGATGGCCTGAGCTGTTCGCCTATCCCCCAGATCAGCGTCCTGGACCAAACTTTCGCAATAGTGAACAGCCATACCACCCACCCTATCAAAAATCCCTTGCTCGTGATGACTTGGCGATGCCCAGAGCCCAAGCCGGTGAGTTTGCCATCTCTGGAGTTGTTCCTCCCGACGAAGACCGCGGTCGGAAGAGCAGAAACTCTGGCCTGTTCAAGGATTTGGGCCAACGAATCGCCAGAGCCGCATCCAGGGAGCGTCGAAGCTCCATGGACCAGCGACCAGCAACTAATGATCTCCGTGGAGACGGAGCATCAGATTCGAGCATTGGCACCGGTGAACTGCCGGAGCAAGGCAGGCGGCGACCAAGCTTTCTATTTGGCCGTTCTGGTCGCGCATCTACAGACCCCGACCCAAGACAACATGTTTCGACCGGACAAGAACAATCATTCCAGGAGGAGCAGCCTCCTAGTACTCCACCTCCAGGGGGTAAGAGGCGGTCATTGCTTGCGGGAGGCCTTGGTGGCAAGCTAGGCCCAAGCAGATTGTCAAAGTCACCCTCATCCAACCTGGAGCAAGTCCGGGTTGCCAGCCCGACTACCCAACCAACCGAAGGCCTCAGCGACACCACCCCGCAGAAGAGGAGGTTTTCCGGAATATCAAAGGTTTCAAACTTGCTTAGTCGGAACAAACATGAGAGCAAGCCGAGTCTTTCTCAGCTGCAGCCAGAGGTCGAGTCTCTAGAACCTCCCGTACCGGCATTCAAACTTTTGGGGCGGCCCAGCACCGCCAATTCTGAGGCTAGTTCCCAAGAGCGCAGGGCTGATGAGAGTCCCGATCGCCGTGGACGACGACCATCCATGTCCGATTTGATATCGGGGATTCTGGGGAAGCGATCAGCGTCCAAGACTGGGGAGCCTGTTGAGGCTCTGGATTCGCAAGTTTTATCCCACCATCAAATGAGCATGCAGCCTCAAAGTGCACACATCCAAGAGCACAGAATAGCGCAGCCCGAGCAGCATGAACGACGATATCCACACAGCCCTGATCAGGTCAACATGCCGCCTCGGCACGTGGACGCACCGGGCCTCCTTAAGGGCGACGACTCCCAGACAGAAGTCTTGCCTGCTGGAAATCAAGCTCATATACAGCCTCAATCTATGGGGAGTCCCCAATCCACACCATTTCAACAGCGGCAATTGCCTGCTGCTGACCAGTCTAAGCCGCGGCCGCCAGGCATGGGCAACGGCCAGCCACAAGGAGTTTCTGGAAGCGACCAACCCCAACGGCACTACTCTCCTGCTGCTGCTGGGGGGCCATCTCCTGTGCCAACCCAGCATCATGGTTCTCAACAATCTATGGGTTTCATGGGGCAAAGTAACGGGATGCAGCCTCCTGCTATGAACATTGATCCATCAATTCGATTTGTGAGGCCGTCTCAACCGTCTCCTTTAGGCCTGGTCCCTCGAAATTTCCGCGAGCAGACCGAGCCGGATTCTGCTTCTGCTGTGCAGTCTGGCCAACGGATTGATGCAGAAAATCCTATTGAGCGACGGGAAGAACCGCGGGTGTCAAGCCCTGTTGCCCGATCAACCGAACAGCAGCAAGCTGTTTCTGGAGAATCGCACCCTCAACCTGATCGTGAAGCCCACAGTCCCGGCCCTGCTGATGGGGAGATCATTCGAATATCTACCGTCTCCCCTGACCTTTCCACGACGTCGGACTGGAAGGCTAAGGAACATCACGAAGATGCGCATCGCAATGAAGCTCGCAATGATTCTATCGATCTTTCCGATGAGCGTGATTTCACTGTTGTAAGGCAAAGCAAGCAACCAGCTTTGAAAGAGATGTCGCAACGTGAGCCGCCAAAGGGCACCGATCTTGTTGACAAAACTGTACCTGTGGCGCCCATCGTACAGCAAACCTTGGCGTCGCCGCAATCTAGCCCTCAACAGTCGCAGACTGCTAGAGAGCCAATGATCTCCCCAGGGGAATCGCAAAAACTCCATGTTTTGCAAGGTCCTGCTAAGGAAAATCGTCAGTCTCCACGACAAGACACGAGGGCCGAACAGCTCCACGGCCTTGGGCTTCAGATGCCGCATCCAGGACAACAGGCCGGACCACAGTATTCCCAGTACCCCGTCCACGCTCAGCAATTACAGCAGATACAACCGGGCCAACAGCAGCCCCAGCGGATGCAGCAGCCATACTCGGGAATGCCACCGCAAGCTGGTGGACCACCGGGTGCTCCAGGTCCTGCAACACAATTTGGGATGCCGAATCATCAATACCCCATCCAACAAGACCCTAGGTTCCATTCTCCGCAGACTCAGCAGACGAAAGTTCCACAAAAGGAAAGTCCAGGATCGAGATGGAAAGGCCTGACGAAGCGTATGTCAGAGCAAATGTCGCAGCTCGGACACCACGACACTACCCAGCAGAAACCAGAGAAAAGCGAGAGATCCACCGGAAACAAGCTACTGGGGGCCTTCAAGAGGAGCTCGAAGCAAAGTGATACTCCGCAGCCCGGACCAATTCATGGGGGCGCGACAAATCACCCAACGGGTCAATGGCAAAATGCACAGCATCAACCATATCAACTGTACTGGGGCCAACAAGGCATTGAAAATCTCAAACAGCCACGCCAGCACCAACCCTTGGACCCAAGTAGCATTCCCATGCCTCCTAGCCAGGGGCATAGTTTTTACGCACCTGCACCAGTGGCTGTGACACCTGGTCACCAAGCGCCACCTGAGAATCCGACTCAACAAGCTCGGCCGCAACCTGAGTCTGAACCTCAATACGATTATGTACCTATTCCACAGGGTTATGCACCGGTTCATGGGGAGGGTATGGTCCTCCCCGCAGCCTATAACATGGGGCGACAGTTCCCTCAGATGAATTTGATACAGATGCAGCAACACTACGGGCAACACAGTCCTCGCATGCCACACCAGCCGCAGTCCCGTCAACAACCGAAACAGGCGGCTTCACCTCTTGCCTCTCAATATTCGTCTCCTCGCCGAGATTCAGAGTCTTCTTCTGGGATAGTTCAGTCGCCCTCCGCTCCCTCTGTGCCCTCTCCTGATGGGCAACCAAGAAGCGTGAGGTTGGATAATTTGAGGAGTAACACTGCTAGCATCACGCCACCAGTACACTTGAGAGATTCACCAGCAGTAACAGCACCACAGAGCCAGGAGGGAGATCTGCCTCAACCGCAACCGCAACGTAGTAGCACACGTTTTAGTACGCCACTTATCAACAGTAACATGCCCAGCAATTCACCGTCGGATACCGGTTCAGTATCACAGCAGTCCAAGTCCCCCACCCCACAAGCCACAACAGAGTCAGCAATACGAGTTGAGCCTACCCCCGAGACGGAGGACAATTATACGACTTGTCCTGCCAATAACAATGACCTCGGAGTTGACATAGCCAAGGCCAAGCAGCATCATGACGATGATATATACGATGCCACACCAAGACTGGCCAAAGCTGAAAACGGTGAAGAATCCAAAGTTCACGAAATACGCCGAAAGGTATCTGAAGACAGTCTGTCAGAGGAGTCTAAAAGCAAGGAAGTCCCAAAGACGACCACTCGATTCACGGCCGAGTTGGAAGATACTGCGGGCGCTCACCAGCGTCGAGTCCGACTGGCATCTCAGGAAGAAAAGATTTGGCTCGACCCCCAGGACGATCCTAATTACCTGCCGCAAATGAGCGCAACGAGCTACCCGGGTCAAGAATGGAATCCGTATGGTGAGCCTGACTTTCTCGAGGACTAGTGCCGAGGAGGAGGGGGTCTACTTGTCTGTATGGGGATGGGGGAGATGGAGACATCTATGTGTAAATACGACGATGTGATTTGAGATGACAAATTGCTCATACTGTACTGCCTCTTGTTGCATATTCTATTCTGGTACAAATAGTTTATTTAGCGTAGCGACGACTATACCAAATTGGAGATTTATATTCAAGCGATCTGAAGTAAATTGCGTCTTTGGTTTAGTGCTAGGCAGTACCTGGGGTTGGCTTGTGAAGACGAGCCGGCAAGAAGCGGGATCGGCAAGTTTGCCATGCCGGGTGTTCTCGCACATGCTGACAACTCGGCCTGTTGGTGAGGCAGTGCTTGCTGTAGGATCAGACGCGATGGACATGATAAGGATGGCATGGTGCAACAATAGACGTGGAACTTGCATGGCGTGAAGGATTGAGGGAATTACATTGTGTATCTGGTGATGACATCGAATTACATCAGCTTGAGACGTTCCATTCGATATCCTACCACTCAAGCCCGTACCTTGGCGATATTCCATCAAGTGTGGTTACACACGCAGTGGCGATGGTTGCAAAAGGAATATCTGTGTCTCGATATCACCAGCACAAACCCACTCGTGTTGCGTACCTTGTCTCACATTCCAATACGGGCAGTGACTGAGTAATGTGCGGATTTTCATCAATCTCAAAATCTATATATACGGCCGTCGGCCCTCATGAGTCCTCGAAAATCAATCCAGACTCAACCCCTTTGAAATATACTTTCTCACCATATACCACAATTTCAAACAACCGCAACAATGGTTTCGTTCAAAGTCATCCTGTCTTCTATTGCCCTTTCTTCGGCGGTACTAGCAGTGCCGCAGACAAACTACACTGGCCTCTGCTACACCGACATCACCAACATCGACGATAACATCAAGGAGCTGACCGAAAAGGTTCAAGACTTTAATGGCGGTCTCTTCTCGGCCGCGCAACAGATCCCGCTCGCTCTGGAAGCAACTGTGGCTACGGCCAGCGCAGGGCTGCACGCTGCCTTTCTCGATAGTCCTCTCCTGGTCGATGATTTGCTGCGTCTTGCTGACCATGTGAATAAGACGCTGGCGGTGGACAGTCCCCTCGCTATGCAGGCTTTGGTTTCAAAGGAGTCGGTGTACGAGCAGATTGGGTTGAAGGGCCCCATTCATCTGTGGTTGAAGGCGTACCTGATTCTATTTCAGCAATTTGCGAAGAACATTCTCGATCGCGTGCCTGCTGGCGCTCCAAACGACCGGTCCGAGGTTTTAAACAGTGATTTGCAGATCATTATGGATGCGGTGCGGAAGGCCATGAAGGTATATGAATAGGGGGTGGTTGAGATTTGGCAGCGGGGGACGCTGAATCCTACAGAACTAGAGGACGAGACATTACAGGCTCGAGTAGCTGGGTATATTTTTCTATTTTCTGCTTTTTTTATTTGTAAAATCACAAAAAAAATCCGAGTATACAAGATGTAGATACGTATTTAGAATATGATTTAGATTTGTTATTACATTACGTATTTAGGATGTGACTCCGTATAGATGACCACTTTGGCGGTTTATTTTGGTACAAACTCAGAATGTTATTGAGAACAGGAAGGGAAGGATGTCTTTTATTTTACCGCAGGCCGTACAGGTCAGATGGACAGGGATGTTGAGCAACCTGCTCTGTCAAACAGGCATCAAGGTAGGATATCGAAAGAGCGATTATTGCCTGCGCCGGGCACCCCACAAAAAAGCTGGAGTATAAGACCAGCCAAAAAGAGCCAAAAGTCAATGTTTCTCAAGGCATCCACCCCCATTGCTTGTCATGATTGGTGGTGCGGAGGGTGAGTACGAAAGGAGACACACTCCCGAAGCCAGAAGCTCCGTAGTAACCATGCAAATATGCAAACACTAGCAAGGCGAAGAAGGTGTGGGTGCGCGTTCCGGTAGACATGTTGGAAGAGAGTGCTGCAATGCCAAGCGGAAGACTACCTAGCGCCACAGTACTAACATTGAACCCAAGGGAAAAACAGAGAGGCCTGCACAAGGACCAAGGATCGGTTTAAGAAAAGAGGAAATTTCTTGCTCATGATAAAGACGAATTATTTGCTATAAAAAAAGTAATAAATATACATAGTACTAAGATACCGTCCCTCGCTCTTTCTTAAGTCGGATGGAGTGGCTTTTGTAATTGGTCATGTCATGTGGCTTGTTGTTGTATAAACCAGAGACCTCTTTCCTCTTTTGGTCTAAACGCCAAGTTCCAACACGAACAGATTGGCGCACCATTTGGCAACAGATTTGGCAAAGCGCACTCTCTGCCAATTCCGCACGAGCTCGAAAAGGCAGTTGTCGACAGTGGCTACTAGCTAATCAAGTAGAAAGTTTTGGTTTACAGCGACAGGTGTACGTAGCCATTTCTTTCGCCATCGGTCGTTGAAATTAGTCTGATAACCTTACATGTAGTCAACTCTCAGTTTGTTGCTGCTTGGGGACCTGCCTTTTGCAGGCTAGCCAACACCTACTGCATCGGGAAATCCGAGAGATCAACAGCTACCTCTTTGAGTAGGCCAACGAGTCTTGGTACACCCTGAACAGGGAGCAGCGAGACTAGCAGCGGTGGATTGAACTCGCTAAACAAGTGCACCGGTCCTTTATTCTATGTGCCAATCGGGGATTGGAGCCCTCGTCTGCAGTATTCGCCGTCGTTGGGGGTTGAGCAACATCCTAGCTCATCGGGTTGAATTAAAGTTATTACAACCTTAATAGTCTCAGCGACAAGAATACTGCCATGATCCGGTCATGTCGACCCCCCGCTACTCCGTACGTCCGATGGCAGCATCAACAAATATATGCGGTAAGACGCCCCAGCGCAACCGTGTGTAGTGTTAATTGTCTCGGTATTGGCCGATATTGGCCGATATTGAGACTGCGCCGCCCTCAGCAGGCCCAGAAGAGGCAGGAGCCGGTGCTTGAGGCACGCTTCGAAAGCTGGACGGTCTATTTCGTCAGAAATGATAAGAACCTAAATGGACTCTGCCGTGCGAAAGACCCGTGCCAAGGGTCTGTTTGTTGGAATACCTGCCTTATTCGGTTTTATATTCAAATCGACATGGAGGCCAAGGTCGCTGTCTCCCAGCTCACACGGGCTATAAAGACTGATGTCGTTCTTTGCGAAATATCGTCAGTCTTGCTACTCCATCAGCAAAATCGCCTTCATACTTATTTAGTCAGCTATTTTCTGGCATTGGAATCATGTTGTTCAAGTCCATTATTGCCGCTGTGTCGGCCTTTGACAGCCTGTCTGCTGCCGCTCCTGCAAATATCCGCGCCTCCAATGTTATTGAAGGAAGCTACATCGTCAAGCTCAAGGACAATGTCGCTACCGACAAGCACCTTTCATGGGTCAGCGGTATTCACGCCAGGCGCAACGTCAATAACGACGTTGCTGGCGTCGAGCGCGAGTATAACAGCCCAGCGTTTCATGGCTACGCCGGCCAGTTTGATCAGCAGACAATAGTCGAAATCGAGAGCAGTCCCGAGGTATGTTAGCAGTCATGTATCCATGCAAGTCGCAGCGAGTGCCAACTTCCGGATCCTATAGGTTGCCTACGTTGAGGCGGATCAAATCTGGACTCTTGAGGAGAGTATGGAAAAGAGAGACCTCACAACTCAGGAGTCCGCGCCCTGGGGCCTGGCAGCCGTCTCTCACCGCCAGCCAAATGCTACTGGATATATCTACGACACTGCAGCTGGCCAAGGCACCTTTGGCTACGTTATGGACACCGGCATACGAGCGACGCATCGGGAGTTTCAGGGCCGGGCGTCAACCGGCTGGACCGGCTGGCCTGGTGACGACAGGGACATCTCTGGCCATGGAACTCACGTTGCCGGTACAGTTGGCGGCGTGACCTTCGGTGTCGCCAAGAAGGCCACTATCATTGCCGTCAAGGTTTTCCATGGCACAACAACATCCACCAGTATTATTATGGGTGGGTTCGACTGGGCTGTCAATGACATTGTTTCAAAGGGCCGTCAGGACAAGTCTGTTATCAACCAGTCGCTTGGTGGCCCATTCTCCAGGGCTTGGAACGACGCCATCGAGGCTGCCTTCACCCGGGGCGTTCTGAGCGTTATTGCTGCTGGCAACGCCCAGCGTGACGCCTCCGAAGTCTCGCCTGCTTCTGCACCTAATGCTGTTACCGTCGGTGCCGTGGACAGGAACTGGAGAATCGTCACGAACTGGCCATTGGGCCAAGGCTCCAACTACGGCCCGGTCCTGGATATTTTCGCCCCAGGCGACGGGATCGAATCAGCGGAACCAAACAGCGATTCCCAGACCGGGCTCCGGTCTGGCACCTCAATGGCCTCGCCCCATGTTGCCGGCCTGGCTCTCTACGCCATGTCTGTGGACGGCGTCCGAGGCGCCCAGGCTGTCACCGACCATCTCATCAAGAACTCGGGCAAGGGTGTCGTTACAGGACCTCTGCGCGGTTCTCCTAATCGCTTTGCAAATAACGGCAATCCCAGCCAATAAGTCTATTCTGCCAAAGTGTCCCATATAGGTAGATGATGCTGTGCAAGTATCTGGAAACTGTTAAAACCAGAAGTGTGGCTCAAGTTACGAATCAAGATTACAAGATGACATATTCAGCGCTCCAAAGTACATTGTTCCCCTATTCGATGGGTCTCTGCTCAGACGCATTTGTTAGTGGTCTGTTGATCAATGATGGAAATAACAGCGCCAACATTTTTCACTTTGAAGATTTATAGCATAGAAAGTTTCACCCACTCAATATAAAACTGAAGAATTTTCCTCCGCCAGATTTTGCCATGGTTACTCCCTATTTCGTGCTGTGCTTGTCAAGGATGGAGTCGAGACAGTATTCGTTTCCTTTTTTGAAGCTCCTCCGTAGACCAGCAAAAGGAGAACATGATGCTTGTTTCTGGTGCTTTGATGTCATGGCTCGGTACTATGTAGGGCAGTGGGCCTACGGCATTTCACGTTTTGGGGCCCTTAAAAATTAGATGTAGAGTAATATCTAAGCTGTTTTCCTATTCGGCTTTGAAAAGAGGCGTCTAACTATCCTTCCTGGATTATATATATTTGCGCCTCTGCTAGTGGGTGATTTAATAATTGGATTATTAGGTTTTCTCGTAGCAAGGTTGGTGGTGCAGCTTCGAATAGAATTACCAGATTTGTCCTTGGTTTCTTTTATATTTATGCTATGCTCTAAAAGGAATTTTACTATAGAGGCGTTGCCCCTTTCAACAACCCGGATAGCTTGATTGGTCCCTTAAGATTATAGCTTACAAGAATTTGCGCTAGTACCTAGAAGATAATAGATAGTTACAGCTTAGTTTTTAATAATAATTTAATTTAAAACTTTTTTTTAATTTTTTTTTATAAAAGCACTAGCTAAAAAAATTTATATCGCTACTTTATTGCCTCGAAGTTGCCCTCAAAGTATTTCCCTATTTCACCTTTCACATACAAAATACCAGCACTTGAGTCCTAACCCACATTCCCCCCCGCACCAACTCAAGGCTGTAACCCGTCTCCGCGGGCACCTTCTTGTCCAAACATGATCGATTCAGGCGATAGATTCTACGCCCCCAGCGGCGCCATTTACCCTGGCGGCCCAAGCACCTGGCATATCATCGACTGGGACCAACGGCGGCTCGTTTCAGTCACCATGAATGAGGAGCTTGAGTCGGAGGATCCTGCATTCGAACAGCTCATTAAGCATATTGACAGCCTTCCGCCAGACGTCTACGAAATTCACGTCTCTCCCGACGGCAACTTGATATCCACATCTGCGGATCCAAAGGATGACGAGACACGCTGTGCTTACTATCCACCGCTCGATAGTGTCCAGCGCCCAGAAGGAGTTCAAGTCATCTCAAGATCACATCTTCAAGAAATCGATAGACTGGGTCCAAATGTTGACCTTGTTACATGTCCACACTCTTCTGAACCTACTCAAAAAGTCAGTTCGCCCAAACCGCATTTCTCTCCACCATCTAACTCAGATCTAGTTCGTCTTCAAATACTACTTCCTCCTTCAACACCAGTTATTTAACTGGCATGAAATGAGTTATGGATGCGTCTGCCCAAGCATCCAAATATTGTCCCTTTCCATAGCATAGTCGTGGATGAACTTGAAGGGCGTTTCGTTGGTTTTACGAGCGTCTACATCCCCGGAGGTACCTTGGAAGAGAACAATACCCGCACATTTAAGCTCAAATGGCTTCACCAGCTTATCAACGTGATTGATGGATTAAACCTAAATCTCGGTATTTCTCATCAGGATATCGCGCCGCGGAACCTCCTCATACACGAGCCAACAGATTCCCTGATGCTTTTCGATTTCGATTTCTCCGCGCGCATCGGAAGGACGGGATACTCGGAGGCGCGGAATGATGTAAAGGGAACTTTGTTCACCATGTACGAGATAATCACTCGCAATGATAATCTCCGTGCCATCAGACACGAGGACCAAGACGTGTCCCTTATTGAGCACAAGGAATGGGTGAGGCATCCTGATGTTCAGCTAGACCGCCCCGTCTCGGAATTTCGTTGCGTCCTTGAGGAATGGTGTGAGAGGCGGCGAGCCGGGAAGCAAATTACTTTAAACACAGAGGCCCCCAATTTCTTGGACTGGCCGCCGTTTCCCGATCCACCGCTTTCAGAAGTCCAAGTCCACTACGTAGGCGGAACTGTCAAGGAGATGAAAAAGTTGTATGATTGGAAAAGGACCGATTTGCAAAAACAAGGAAAGACGATACTAAAGTGGCAGCGCCCTCCTCAAAGGGCTAAGCAGGGACAGGTGCAATAGCCCTGTTAAAAGGCTGGCTGCAGTTGTATGGATTTGGATGGATGGCTCCGCCGAGGTTTCACAGAAGCACGCTACATATATTGACATCGCATTCAAATTCAACGTTGACGTAGATATAAACTCCATCCCTTGACCCTGCCGCCTTTCGCAACTAGGTTTCGACATGATTTGTACAAGGACTGGTTTTTTGTGAGCCGTGGAAAGTGCATCTTGGCCCGCGATATCTCAGACTGTATATACTCTCGACATGCGCAGGGAGGAAGTCACCTTTGTTGAACACCCTCTACCCACATACAATTACATGTACACCTACCACCATGACATCGTAGTATCACGGAACGTAATGGTCAAGCCGTGCAAGTCTCCGCTGGCTGGAATGGAGTACGCCTAATCGGCGCTCTATTTTATGTGCCGAGAAAGCTGTATGCATGAGTACTAACCGAATAGCGTTGAGGGAAACGACAACCTTGCCGCCAATGCTGCTGAGCCATGGGAAGCAAACCCCGTTATTGACGGCAGCGATATCTTCTTCGGAGAGGCTACTAGGGTATCTTTGGCAAATATAGTCGCAGACACAGCTGTAAAAGAGATACCATCTATAAGTGCATCGTTTAGGGCCATCAGAATTTAGAACTGTATTATCAATTGTGGACAAGATCTGGTATCGAGTACTATCCGTTTGAGCATTGGAAAGTGTTTTTGAGGGGTGGGAGAGGGGAGATGAGTTGAAGAACGGTAAGTGAAGAATCAACGCTGCTCATAAGTTGCAGTGGGAGGCAGTAAATATTTGCCTGTCTAAGGAAAAATAACAACGACCTACACTGACGGTGGTCCTTTTTGGTAGTACAGCTAGTTGTCTACTCCGTACGACATCGGGTAGGCAAATCCTGCTTATTCTACGTAGTTGGAACATACATAGTCAATGCGACCTTCAAGAACAACTCGGATATTGAAATTAGACCCATCTATTTGAGTATAATACCTACCTAGAGGTAGGTACATATCACTACGGAGCCGGCTCAAGAACAAGGCGAACCAGATAGTATCGCGTTCGCGTCAGCCCGGCACCTCTATAGATGGTACCCGCACCTCAAACAAGTTCGATCAGTAGAATGATGTAATAATTTTCCTATTTCAGTCTGTAAAATAGGCTACGCAAAGTAAATCAAACATCCCGTAGTAGTCTATTACACGACTGCGACTCAACAAAACCCCAATGACTGACTGCACTTCCACCAAGAGCCCATTACACGAGAGTTCCAGTAAGAATACTACTAGCCATACTCATCAGAACTTGTTGTACTTCCTCAGTTGTGTTTATGGGGCTCCTCAAAAACACTTCCAAGTTTATCAATGTCACCCCCCGACCTCCCCCAAAATCCGACAAATACACCATTCCCCGTGTCTTGGTCGTGAGGTATCCCTCCAGATCCTCCAACCCTCCAGGGAGGAGCCGTTGTGGATTCGTAATAAATGGAGTCTACCCAGTCTCCTGAACAAATACGCATCTTTGTGATGCGTTCAGATCTCTGAAATGTTGTAATGTGGCTATCCCCTTTGGGATGACCATATAGTCGGCTTTGACCAGTGCTCCAGATGAGCTCGATGGCTTTGACTACTTCATCACCATGACCAGTTTTATGCGTCCATACTTGCATTGACGAAATGTAGACGTGGTTTTCGGGATGTATTGCCTTGAATTCGTTACCGCCATCATGGCCGGTAGGGGGGTTCCAAATAAGCTCTCGCTTGACCTCGCCAATGGCGTCTCGCCTCATCGTTTTAGGGTATGCTGGTACAATAGTCATGATATATCTTGGGAAAATCATTAATGGATGCTGGAAGTGCGATTGTCGTCGTGAAGGCGACAGCGATCCATTATATATGCGGATGCCAGGCAATGGTTTGCCATCAGGCTACAACTGCCGTACAAGATGGTGGATCAAATCCGCAACACCGAAATATGTGTGGCGTGCTATCAAGCTCTGTTCTAGGCTGCTGATGCAGCCGGGTTGCCCATGCCGAGCTGAGATTCAGAGACACATGTCGCAGTCAGAAGGCTTCCCGCCACTGTTCAGCCAGCCAAAGTCGCTCGAGTTTTCCCCTTTGCATATATGGCACTCATGTAATTGAAATCTTTCATGTCGCCTTCAAGTTCCCAATAATCCATTATTGCTCCGTGCCACTGTCCGTGGTAGTATTCCGTATACATTTGGTTGATGCGACGCGAATGTCCTTGACACGTTGCCGTGTGATGATAAAGAAAGGAGTTGCCCTAGCACCATCCAGTAAAGATAATTTTTGTGCTAATTTCCGTTGTCTGCATGTCTTGACTTTTCTCCAGACAAGGAAGGCCCTATGGCCGTTGTGGTCTCGGTAATGATATTAGAGACATGGGAGTGCCAGACCGGTCTGGGGATTGTCTCACCGAATATAAGGATTCTTCATATGAACAATCGGATCAACGCACACGTCACTTATGCAATAAATTCAAGTTTCTTGGCTTAAACGAAAGACAGAACTGTATACGTCCAGCTCTATGCACACTCACTGTAACGGTCCCAGCTGAGTATATTGACAATTAGCTAGGCGACTACTACGAGTATCCAAAGCTGAAGAAGAAAGAGAAGAAAGGACAAGAAAAGGAGAGCTCGCCGCTGCTAATCTCGCTTGTTGGCAGCTTGCCGATAGAGGCGAGGGCGTAGGCGAGCCATTCTCGGGCCTAGCCCGTCACAAGTTCACAACTACTCAGAGTACTGGCCAAGACAACGCCTTGACTCGGGGCGGAGAGGCAGATCACACGCTGTCCTTGGAATCGGAAGGACAAGCGGGGAGCGCTCTGCCGGTCAGACATTGCAACCCAGTATTCGACGAAAGAAAAGCCAGTGGGAAGTTGTCAGCAGTGGTGGCGAGGCGCCAGAAACCATGCCTTTGGCCGAAAGTGAAACTTCGCCAATTAAAAACGGTCCCGGCACGAGTACATACTTCCCCGTCATTTTTCCCACCCCTCCTCGTCTTCTACTGCTGATCTGGATGTGGTCCTGATGCCGATCCATAAACCTGTAAACAAGCGGCGCAGTGACGGCGCTCGAGGTAGGGAGTCTAGGGACCGAGTTTAGATCGCGAGGGTAGGTTATCAGGCGGATTCATCCCTGTTACTTGCCCAGAGCCCATGGCGACAATTGCCTCGAACCTGGTATGACCCATGCGGAGATGCCAAAGTTCAACCAATCCATAGTTGCCTGATCAAACTCATGAGCCATCGTGAATGTTGTCATTCACGTGATAATGCATGTGATGGGAGGCTGACTTGCCCGCAAATCCAGTGTCCGGGCTCCCTGTCCTCCAACCGAGTTCATCCATTCGCGGCAGCTTCTCATCTCTTTGAGCGGTAATGAAGACCCCATCTCCCAATGCAAAGCGTGGCTTTGACAAATTTTTTGCGTCTACTGAGGGGCATGAAGACCTCTGTCAAAGGCTAGACGCCGCAATAAGGCAACAACAAGAGGCCACTCCAGAGCCTTCCTCGGACCACGAATCTCTCGAGGAGGATCATAGGTGGCAGTGTACTATCCTACATGAGCACTTCGGATCGTCCGATATTGATAAAATGCGGAATGCCATCTGGCAACCTGACTACTGGAAGATTGAATGCCAGCACTACGCGAACGTACTCAATCAGTTCCTCCTTCGCGACACAGACGGCACGGCCACAGCTCAACGATGGCGAACAGCTGCCTCAATGTACAAAGATCTTCTCCGGCTTAACGGGTTGTCTATAGACGATATAAGGCTCATTCGACACTCGATAGAGAGCCAAAAGTATTGGGAGAAGGAAAAAGACGTTCTCCAGCAGCAAGTTGCCCTTCGAGAACACGAAATGCACGAGGCCGCTTGTGCAAGGAAGAAGGATATTCAGCGGCAACGTCGGGAGCGAGTACGACGACGCCTTCGGGCAATAGAAGAAGAAGAAACGTCGCCGCCTCCGAACCCAAAACAAGCGTTGCGACTCGACAGCATCGCTACCAGAACAAGATTACGATCACGATCAATTTGAGCCAGACAGCCAGGGTCACAGGCGCAAAATCGACGAATCAACGGAGGCGTAGAGACTGGTCCCACATTCGGACAGCGCCAACCTGTACGTGTCCTGGCCAAGACAATTCCCACTTGCACACCAGCTATAAATTCACGCTCACCACCCTCGCTTAACGTGTCGCCTTGCCCAAGACGTTGGCAATTCGGAATTCATTTCCTCATTTTAGCCCTATTCTAGCCACTTTAAAATGGCCTATACCGACGTTGTGGACAAGGCAAAGGTTGTGCTGATTGTCGGCACCTTTGTTGGTGTAGATGATATCCTCTCTTGATCAGATAATGCCAGGTTTCAGTTTAATTCATCCACGAACGCTACTGGGACCTCGTGGAAGGGTGGGCAATTCGATGAGCAACAACTCAAGCAGTTATTTCTGTGTCTGAGGATAGGGGAAAACTTGTTTGATCCTGCAGGTTGGGCTTTGGGCTCTCATGATGACTCCGACATATGCGACATTTGAATTGCGATAACTAATCAGACTGGCATCAGTGGGCAAGCATGCCGGATTGATATTAGTCTCTAAACCTATCGGCCGAGAGTAACACGGCTTTCAATCCGTATTTATGGCCGAACTACCATCACTTGGAAACAGGGATTGCCCCAGGAACTTATTGGTCCTGTGGCTATTAATCCAGGGGCCGTGACGTTTCGCGCTTGGGTCCCGGCACGAACAGCGACGGAGACTGCTCAGTACAAAGAAAGAGCTCCACCGTACAGCAAAGATATCATGGGTTCACTTCCAAAACGCCTTCCGTCCATCCTGAGTTATGATGAAACTTCAGCCGAGTACGTCCGATACGGCAAGAGGTGAGCGAAGTCGCGCTCCGAAAAAGTGAGGGCGTGGCACGAGTAACTAAGCCGTGGGATTGACTGTATTGTAGATAATAAAACTCGACGCCCAGAATCCCTAATCCAGGCACATCTATAAGCCAATGAAAGCTGCAAACGCGTGTTAAAAGGCTGTCACACCCCACTCTAATCAGCTCACAGCAAGGGTCAGGGTGAGGAATTATCTCCACGCCGGGTGGATAACACAGAGTATCGACAAGCAAGCATGAATCAGGTGAAAACAGTTCGGCAGTCGTGACACGTGGCTGGACATGCTATGCCACGTTGGAGCTTTATGTTCAAGACCTACTTACTAGATGGCAAAGCTATTGCTCCCTTACGCGTGCCTTGTCTAGCATAACATAGCATTCTTATAACACTGTTCAGTGCGGACTATTTCCCTCCCGGAACCACGAGACTGGAGCGCGGTCTCCAGAACTATGTCAGTACAAGACGACAGCTCGCTGCTTCCAACCGATCAAGGTCAATGTCTCAACATCCGCTGTAAACACTGCCCAACGGGGGACGGCCACATTAGGCTCGAATTCACGGTCGACGAAAATAGAAAACTGCTTGTCAATGGGTTTGAACTCTTTCCCTCCCACGGCGATGGTGAGGAGACGCCGATGACTGCCAATGTGCATGATGTCGGTGGCAATGCAAAGGCAATACATGAGGAAGCAATCAGCTATGAACTCAGCACGGCAACCAAGGAAAGAGACGAAATCGAAGGAATCGAATTGATCGATGTAGACTACAAGATCCTCCAGGTTGACTCCGTTGTGGTTCAAGACATTCCTACAGTGCACGTGCGCCTTATCAAGCTTCCAAGTGACGACATTCTGATAGGGGTACTAACCACAAGTGAGGAGGAGGATTACGACGCCGACTGTGGCGCTGTGCAGTGCTGGGCTTACAAACTCAGCTTCGGGGCCCTTGGGTCTGCCGGCGACATGATTCCGAGCTGTTGTAGCAAGAGTTCAACCCAGGCCAACCACACATCTAGTGAGGTCGATTGGCGCCCTTCCCTTAACTGGGAGAAGACTTCGCTGCAGGGTTTGCAGCTTGGTGTGCTTGCTTGTCTCCTGCTTGCCTTGTATGTTTCCTTTATGTCCCGGATGATGAGTGCTACTAACCTCAAATACATTAGGCTGGCCATGTTCTGTTTTAGGTGTACCAATTTACATCAGAAAATAAGGAAGGCTAGAGGGGTGCAATTCTGGACTAGGACTATAAAAGGTCCTAATAAGTAAGCACATGTGTGTAGTTGGATCAAAGGATCCGAATTAACAATCTAAATATCGACTCCAGACCACAGGTCATCGTTGGGCCTGTAAGGGAACGGCCCCATTTTAGAACTTAGATACGTCGAGTTGGAGCTTCCGAATGCGAACAATCGCTTTATCCAAGTCACACTCGACCTTGTTCGTGCCCTTGTACCGTCACAGGGCTTCTGTTTATTGCCGGAATCTCAGCATAGGACTCATTAGTGTAGCGCACTACCTGTACAATTTCCTGCTGCAAATTATCTGACTTGACATCTGTTGTATCTGTGCCGGTAGCTGACTTGGCTGATGATGTTGGTGTATCTACATGGCGCGTCTCTGGTGCACTTCTGGCCAAATCTGCTGTGATCTCTCCCATCTTCGACTCCTGTGGAATAAAGCTGCTTCTGTTGGTAGAACAAGCAGACTTGACATAATTGCCGCATGTCAGAAATCATTGATATCTCTAGTTTGAAAGGCTGGGCAGCCACCCTGATTTCGCCAGGTGGCTGGGGAACCCTCCAAGGCCGGAGACAAATAGTATGAACCCTTCTAAAGGATGGGAACCAAGAAGAATAATAAGTTTATAAATAAGCTTAGTTAATAATGGGTCTGGTAAAGTGGCAACTCAGGGTCGGCTTTGGAGCCAGAGTAAGTGTGGCGTTGAGCGGTTGTAATTCTTGTATTCATGTCTCTCTCCTTTCCCCTACACAGCGGAAGCTCAAGATAATACTTTCGAAATACTGCTGTTGACACCCAGGAAGCAAAGCGGTTGCGTGGTCAGACCACTGAGGAACCATTATCCGACACACCCCCTTAGCTAGAGTCTCGTATGACAAGTCTCTAGCTGCAACGAACTTCCTCTGTTGACGAGCTGCTGGGCCCTTCTCGGGCTGTTCTCTTCAGCTTTCCTGTAAGCCCGCCCCCTCTTGCCCCCAGCTTCAACTCGAGGTCTTGTCCATTGTCTCTATCGAGGTCCCGACTAGCAAGCTGTTCCTGCAGCTTGTCTCGGGCTTCTTCCATCAGGGCCTCTGTGGCTATTCGGCTACGGATATCTTCCATCTGTAGCTGCTTGATGGATTCAAGCTGCCGGACCCGAGGTAACACCTTTGTCATCCCATCAGGCACCATCCTACTGGTCTCAATCCACTGTACGTTAATTCTTCCTCCCCGAACTTCTTGTCGCAACCAATGCTGATGAATATTAACATGACGCAGCTAGTTGTTGCTCTTATTACCCGCACCCTCAGTGCTCTCCCGATTTCTTATGATTCCGCGTCTAAGCAAATATGTCGGGGTGTCTCAGCGTCCTTGAACGATGGGCAGCCGAGATTAAATTATGTGGCGCAGAAGAAGTAACCTTGCAGGCTCTGGCCAACTCATTGAAGCTAGCTGAGGGCACCCTCAACATCCTGATTGTGATGATTGAGCCATGTAACAACCACGCCACCGTGGACTATGAAACTATGGTAGCTCGCAGCCCGTCGCTGCAGGAGTTAGATCGCCTTATACGAAAATACGGCACAAACCGCGGTATTGCCGCTGTGCCAATCCTCGACGTGAGACCGCTAATCAGCAAAGCAATGGGAACAGCAATAGGAAACAGATGGCCGACATGGGAAGTACGGGCGTATGAAGTATTCGAAGACATCCTTCGCCACAAGAAACCCGACGTTATACTGAGTCTGCAGCGAGTGACGAAAGATGCGGATTCTCTCCCCTGTAAAAGTCTGTCAGACCAAGCTTGGTCGCCTCGACCTGACATCGTACGACTTGCCAACCGAACAGCTATTTTATTTCGAGCGTTCCATCCTAGCTCATATCTCAGGCCCAATTATACTGCAAATAAGGCCACAGCAAGGGTTAATAGCATGGAAAACAAGCTAGACGCCTCCTTCAAAGCGGCATTTATGGCGCTCAATGGTCACCAATCTGAAGTGAGTCCGTGGCAATATCATTGCATGCTGGCCGCAGAACGGCGACAGGAAGACAGAAGCTATGCGAGGAGGATAACGCCTAGTGAACTGTATTGCACACTCCAATTCGTAAGTTGGCGTTCAGACAAAGTGAGCCAAGTGCAACACTAATGCCTTGTAACAAACATAGCACGATAATCCGGAAACGCGCTTGGCGCTTCTTCACGAGATCGACATTCAGTTTAAACTAGAGGAACTAGCGGGAACTATGCAGCCAGTGTGCAGAGAAGATACAACACCGCAAGAAGTAGTCGAACTATTGAATAGCTTGTCAATTTGAGCCACCAGGCTCCTAAGGGTAACATCAAGGTGCGGAATACCGAACTTTTTGGGGAAATTGCCTTCAACTGCTATTGAGTGATTTCATTACGGCAGGCAGATGGCGATTGGTTCTGAGGCACTGTATTGTTTGCTGTGCATTGGGTTCAATCTTAAACGAGAACTCTTGAACCCTTCTTGAACCTGTTCGAATGTCAGCCATGGAAAAAGGTTGGACTAGTTGGTGTATTGTTGCGGTTCTGAGACGCTGTCGGGTATCCAGGATTTTGAGCGACTCGTGAGTATTCTATATTGGTATTAATGATGACAATCTTACGAGTCAAGGTTGGCGGAGACATATATTGTCGTGTATTTGGTGGCTGATACTTTGCGTCGGTGAATTTCGTGCTGTGCCAAATCCAAACTCTAATTACTACAGAAATTGATGAATGTACTTTGCGTCCCCTTCTTAGGTTAACTATCGAGCACGCATCGACATCCAGTTATCTTTTTTCTCCGTGCAGTGCAACCGAAAAGATAGACTACGTTTCTTTGTAACACGACCGCGTAGTTTAAAACGTTTGTATGTTTAGGCTTTCCACCTTGTCCATGTATGCAATTTTGGCTTGTTCGTTATTCCTCATTTCGCCCTGGATCTTCTCATTGTTCGGCCTCGTCTCATGGACCATCTCATAAATAATGCGCATATGGTCATTCCATTAGTGGCCGCACGGGCAAGTATAGCCATGGAAAAACAGCCATTTCCGAAATGCATAGCAAATCTTTACATCATGGCTTCCAACGACCTCTTCAGGGGGATCTGTTGTGGGATTGTAGCCCCATTGTAGTTATCGTCTCTACATGTAGGGTTGTTGGCGGTAGTAGCTGCGGTGGCCGAAGTAGTACGGCCTGGCAAGGGACTTTAAGACATGTCTGTGCAAACAGAGATTTATATTTGCGCAAATAGCAATACTCTGAAAAAAACCTAAACTTTCTATACTAGACAAAGAACAGGACAGTCAAAAACATATCAATTTTACATCCCCATAATACCGCCACCGTATTTCTAACACATAGCTGTAATTTTAAACACAATCAAGCTGCCGAATTTAATATGGGCAGCTGGCCTAGCTTGTTGGAAGCTGGCTTGGTTGGTTATGCCCAGCTAGTTGATAGCTGGTGTGAGGGACCACGGAAGGGGTCTACGAGCGAAGTCACAAGAGCTCGAGGATGCAAATGACAAACATGTATTCCAACAGGCTAATAAAGAGAGACTTTTGTGTGTGTGTTCCAGAGAGAAAAGGTAGCTAAAGTGTGCAGGTGTAGCAGTAAGCTTTGTAGTGCCTGGCACGTGACTGTGGGTCCCAACAGCTGGCCTCTTGTTGTTGACAGACCTTGGCAGGAGTCTGGTGGTAGTTGAGCCTGCCCATCTCAAATACTCGAGCCTTGTGAACAATTATCAACCACATATCCAGCTTTTCCTGTTGTGTTCCCATCCGCTACGGCATTACTCCCCACGTCGGCAGTCTTCCCGTACTTGTTGGGCGTCGTCGACGCACTTCTGAAAGTCGTCCTTGAACTTATTCCAGCACTCCCAGAAGTTCTTCTCGCGTAGATCGTTACACTGCTTCAACTTTTCCGGAGAAGCTGGCTTGCTCTTCTCAGTAGCGCCCTGTTCGCCCTCTCGGCTTGCCGAATTTGTTGAACTGGCCGGTGCCAGCTTCTTTTCCAATTCTGACCATTGTACGTTTACGTTCTTTGCGTTGCCGCCGGCGCTCTTGTCGCCCTCGCAGAAGTAATCGAAGGGCTCAGTTGGTTCATAGACATAGCACTGTTTTGGTTCTTCTCCATTCTTGAGCGCGCGCTCTTGCCAGCCCTCTGGTACTCGCGATCCTGCACAGGCGTGAGGATACCGGGGGTGAGCGAGGCCCTCGGAGTTCACTATGGCAGTAGTGTCGTTCCTCGTGCACCACTTTCCCCCTTGCTCAAAGAAGACGCCTTTGTAGGCACATTCGTCGGCACAAAAGAATTCCTTGTCCGAGATCAAGACACCTGCAACCTCACCGCCGAGGATGGCGTTGACCGCCACGGCACTTAGCAACAAGGACAGGGCGAGCATGGTAGTTGCGTGAGGAGTTGAGAATGAATTGACAGTAATGTAATGGGAATTGTAGGTGATGTAGGTCGAAAGAGTCTAGGTTTATTCTGTTTGGTTTCCTCGAGACGAAGTTGCTGACCTTGGATCTAGGTGCTACCTACAGAGCTATATATAAAAAAACAGATGCTGAGGATCGGATTTGGCCGAATAGAAGACCTGGGCAATGACCATGAAATGAGACCGGATTACAGTCAACGGCATAGATACGGCGTTAATGCGGCGCCTAGAAAAACAGAAATTGCCGTAAGTAATCTATACACTCGTATGTATTCCATATTGCAGTATTACACCAGTCGTCTGAATCGACTTCCCAGGATCCACTATATATGTAGACTGTACCTCAAAGCCTGACTCGTTCTCATATAGTGTAGTGGTATGGACACATGATATTATTGGTTTATTTTTGGGTTTTGTGCTGTAGATTTAACCCTTGGTAGGAGACTGACCCCTGAAATGTTATTAACCCATGATTTCCGCTATTTCCACATGTGGCAGTGTCGACATGGAATGAATTGTACTTGATATCGACTTATATGTGTGTTTTTATATGGACCTTGTCTACTGACTTGAAACCCAGCGCAGAAGTGTAGCGTCGAGACCATTGTGAATTACTCGCATCATGCCCCATAATAGGCGGAATGTCGCACAAGATGACACCGTACTAGCCGTATTAACTTACCACTATAGATAAAAAAGGCATCAATGGTAATTTTCCGAACTTTGTGGATCCCTATAGATTTTACAATATAGCAGTGTAGCTACTGTCGCATTGCAATCAAATCTACTATCAGACCATAATATTCTTGTCGCATTGTACATACCAGCCAGTTGGAGATGCAGTGCCACGTTGCCCTTCTACTAGCCGATGCATCTTTCGGCAACGTTAATCTAAACATACTATTTCTGACAAGATAAATAGCAAGTCTTGCCTCGACATGTACAGTGCAACTCCAAGCATCAACTTGTACTTACTCGAACTGCCATTTACCCACACCCGTCATCTCTCCTTTACTATTTCTCTTTCAAGGTTTTACGTCAACCATGAAGTACTCTTTGGCTCTCATCTCTCCTCTTGCCGCCGTCTCTCTCGCGGGACCCGTTGAGACTGAACAGGGTAAGAAGCCCTTTATCGATCCCCTCTACAATGCATTTGGCCCCAAATGCTTGGCCGACAACGCCGAGTTCCCAAGAGACTCGGAAGCCTGCCTAGGCACCCGGGACTACTGCGGCTGGAAGAAGTACGAGGCCATGGGGGAGCATTTCGACAGTCCCAAGTCTTGCATAGACTCGCGGCAACCACCTCCGTTCAAAGAGCCGGCCTCGGAGGAGAACCAGGCCAACTTTTGCGAGGGCAACCCGACATTCAAAGGGGACGCATGGCGGGCAACGACGGAGCCGTGTCTCGGCACAGTGGCGTATTGCAATAAGAAGGTTTATGAGGGCACAGGCGAGACTTACGACAATCCTGATGAGTGCATCACTTTGAGACTGAAAACACTCACTAAGAATGCGTCTTTATTCCAACCACTCCTTGACGGGATCCATCAAATCTCCAGCGCAAAGGTACAACAAGGGCTTATTGATGCTATACCCAAATGCAAAACAGTCGACGGTGGGACGATGGAGCGGCCATTGGTAGAGATCGAATGCCCGAAGGTAAGTTGACATTACTTCTCTAATTGTCAGCTAGGAACGCTAAATAAAAGACTAGGTCTATTATTGAAAGTAACTATCCAAGTTGAAGGGTAGTTGGGCAGCAATGCAAAGGACTGACCTTGCTTTCTGCTACACGAAAGGGTTACCAGAAGTGATAGTAAACGTAAAGTCGGTCGTTGCAAATTGGCTGCCGTTTTCAACTGCTTGCCCGCGCGGGTAACGCGCCGCCCCCGTAGCCTACTTTGCTTACTTTCTACATACCTCCCGCTATTTTAGAGAAATTTATAAGACTATGATTAAACCTAACTTCCTTCTTCCACTTCTTATCTTGGCCTTTCCTTTTATTTTTTTAACCTTATTAATTTCTACTTTTCTCTCTCTTGTGCTCTTACGAAGGATTTGCTTATACATATAAAGCCTACATTGAGCAGAACTGTATCTCTCCATGGTACCTGGGCACTTGCTCGAATTATAGCAACAATAAAAATAGTATGTCAGACTTTCTTAGGGACTATACATGTTTAGCCCGGATACATGCGTGAGCTGATTCCAAGATCAAGTACCTGGCTGGCCGAGGGGCACTATAACCTCAAAAGTTGAGCCCTTGAGTCCACATGCAGAAAGAGCGGTTTCAGGGAGCGGCCTAGGCCGATAGATGAGGGATAACGTGCCATGGCTGAGTTTTCAAACAATAAACGCCCGGTTTAACTAGTTGCCTGAGATGCACTGGTGTTGGTGACGGAGCATTTACTCCCTTATTACAAGTACATACATGTAATTACATACAAAGCCGTCGGTAACGAGTAGGCCGTGCTTTACAGCAGCCCTCCTTTATCAACCCTCGTCACCTTGACTCTGAACCCGTCACTAGCAGTGCGTCTATTCTCGGTAGTACAATTACTTTTATTATATTCCTTGAATAGATTCCATTAGATTTATTATCTTATACCTATTAGACCGCTTAATAAACCCCAAAAGAATAGTTATATAAACAGTCTCGGATTTTTGGAAATAATAGTGAGCGCCAGGCATTATAGCTATCAACACCCCGCCATAACGCCCTAAGGACAATTTTGAGAAAAAGAGAGTTATGGACAAGTAAAGCCTGCAAAAACCAAGCTGAATGTAGAACTATCCGTGACAGTGCCTCCCTCGAGTTCCTTCATCCAGTTACCGTTCGGACATCTAGCCTGGTTCGTGAAATCTGACGCTGTCGGCGCTTTAGTCGACTCGGACGGAACACCCAGGCAACCGTTCTTCGTCCGGAGATTATGTACTGGCACTGTATCCGAAATGGGCTGCGACTTGACGTCGACAATTTGGCCACCATGGTTGCGGCAATGCACCGTGGCGGTAAGGTACTGACGAGATCCACGTTTGCATTGGTGTTGCCAACACCACAGATGGTAAAGGCATCGCAGGTAACGCTTTGATCGGCGTTACAGTGACACGCCACAGAACATGTCTGAATATGTGCGCCGCTCGGGGCACATGCCGCGTTTGGAGTCTGGGCGCTGACGAGGCCTACCGTCGTCAAAGTCGTCGAGATGAATAAGACTTGTTTTATTATCGTGTGTAACCTCTTATAGGGGAGTTATATTTTCAGAATAGAGTGATAATAGGTAGTTATTTTCAAGGAGCACCTATGTAATTGAGCGTATAAACGATGGAGGGGGTGCGGCCTCCTTTTATTGTTGCAAGTAAGCCATAAAATGTCGAGCTCATTTCCGAGCTCCCCTCGTGAAATATTTACTCTGCAGCGATTTCATGATCAAGAGCAAGGCAGCCTCGTGTAAATTAAGCTTTCTTGGCGCCTAATAAATATATTTAACTTTATTTGCATAGATACGGGCAGCCACGTGGAGAGAAACCGGCTAGATTGGCTCAGCTTATAATGTCTGGCAGCAATTATCACTTATTTCCTGGATATTCCTATTCCAGCAACCCTGATTAAGTGGATATATTGCCACATTATTCAGAGCGAACAATGCAGTAACCGGAAGTAAGTACTTGGATAATAACTATTGCATTGAAAAAGTGTGACAAGGGTACGATTTTAGGCTTGGAACAAACGGTTCAAATTCAAAGATACTATCAACGAGTGTCAAGGTCCTTGGTTTTCCAAGGGCAAGAAGGGGAACAATAACAACTATCTATGCATGAAGAGAACGCTCGTGCCTAGGTTCTTGCCCGGGCACGTGTTCAATCTATGTAACCAATAGGTCCTTTGTCGGCAAAGCCCCTATGTTGGGCCTTTTCCGTGCCACAATAAGACTTCATCTCAACAGAATCAGTCGGCCTTCAAAGCTACCTTATCAGCCGGCACCGCCTCCGGCACTTCTATCGGGTCAGTAGGCACGTCAGGAAGATTCAGGTCCTCCTCTATCGGATCAGTCGGCACGTCAGGAAGATTCAGGTCCTCCTCTATCGGATCAGTCGGCACGTCGGGCAGTTCTAGTTCCTCGTCAGGCTTCTCAACAGTTGCCACGTCTTCTTCAACAGTGGTTGCGCCTTCTTCGACTGCCACGGTGCCTCCTTCACCTATGACAGCACCCTCCTCAAGGGCCGCTGTGCCCTCGAGAACCAGCCCCGTGCCCTCGGCCGCCTCGGTGCTCAAAGCCGCGAATTCGAAAGCATCCGCCACCTCCCCCACGCCGGGAATCAAGTTGAGCGCAGCAACCGCGGGGAGGAGGGCTATCGCCACGGCATGTTCCTTGACAAAGTCCCACACCTGCTCAAGCACACCTTCTTCTTCATGGGGCGCAGGCTCTACATTCTTTGCTGCGGCAGAAGCTTCGCCGGTGATGACCTTGGGCGCTGTGAACAGGGGGAACTTCTCCTGGAAGCCTACCGCCGATCCATGTTCCTTCATAAAGTTGGTGAGCTCACGCGAGGCCTTTCTCGAGCCTAGAAGTTGAGGCTGCTCCTTTTCTGTAGCGGTATACTGGTCAAATTTAGAATCGTAGTCTGGGTTCTTCTGGAAGACGACCTTGGGCTTGGCTTTGTACGCCTTCTCGAAATGCTTGTGCAGCTCTTGCTTACTCGTCGGGGTCTTTTCAGGGAGCGCATAGTCGCGCGGTACCTGCGTCCAGCCCCTGACCTGCCCCCAAACCATGCCTCCTGGGACGGCCAGCTCATTGCCAACCTTGAACATGTGTGGAGTAGCGTGAACCAAGTAAACCACGGGGTCAAACTGTCCGCCGAATTTTGCTGCCTTCTTTACGGCTTCCTTTGCAGCAGCTCCAAAGGTTTGGTGCACCGCGACGAAATAGGTCTCAGGGTGAAGCTTGAGCTTGTCCCTGTTCAGATGCGTGTTCAGAGTATATGCCGTAACTGGTGGGTTCCTGATCGTAGCCAGGGAGTCGGCCGGCGTGAGGAATCCGCCTTGTCTCTTGGCCTCGGCCGGCCACAGGTAGTCGCCGTAGAAGACGTACTTTGGGGCGGTTGATGCAGGCACAGTTTGCCCCGATGGTCCTGCGGTTTCCTCGACCTTGGGCTTCTTGGCTGGCGGCTCGCCGCTGCCCTCCTCCCACAGGGCCAAGGGGAACTGCTGGTTGGCTTTCCACCCGAGACTAGAAGCATGTTTGTTCATAAAGCTCAGAGCTGACTTCTTAAATTCAGTATTCCGAAGCCCATCCCAGTATGTGTCGTCCCATTTGTTCGGGTCCTCTTCGGGCATCGAAGCTAGTACATCCACGTCTTCTCCAGGCCCCTGGACTTGCTCATTTTTGTACTTGTCAAAGTTGAAATCCGGGTTCTGGATGAAGTTGCTCTGGTATTTTGCCGCATAGTCTCGGTCGAGCTCCTTTGCCTGGTCTTCGGAAAATTCAGGCACATCCAAGGTATTTGGGACTTGCCACCAGCCTTCAATCGCATCGTACGGAACACCGCCCAACGCAGCGAACTCTTGCTGCTCTTCGGCCGGGGGGTCGCGAAGTGCCGCATTGGTGTCGATCATGTTTCCAAGGCGATGGACACGGTAAACCCAGCCGCCAGTCGTGGCAAACTGCACTGCTACGCCGAACGACTTGGAGGTCGAAACATAAGCGGTATCGCCCTGGGTATGATCAATGTGTGCATGAAGGCTGAATGCGAGCTGGTCGTTGTATGTGTTCTCTGTGGGCTTGAACCCCCCTGTTTTCTTGATTGCAGTTGGGTCTCTGTCGTCTCCGCGGAAAATGTAGTCCGTTACTTTACCCAAGGGAGCAGCCTCGCCTCCCAGAGAGAACAAGAGAAGTACCAGGGCAGTACATAGTGACAGAAAGTGCCACTGTCTATTGGCCATTGTGAGCCAAGTTTTGAGTTGTCAATGCCTAAGATGTTTATGATGGATGAAGCTAAAGAATACTGCAAGGTAAGAAGAGTAAAGAGTGATATCGCCATCTTTATATAGATTTCGTAACTAGCTGCCTCGTGGTTTAATGCATCGTGACACCCCCCTGGTAGGATTACAGCCGGACGACTGCATAAACCAAAGTCCTGCCAAGGTGCTTGATGATGGCAATATTAAAGACTCCGTCATCTCATACGGGCATGATGTGATGCTTTCGGGAAAGATGCACGGTATTTGCCCGGAATACAAGAGTCACGCACTGGGCCGGCCAGGTAGCCGCATGGATTGCATTGAGGTGGCCGGGGCTCCCCATTCATGCTATAGCTGCCTGCATATATGCCTTCTCCCTAGTTATGGAATAATGGCATAGAAGCCCTTGTCGCCTTATTAGTAAAACGATTTATGCTTCCCGGTTATTATGCCTGGTCTTTACAAGCCTTTGGGATTCAATATTTTTACGCTGGCGGTATATTAATTATAATATTAAGTTATTTATAAAACGTAAAAGCTATTGTAAAATAATTACTTTAAAAAATGCAATAATATTTTATATTTACTATATTTCTAAAGGTTATTATTATAAATGCACGGCGCCAAAGTAGAAAGATGGGCCACAGGCAACCAAGGGCGTTACTAAATCAGACGCGAGGGAAGCATCCCTTGCGAAAGATCAAAGGGAGATAACAGGAGCACAGGGAGTGGAGTTGGCTACAGGCACCGCTGTGTTCTCGCTCCCAGAATAATAATGCGGATGTCTCGGTTTAGGAATGCTGCACAAGCATTCTTTATTGTCTGGCATTAAACACATATATTTATTAATTATAATTATAGCCCGTATTACATGTAGTTACTGACTAACTTCCTTTAGTACGCCCCGTACAGCGAATCCCAGAGGGCACCTTGGCAGTGCTCGGGCGGCATGAACCTTGAGAAGCCTCGGACTACCTCGGCGATGCCGTGCCATCAAAATCTCGAGCAATATATTCCTTGGCCAACCCTTCAAGGTAATCACGGTAGCCTGGATCTGCGCTCGACATGGTCAAGTTGGCGTGTGTTCTGGCACTGCCTCGGTGGTTACCCCGGCTCAACATGCCATGTACGCCGGTAAGCGTGGGCGCTTGAACCGCCCGCGGACAGCCGAGACTCTTGTTGCGTCTTTTGGTCTGCATTTTTGCCGTCTGATCAAGGTTCATGACTAACTAAGCACCTCGTGTAGTAAGGAGGGTGAGATGCTTTAAGTGTGGATCTAGGCTTATTTACCTTATTGTTTTCTAAACATATTGCACGGTTAAAACTAAGGCCTAATAAAAGGGTATCGCCGATAAATGGCTTTAAGGTTATATAAACTAAATATATAATCCGGTAAAAGTCTTAGGTATACATGTTTTCTTTTTACATATATTGGTTACTTATTTTTATTTTCTCTGAAAGAACCGAGAACGTTTAACATCTACCAAGGTTATCATGAAATTGTTATTACGTTCCAAGCCTTTATCACAAAACACCACACGCTAGACCCCAGATCGCTGTGCATAATATGGTGTGCACACCTACCTGAATAGTAACAGCAATAAAATGAAATCGAGCTTCTATAGCTGTACAGTCATGTGCTCTCCTGTCACTCCTGTCGCTCCTGTCAAGTATCATCTCGTATAGGAATAGAGAGTATTGGTACTTTGTACAGTCAAGTTCGTATTAGGCCCGGCCGTAATTCGCCAGGTGGGTACTATGGCAGCATGGGTGAACCGCTTTATACTTAATAAAACTTATATAATTGGCCTCGTCTGCTTATTTTAGAAAGTCAAATTACTCTTATAACATTATGTCTTGAATTACTTGGTAATGCTGAGCGACGATTGTCGAGACTTACCCAACTTTCCATATTTGTGGGTTTTAGTTGAGTCAAGTATTTAGCTGGTCAGGTAGTTTTTTTACGAAGCCGCCTGATGGCCTACTAGAAGTAGTGCTTATTTTAACTTTCAAGGGGTTTATTTAAATGGATCTCTAGAAGGCTCGTAGGATCACGCATAATGCGATCGGTAGGCCGGCCACGATCAGGGGTCGTCCCCTTTTTGCAAAGGCTCAATATTGCTTTTTAATCCAGGGCTAGCAAGGGTATATGCCTCCACCGCATAGACCACCGCATCAGGCGGCATTAAATTAGCACCTACTTATTTTCTAGTCGGCGTGCCTGTTCGGGTTCATCGCGCCTCGTAAATGCCAATTAAAGTCTCAATATCACGTGGTGGAGTGGTCTGGCTTCAAGTTCTCCCCGTGTCCGTGTAAAGCCGGTAGTACTTCGTGAATCGTCACGACCAGCATGCCCTCTAATTAAACAGCCACCCTTGCCCCTCGTCTTCGGCAGTTGTAAAAGCCCGTGCCGGTAAAGCCAGTGCCTGTAAAGCCGGTGCCTGTAAAGCCGGTGCCCCTGTTTTTGTCGTGTGGCATGGCGGTAATATTTGTTTGACGTTATAGCTATTAGCTGGCTCGCCTACAAAGGCACCGTGTTGGGATTCTTCTGCGACCGGCGTGAAATGTTATCCTACATGTATCATTGATGGCTGGAGAGACGGGAAGGAAAAGAGGGAATAAGAACATGCCGCACAAGACAGTATAACAGCGTGCTGTCCACATCGGGTCAATATTAGGCCGCATGCGATGATACTGGTATCCCATTCAACAAGTCGAACAGCATTGCGAGCCTTGGAGCCTCGGCCTTCTCTTTCCCTCGATCTTCAGCCCACGTAGACCTGTTGCCCTGGACAAGGCGACGTACACCTGTCCCTCTTCAAAAGCCCTCATCACGTTGATAATAACACGGCCCAGCGCTATCACCTGACTTTTGTGGATGCTTATGGCCTAGGCGGCTACAAGGGGAATCTGTGTGCGGTGTAAGAGTGAGTAAGGCTTACGGCTACCGACCGAGTTGACTGTGTAATCTGCACATGTGCGTAAATAGTGCGCTTATGGCCGTTGTGAAAGAGCACCCAAGGCTAAATATTGCCAATGCTTCGTGTTGGAATAGGCGAGTAGTCACGTGAGGATAAGATAAGAGTAACCAGGTACACGTATTTATAGTGAGCATTGCCCCCAACCGTTAGGTTGGAGGGCAAGGTTAATACAACCTAGTTGGGCACACATAATTTCTTCAACACTTCGGTCCACCCATGAAGCGCCCTACTTGTTGTTCTTTGGGGGCCACTAGCACGACGGGGCCGGTCGGGCGGGTGTGGGGGCAACACATGGGAATGTATGGCGTCGAAACTGAATAAAACGCAATTGCACTGAATGGGCGTAATTAATCCTACTCTCCTAGTACAGTACCTTGGCGCTGCATTGGTCACAGATACGTGATGAGGTGTTAGTGTGAGGATCCAGGATCGGGTCCGGGCAGACACCAAACAACTCAGGACTGCAGGACTGCTACAGTCTGGCTGCGGCAACCAACTCCGTCGCACGAGTGCCCCGTTTCAAGACCGGCCCAACTGTTCACTCAGGAAATGAGAAAGCGAGACACGGATCCAGCAATCTAGATATTCGTCCCAGTGTGGTCGGAACGCGACACGCGTAAAGTGGCCTTCAAGCGTCCAGTGGCAAAGCGACCCTCTGGCGGCCGTGGCTAAAAAATCCGTCTTGCAGACTTAGTCAGTGCCTCTCAGCGAAGAATTTGAGTAGTTTTCTTCGTAACTGTTTTCCGGTATGAGAGTTTGTTGTGCTTTTTTCTAGAGGGATTTTTTCTTTTTTTTTTTCCACACCCTTCTCGGGGAGAGGCTTCTGCTTGCATTACTGACAATAGCTCGCCTGGTGATGCAGCGCAGCTTACACAAATGCGGAGACAATAAGGTCGGGAAAAAGTGCAGTCAGTAGGCTAGTAAAGAAAATACCTGGCCAGCACCAAACTTTGTCAGCGCGTCGGGGCGTTCCGTCAACGACATGTAGCCGCCTTGTGTATCCTCATCCATTCAATGTTACACGCTGATGAGATGCGCCGACACACCAGACCACGCTAGCCAAGACGCCAGCCCGCATGCGATGCATCGGAGAAAGCGACCGCAGGCTCCGGTAAATGTCCGTCCGACGTCGGGCCCGCGGGCAATCACGAAAGCGTTATTATGGGGCCGCAATCAGCCTTGACTCTCGACTCTTGATTCTCAACTCCAACCCGGCCTCGGTCCGCTTCCATGCCCCTTCACTTGGCCCTCATGCTCGACGTGGTCAACGGTGCTGCCATCCGCTCTCGATGCCACGGTGCCGCCCATCATGACCACCAACGAACAAACGCCGCTCCTCGGCCGTGACGGGAGCGGCAACGGCGTCGCCACCAAGTCCTGGCTGCGGCGCGTGCTGCATGTGGAGAATAGGATTCTGTTTGCCGGCTTCCTGATCACGCTGTCGTTCAGCTATACCCAAGTTCCGTAGGCGGCAATGGCGGACCAGTTGACCCCGAATCGCATCCCGGCTGACCATTGATCCTACGCAGGCTCTTCTACGTGTTCCACCTGATGGAATGCGACGTCTTCTACGACACCCACCCGCCGTACCAGGGACCCGGAGACAGATGTAGCCGGAATGAGATTGCCGCAGGGACGGCAACGCAGTTCAGCATCCTGGGCATGAGCACAACCTTTTGCGGTACGCCTGATGCCGCCCGTTTGACCTGCTTGCATATGCTAAGTGGACACTTGCAGGAACGTTCAACCTCTTCGTGACGGGATGGGTTTCCAAGAGGTTCGGCCCGAGACTCGCGCTCATGATGCAGACTTTTGTCCCGGCCATTCGCGTCCTGACGCAGATTCTCGGCGTCATCGCGGGCAAGAGCGCCGGCATGATGATTATTCAGGCCACGCAATTGATTACCATTCTTGGCGGGCCAGCAGGTTACATGTAAGGCGTGCGCGCGAGTTCTAAATAGCCACTGATGCTAACGCCCGCGTAGCCTCGTCGTGAATATAATGGCTGGCGAGCTCGTCGAGCCCATGAGAAGAACGGCAGTGTTCGGCATGCTCCAAGGGGCCATTATGCTTGGTCAAGGAATCGGATACTTGAGTGAGTCACCGTATATATCTGACTTTCATCGCTTCCGTGTGGCCTAATGCCGTTGTAGCGGGAGGCATGATTGGTGATACGATTGACATCCGCGCCCCCTTCGACGTCGCCTTCGTTTCGTTCCTTGTATCCTGCGCATATGCCTACTTCTGCCTGCCTTACATTGCACCAGAATCCATGTCGAGCGCGGTGAAACCCGGCGAAAAGGACACGGGTGGTTTCCTTGCGCCGCTCCGAATCCTGCTCCCCCAGCGGCTTCGCCATCCCAATGGCAAAATCACAAGGCATTTTGGCGTTATCTTTCTAAGCGCGGGAATATTCCTGGGCGTGGTGCGTTTCTCTGCACGTCCCTCCTTCAGAATTGCGCTGTTGACATGGTTCTAGCTTGCCACTGGATACGCACCGCTGCTCATTCAAATGTACGCCACGGCCGAATTCAGCTTCAATCAAGCCGACAATGGCTGGCTCATGTCCGAGTTTGCCATCATGAGGAGCATCTTCCTGCTCTTCATGTTCCCGCCCATCATCTCCTGGGGACGACGACGGATAACAAGACGGAGCGCCCGTGTCTCGCAACCAGCCGCCACGGAGGAGGACGGCAATGCAGAAGCGCCGTCGGTGCACATACCCATCGACCCTGGCGAGTTCGACGCAACTGTCGGGCAACAGGCTGACCAAGAGCCAGTGCAGTTGCCCATGGCCCAAGATGACCGCGAGGCTTCCAAGTTTGACCTCGTCTTCTTGCGATGGAGTCTTGTCGTGGACGGGGCGCTCACCACCGTCGCAGCATTTGCCACGCAGCGCTGGCACATATATCTAGGTCAGTCATTACGCCGCCTTTTGACCAGAGCTTTATTGTGCTAAAATAACCGCAGCCGCCTTCCTGCTCCCATTTGGGTCTGGATCTGCCCCGGCGGCCAAGGGCGTCATCACGGAGATGTGTACCGATGCGCAGAGAGCCGACGCACTCAACGCCGTCACCTTGGTGGAAAACGTGGCGAGATTAGCCACGCAGGGCCTATTCGGCTTTGTGTTTGCTGCTTTTGCCAAGATGGGTCGTGCGTATCTCACATTCTTCTGCAATGCGGTACGTTCATATATTCGTGGTCAGCCCCGATAAATTGCAGTATCCGTCTAACACTGGTTTTGCAGGCCATCGCCGTTATTGGCATGGGAGTATTGTTGTTCTCCAACTTTCCGGCTGTAGACTGCCAACTTGTTAGCAAGGATGATGTATTTGACGAAGTTCATGATGATGACGATGATGATGCCTAGGGCATAGACCGGGATGATGTATTCGGACAGCATATAAATGGCGTTTATGACATGTCGTACATTGCATCTATTGGATTTATTTCATTGGCTTTGTTTGAGACACGGAACTTGAAAATATTAGAAATGTTTACATTTATATAGAGAAAAGTTATCTATTGCCTCATCTGTAGAGATTATGCGGCGGTGCTCACCGGAACACTTCATTCACCCGCCGCGACAAGGCCCCTTTCTAATCTCCTTTGCCAAAATTTGGAGATCTGGACTGTGGGCTTTGGCGTCAAGATCACTCCCTGACTATCAATGGCCTCCAAATATGCCAGAGCACGGTCTCGCAATTCGGTAGTAACCGCTCCGCAGGCGGCAACATAGGTCGCCCAAGCGACTGACGTTGCAAAGTCTTGGTCTCTTGCCTTATGATCAATGCAGGGCTGTAATTCATCCAGACATCTTCTGACTTGTTCCTGGAGTACCATTGCATCGGTGTCGTATACTCTTCTATAGAAGTAGATTATGACTGCTTGGTGCATGGCCCCCGACAGCTTCGTATCTATGCTGTCCAGGCCTCCCTCAGATGACAGTGCGGGGAATTCGTGAGCTTCTGGCCGTGGAAATTCTGCCGTTATATTCCACGACCACATCTCATGCTCTAGTGTTTGTGAGTGCTTTTGCAGAAGGTCCGAAGGGGAAGTATCGAATGAAGCCAATTTCCGAAGCTTGTCTTTCTCATTAGCGCATGCCACGATTCGCGACAGGAGACACATGAGAGACTCCGGTATGCCATATATTGTCGAATACAGAGCATCTTCTGACTGCTTTGGCGTTTCCAGATGAATGTCCTTGTCGTTGTTTGCTGTTCCGTCTAGACGCAAATCGTTGCCTTGCGGATTGCCCACCATTTCAAATTTTGGCAGCACTGCCGGAGCTACGGCGTGGTGGTTAAGACCCGTAAATTCGCTGATGCAATCCGCGAAGCTGCATGTCCCTTCAGTCAAGATTCGTAAGTGAGTATACATATGTTGGAGGGTCCTCGCCTTGACCGAGTTCTGCTTATGCAGTCCACGATGACGAATTACGTATTCTGCCGCCAAAAGATATCCTTTGAATGCTTCTGGCTTGTCAAAGAGCTAAGAAACGTCAATATTTGCCAGAAACCATCCATTTTGAGTAACCTTACCGATACCATAGCCACACTCAAGATGGCCATTAGCAGTTCCTTGTATTTTGCACGGGCAACTCCAAGGATCTCGTCTTGCAACGCCTGAAAGACAAGTCTTTTGGCTTTATTTTGATATTTAAGACCCAATTCGCGCCATTTCTCGCCGCAGCGTTCAGTTGCGTGCAAATGATATGCGCTGTTTGCCGAGATGGCGTACAATACCGCAGATCGAGGATGTGACGCAGTATTCCACAGCTTGATCTCGCCATATGTTTCCAGGGCACAAGGCCAAAAGAGAAGTTGCCAAGGTGACTTCCTCCATTTGCGCAGATCCGCGGCGGGTTCGAGAACTCGTTCCTTGTAGTGACGAAGGAGCGGTTCCATTTGGGACAGAAGTCCATCAGGGTTGGAAATTTGGACCGATGAGAGCGCTGATGGTGAGGGTGGGATGCTCAATGTAGGCAACCAATAGTCCCATAGTTCTGAGGGAGAGCCTTTCATAAACGCATGCGGGCTAGTAGGCGGAAACAGTGACGCAAAATCAGTGTCATAGAAGTCAAGCGGTTCTTGAGAAGGAGACAGCGCAAGAAATGAACCTGCGGTAGAAGCACTGTCTATTGCCTCATTCAAAACACCCTGTACAGCCGTTTCATGTGAAAGCTCGCAATCCGTGACAGATGAGAATGGTCTAGTCACTGCAGCATGCCCTTGGCCAGGGCCATCGACGTCGGTTGGAACTGAGCCTGACGGGCTACCTTTGGTACCTGACCTTGACCATCTCTCATCTTTCGAAGAGCTTTGTTGGTCGACTGCAAAAACACTGAATGGACCTCTGATGAATGAAGAGCTCTTGTTTTCCAAGTTGCCGGGTTGCTGCCACTCGTCCACTTCGTCGATGGCTTTGGTCGTGCTTTGCTCTCCAAGGCTCTTGGCCAGTTTCGAAACTAAAGCCTGGCGGCGGGATTCTAATAGACAATTAGCAGAGGCATCGTCAGAAAGTATCTATCACAAACCAGAAAATAATGGATATCGATAGATGGCTCCCCGATGACTCTGCCTCCCTTCTGCGTACTCCCTGCCATCCGTCACCCACACCAGCTTTGGCCCGTAACCCTCACACTTCATCCCTAGTCTTTCACATGAGCCGCAAGTCGGGTGCTTTTCGTCGCATTTCGATCTTCGCTGACGACAAGTAATGCACCCTGTGAAAGTTCGCTTACGAGTGATGGCATTTGTCATCGTCAGCCGTGCAAAGAATTGCGCAACAAACAAGGTTTTGGAAGGTGAACATGGCCTGACAGGAGTTGCCGCAGCACAATGGCGAGATAGGAAGGTTTCCGCGCCTTGTGTGGAGCCCTGCTGCCTCAATGACCAATAGCAGCCCAGAGGTATGTATGGCATTATTAACCAGCATTCCCGTTTAGGTAGGAAACAGGACGTAGTGTTTGCCTGTGAAGACATATTAATAGGTCCGTGAACGCCGTCCTTTTCCGCCACCTTCATCAGTCTCATTTGGTTTCCTCCAGACCATATCTATCTAACACAATGGCCAAAGTCTTCCTGTACGTCACAAACGTCAAGCTAGGACAGCCACTGTCACTAACATGGGGTCCATCATAGCACGGGTGCCTCTGGGTACATTGGCGGACAAGTTTTACGTGAACTTTCCCGGAGCAAGACAAAATTCTCCATACGGGCTCTAGTAAGAGATCCAAAAAAGGCGTCGGCCATTAAAGAGGTCTTCCCGGATGTTCGAGCCGTAATTGGCGACCTTGACAACACCGAGCTGCTGATCAGGGAGACTGCCGATGCAGCCATTGTGCTACGTAAGGCGCCATCTGCCGGATAAGACATTGATCCTGACACTCTATAGATCTTGCTGCTACTGGGCATCTCAACAGTGTAAAAGCCATCCACCAAGGCCTTTCTAAGCGGGCAAACTCGCCAGGTACGAATACCACACCGTGGCAAACTACCTTCTACCAGCTAATCGCATCAGCAGCATATTGGATCCAAGTCTCAGGAGCTAGCGCCCTCGCTGCAGGAGAGCTTGCTTCCCCTTCATTCATTCCCGGGTCTGCCTCTGAGGCCGTCTTCAATGACTACCATGACGTGGCTGACGTCCAGTCCATCATACGGAAGCATCCTGCTCGAGCTGTAGACAACTACATCCTTGACAATGTGTCAACCGACACGAATATCAGGACGGCACTGGTGTTTCCCCCTATAATCTATGGGCTAGGCGAGGGCCCCTTGAATCAGCGCAGCATCCAGATTCCATCACTTGCCTCTGCAACCATTAAGCTTGGGCACGGAATCAGGGTTGGTTCCGGCGAAAATCGTTGGGGCAATGTTCATATCAGAGATGTGGGACGAATCTTTTCCACTCTTGCAGAGGCAGCTGCCAACGGTCGCAATGACGAAGGTTTGTGGGGTCAGAATGCTCTCTATCTCGCCGGAGTCGGTGAAGTAGTAAGTGGAAAAAGACCAGCATAAGCCCAGTCATCGGTACATGTTAAGCTGATGGGAGTAGAATTTTGCCGAGATCTCGGCCAGAGTTGCCGCTGCGGCTAAACATCAAGGACTGATCGCTTCTGACAAGGTTGAAGAGTTGAGGCAAGACCAGTACGATACTGTCCTCCCTCATGGCAAGGTTCTATTTGGCACCAATGCACGAGGTCAGGCTACAAGAGCCAGAAGGTTGTTAGGTTGGGTGCCGAGGGAGAAACCTTTGGAGAATGATGTTGAACGAACCATTTCAGAGGAGAACAGGCGTGGTAATTACTAAACTAACGATGCTTGATATGCGGCTTGCTAACAGAGAAAGAAACGGTTATTCATGCGAAGCTTTAGATAGCCGACTACAACAAAATGTCAACGTTTAAACCGTATATCTTGCTTAGACGGGATTTTCAGGCCCAGTCCGAGTATGAATCATTACTCAACATTTCTACACTGAAAATCTACAACTGGTTTAATATATTATGATATATTATGTTACATGCTCGCTTACCACTTTCCGGCAAACCGCAGGAATACGCGGATTACACTCTTTAAGTGCTTCTTGTTCTTTTTGTCTATAAAAAAGTGCCAGTTTTGGTAGCTACCAAAAATGTAATAATAGATAATACCCCCGGATATTAAGGTTGAGGGTCTTCTGTCCACTCTGTTATACAATAATAGTAGTACTCTGGCCACTACCAAAAGATGGGCTGCATTCGTCCCAATGCATTCTTAAACATTTCGAGCCAAGCCAATTCCAATGATCTCAAAACCATCAATGAATATCGTAGACCAGCAAACAGCCCTTTTATACGCTGCCTGAGCCTACGCTAACGATCGAGGTGACCCCCACATCATAGTTTCCTACAGGCTAAGAGAAAGAAAACATTCGCTTGCTTTGACTGCCCGTATACAATAAAGCCTTTCGTATGCACCAGCCCAATCCATAGACCCAACATGCACCGTGATTCAGTGACTAGTTGCCACTCAACAGGACCATTCTCAACTCCAAAAATCAGTCGTCAAGCCGTAGGGGAAACGTGGCCAACACGGCTGATGTCGACTATTTTCGTGGCCCCAAACATGCCGCTCTGTCAAAGCGACTCACGGCGTTTTTTCACAAAACTACTCTCGTTCTGGGAGAAATAGCCCAATGACAAACTTACAAGCTCCATCTTCAACCAGCAGTATACACCATGTGCGAATACAACAGAGTCTCTGTGCCCACAGACTCTATGCTCTCACGCATCGTCCCCCGAATCTTTAGCCTGAAGCCGCATCGTAATCTCCTCCGTTTCAATCGCCAAGGACGTTTCCCTCGGCCGCCATATATCCCAGTCGGTCGAAGTCGCCACGTTCTCGGTCCTAGGCACATTTACAACCCTCCTCTCCGTAAAACCACCACTTGACGAAGTGCACCGCGGCACGGTTTGTTCATCCCGCAGTCGAATATTTCTAGTGTAATTTTCGTGCGATGCCAGCATCAAGACGGGGGGCCGGGAACATTCCAAGCCACGGCAATGTGCTATTCTTTTTGACGAATCGGCGCGTCTCGGCAAGGAGACCTGGGGATCAGCGAGAGCGAGAGATGGTCTGCTGCTCCGCGCCGATGCGGGTAGTGAGCATCGGCGCTCGTCACGGCGTCTTGGGAAGCTGTCTGATCTGCTCGTGATCAAATTGTGCTCTTGGTCTTTGAGGTGGCATCGTTCGGAGCAGTAGTCGGATCCGTACGCCTGGTTGTCGCAGCCGAGACAGAAGGACGCGGCCCAGCTTGAAGTCACGGAGCCAGTAGCCATGAGTGCAGCCTCGAGGTTCAGGTAAAACATGTACATGTATACGATAGTCAAAGAGGGCTTTGGGGAGAAGTAGACGAACAAAATATCGTGGTGCTGGCGACTGAAAGCTTGCCCCTTGAAAACTGACAAGCCAGGGGAATAAAAGCAAATGGCGGGAATAAAGCTCAGCTTTGGAGTCAAAAGACATAAGTGCGACTATAGTCCAGTAACAAGGGCCTGGTCTATCACATGGCCTTGCTACGAGGGTTCCATGGGTGCTGACGATTGCACCAGACGTTTGTAAGAGAGGAGGCTATGTAGTAGGCTGCTGCGGAACCACGATCGCCGGTGCATATGCAGTTTCTTGATTGCGCAGGTATTTCTGTGGCATGTAACACCGAGGCATGCAGCACGTCGAATAATGCCATGCAGCTAGACCTTTGCGGGTTGCCGTATGTGTCTTGCCGATATTTGCTTTCGCATGTGCACCTTGGCGCGGCCCGTCGATAATCGATATACAAGACGCTGACTCGCATCCTGTCCACATACAAGAAGCCACGTTCATAAGGGTACTAGATTGTCAAAGACGAAAGACAGCCAGGTGCATATTTGTAATGATTCGCGTCTGCAGAGCTCCGGCCACTCTTGCATGAAAGCTGAAGGATAAATCGAACATAGGTGGCAACTAAACTCCGAGGACAGACATAGATTAAATCAGCTCATCCTTGGCGCACCATGACATCATGTAGGACTAGGTGTGTGCTGCAAAAGATGGAGAGGCAAATGAGACAGCACCGTCTATATTGAACCCTTGTTATCAAAGGGGCGCTTCAACCCAGGAGCTGCCTTGGAGGGTGGCATCGGATAGCCGAGCCGCCCTGCGGTGCAGACGCTTCCATACTATCGACTTGGGCATATAGTCGGAGAAGCGAAACCCCAAGGGCAAAGGGATCGGGCGACTTCCCGTAGAGTCGCATTTTCCCCAACCTCGGGGGCTGCGCCTGACACGCACGTTGTGATCAATGGTAGCAGCAGCACAAAGGGGCGGCCCGATTCCGATACACATCTGGGCCCGAGCAAGGGTTCGATTTGTATATTCACTAGTAACCTGGTCCAGAAACTCATCCTCACAGCGGCGTCGAGCCAGTCCTCGACACGACACTCCCCAGCGGGTGGTGCAAGAAGGCTGCTGTAGCAGAGTCATGTAACGGAGTGGCGATGAGTAGACTGGGGAGCCAGTATCGCCAGGACACATTGCATTCGACGCCGTACACTGACATGTACCCCGTGGTTTCACCATACAGTCGACAGAGAGAAGAAACGCGTGCATCGCGGAGCAACGCACGACAGTCGGGCAAGCTCGCCCGCGGACGCGCAATACCCCCCCCCCCCCCCCAGACATGGCGACCTTCAGACCTGCAAGTTCCCACAGGTCGGCATACTTTGCGGGAATAACGACGAGAATTGCTGCCCGACTGTACACCAAGGGCATCATGGTGTCGCCTGGGCCGTTGCACCGACTACCATACACTCGCTGGTGGCACGGCCTGACATGATGGCAACTGCATTGATGCCTGCGTCGCCGGCCCAGGGCCCAATGATTTGTATCCGACTGTGAAAGACGTCGTACTGGATGGTACGCTCCGGCAGTTCCTCGCAACGTCTGCGTGCCATCGCGGCGGGCACAAGCAAGCGTGGCCATCAAGGCGCCTCCGGGGCTCGGGAGCTATCCTGCAACGCTCGCATGTAACAGATGGCGATGGTCGACATGAAAGATTCTGCTTGCAACGCACGCCGTTGGCGCCATGTCGAATACCTTTGACGCTGTAACAAGGAACAACTTACGTGCCGCCCCTGAGGCTAGCCAGGCTGATCCAACGGGAATAAAGCAAAATGAAAGTTTCTTCATCCCGGCAAGGGTACACTCGCAAAACTCTCACAGCTACTTGTGATTCACCATCAGGGTATTCAGCCTGTTCGACGTTGGTACATGTTTCGCGCGACGGCTTGGATGCCGGGGTCTGAGATGGAATGTGGGAAAAGGAGCACTGAGACGACCAATTGTTGCTCATGTATGATTGATAGCGACGCCGACATTAAATTAGGACTCTGGCTAGTAAACTGTATAATGCTGCGGTAGACGCCGCCCTTGACAAGAGTAGAGGTGGCTGAAATGGATTGCCGCGATGCCCAGCCGTCTTCACTTATACGTTGTCATCCAAGCTGAACAGCACACCGAATGAGCATGGCAGAGAAATGTCCCGCACGTCCAAATATGAAACTTCACAGAACACGCAAGTAGGAATCGTGCATGGCATCTAATGCTCATCTCGTATACACTCTTCGCGGCTCTAGAGGCACCATGCGTCTCCCCCTCTCACCCAACAAACCAAATAGCCAACGCCGCATGTCTGTTGGCAGCAAATGATGACGTTCTATACCGTCGATAGCAGTATAATTTCAAACTGCCGACAATCTTCGGCGCCCGTACATTCGCGGCGCTGCCACTGAAATCCGTCGCCTTGGAACCAACTACGCCACCGCGCGGCTTGCCCAGAGGGGGAAACACTGCCCTTCTCGACGTCGGGATACTCGGACCCCAGCTGAACGGAAGCGGTCTCGCCAGCCTGAGCTGAACAAGACGATCCCAGTAGAGCAATTCACTTGACCGGCCGAAGACCAAGGCGCCGTTCCACATTCGCACACCAAAAGTCTGCTTCATATCACCCGCCGCTGCCAATCTCAGACGTCTCCGAGGGCGTCACGGGCGGCGTCTCAAGCAAGTCCATCTCCACGGCCGGCCGGACAGGCTGCGGCCGCTTCTTCGGGTCCAGCCACAGCAGCAGCTTCTGCAGCAGCACATTCCTGCCCACCGGCTTGGGGACGTAGTCGTCCATCCCGCACCGGATACACTTCTCCCTATACCCGTGGAGGGCGTTGGCCGTCATGGCCACAATGGGCACGCTGCTGCCGAGCCGCCTGATGCTCGCGGTGGCCTCGAACCCGTCCATGACGGGCATGCTAACGTCCATGAGCACCATGGCAAACTCGCCCTGTGCCTGGTTCACCATGGCCGCCGCCTGGGCGCCGTCGGAGGCGACGGCAATGTTGCTGAGCCCAAAGGAGTGCAGCGTGCCCACCAGCACCTTTTGGTTGATGATGTTGTCCTCCACCACCAGGATGCGCATCGTGCTCCCTGCTTTTTTCCACCTCGCCAGCGCGGCGGCCGCATCGTCGCTGCCCAGCGCCGCCTCCCCCGTGGACAAGTGCGACGACGGCGTCTTGTCCGCGTCGTCGGGCTGCTCCCCCGTCGTCGTTGTCGTCTTGTCGAGCCGCACCGCGAACCAGAATACGCTGCCTTGGCGTAACGGGTTCGGTCGGTATCCCAGGTCGCCGCCCATCAGGACGGCCAGCGACTTGGCTATGGATAGGCCGAGACCCGTCCCCTGGAAGCGCTTGTTGATGGAGCCCTCGGACTGCATAAACGGCTGGAACAGGTCCTTGATGGCGCTGTTCTTGACGCCGATCCCCGTGTCCGTGACCTCGGTGAGGATCGAGTACGCCGTCTCGGTCTCCTCCCTCACGGAGCACGAGACGGATATACACCCCGCGTCTGTGAACTTGGCCGCGTTGTCGATGATGTTCTGCACGATTTGCCGGAACCGCAGCTGATCTCCGCGCGCCAGCCTCGGCAAGTCGGGCGCCAGTCGCAGCTTCATGTCCACGCCGGGCATCAGCGTCGTCTGGGCCGTCCTCACCACCGACGCGACCAGGCCCCCGACGCCAAACACCTCGGGCGTGATGGAAAAGGTGCCCGACGCCAGCTTCGAGTAGTCGAGGATGCTGTTGATGACGCCGAGCAGCACCTGGCCCGACTCGGCAATCATGTTGGCCGTCTCGCGCTGGTCCTCGGACAGGGTCGTGTCGAGGAGCAGCGCGCACGCCGAGAGCAGGCCGTGCATGGGCGTGCGTATCTCGTGGCTCACGTTGGCGAGGAAGTCGTTCTTGAGCCGCGAGCTCTCCTCGTAGGCGGCAATCAGCCGCAGCTCGTTCTCCCTGCGCTCCGTCAGGTCCCGCGTCACCTTGCCGAAGCCAATGTGCACGCCGTGGCGGTAGACGGCCGTGATGACCACGTTGGCCCAGAACTTGCTGCCGTCCTGGCGGTACCGCCAGCCTTCGTCTTCCACCCGTCCCTGGCGCAGGCACGTCATCAGCTCGTGCTCGGGCTTGCCGGCGCGCAGGTCCTCGTCGCCGTAGAAGCTGGAAAAGTGCCGCCCGATGATGTCCTCCCTCTTGTAGCCCTTGAGCAGCTCGGCCCCCGTGTTCCACGTCGCCACGTAGCCGCGCGTGTCGAGGAGGAAAATGGCGTAGTCCTTGACGGCGTGCACGAGGAGCCGGAACATTTCGTCATTCAGCCGGTCCGTCGCGGATCCGTCGTGGCTGGCATCTTTGCTGAACAGGGTCTCCTCTTGGTCAAACTCCATGACCAGCAACTGCAGCTCCTCATTCTTGAATAGGGGGATGATGCGTGCTGACCAGGATGTTTCGCCCTCTTTGTATGCGTTTGGGCACAACCTCAGGGCCCGGCTGGCGATGGCATTCTCGATGGCGCTGGCAAGAGGTATGCGGTCGAACCTCTCCAGTACCGAGCCCCCATATAGAACATCGAAAATGTCCCTGCCGATGAGGTCCTTGGTACTGCGGTTCCAACTGGTTTCGATGCTCCGAGAGGCACTTTTAACGCGGTAGCACCGAGACACAACAAGAGTCGGGACGGGAGTCGCATCCCAGAAGGAGTCGATGCCCAACGCTGCACAGTCAGCTTGCTCCGAGCCGGCTTCGGCAGAGAGCCGCGTTTCCTGCATGGCGAATAGGTTGTAAAAGTCGATTGATCAAGTCAAATAAACATTGTGCAGGGAAAGCTAGCATCATTTCCCAACGTGGAGTTGTAGGAAGCAAGTATCGTGAGTTTTGTGGGCATGAAATGGGGGGTTCCCGCCATGCGTCAATGGCTGGCGCCACCACAAAACCCCGTGTGACGTGTCGGGGACGTGTCGGTGGCGGAGATTCTGGTCCGGGACAACTTGGCCATGGCTCGTTGTGAGACACTGAGGAGTGATGTGGTCTATCAGATAACCAGCTGGGTTTCCATATCAGGAAGATGTGGATGGGATGCATATGCATCTTGGGAGTTGGGAGTCGGGACCAGCACTTGGGGCGAATACCGATCCCAGCTGGGCTGTGACTTAAAAGTGTCAATCGCAACCGCATCATCCCGCTTCCAGGCAAGCCCCCTTGTAGTTTTGCATCGAAAAGCACATGCACTCTGGTATCCTCGTGTAAACTTCCATGTTGTCTTGATGCGTCTTTGGGTCAAAGTTTACCAGTCCTTTGGCCACTCTTGTCATGTTATTTGCTTCCAACCCTGCTATCCGTCTTGTCTGCCTCTTTGGATCCAACTGCCCATCAGCGAGTAGTTTGACGCCAAATTTGTTCGCCCATCAGCAGCTGATCCCTATGCCTCTCTGCCAGCGATGCTCCGTCTTGCCGTGTAGCGTGGCGAGTTGTTTCCTTGTTTTTCGTGGCATCCCACAGCGTCTGCTGCACCACGCGATCCGGCATCACGAGCATCAAATTCCAATGTGGCCGTGCCACAGGCGGCACTCCCTTTTCATAAAGGCGTGGTGTGATGATGTGCTAATTTCCCATACGTCGTGCCCCAGAGGTACAAGTGTCATACGACATGCGTTGGCGAATAGCAGCGTCTACAGTTCAAAATTACGCAGTTCACATCGAAAACCACCCAGCATGCTCAAGACTACACATCTCCGGCTCTCGACTGCCGTCACGGCTCACGAGTGATCAAAATCATACCGTTCTGGATGGCCAAGTGCAAGCCTCGGCTGTGATTGGCAAGCACCAACCACCGTCAAAGATTAATTCGAGCTTTTCAACGAATCAAGCAGGCACTTCTCAGCAACGGCTTTCGTAATTTCGTCTTGTTTATTGGGCAAACTTTTATTTGGCTTGGAGATGTGGTTCTGGTCGACGATATGGCTCTGACCCGTCATCCCGACGGGTCATGATAATCTGGACTTGACAACGTGATTCATATGGCGTAGAGTGTCTTCCAGAAATAAGGCATCTTGGCTATCTTGTATTCTTGACGTCCCCCAAGCTCTGGCGGGTTTGATGCCATACTATCCGGCTGCTATCAACGCCACAGGCCTCTTTCAATGGAAGAAGGCTGCTATTCATCGGTATCGCCGAAATGCCCTGAAATGAAGCCACCAAAAGCCTCTAAAAGCCTCGCGCCCCGACCCTACTGAAGCCGGATCTTCAATAGCTAAATCCCTTAAATTGCTGACTTTCTAGGTAACCTACTAGATAACCTGCGATATCTATAAGAAGGGCCTGTCATCCCTAGCTAGAAAGTCTCAATACAAGGACTTCGTCACTGTTCAATTTAATCCCTAGCTTTTCAACGTGATATACAATGTCTTGGATAAATATATATTGCCAAAGCCCACAGCCGGCCAGTCACAGCTGTCGCAACGACCTCTCGCGGCTTCGAAAACGGCAGCCGCCGAGCATTCGTATCCCGCTCCGCTGCGTCTTCTCCGTCGCCGAGCATCGCCGCCGGAATCCAAGTATTCGAGGACAGATCGTTTGCATGTCCAGTCTGCAATGTCCCATCTTTGACGTGGCCCCATTCGGTCCTGGACGCGCCAAGTCTCCAAACAACGTCCCCGATCCAGGCCAGTTTTTTAACAAGGGTCAGCGGAACCGCCGAGCGGAACGACAGCCGCGTGACAAGTTCAACAGCGCCGTGGATATTCTCGACAACCCCCAGGGTACCAATTTGCCTGTCTGGTTCGTATTCAACGCAAGCAGGAGCGAAGCCTCTCTTGGATCACATACCCGTTGGGCCGGTGGCCTACCTCCAGTTACAAGCCCTGTCCCATCATGAGCTGAGGGAGTCCAGATAGATGCAAATTGTTGATGAGGCTGAAATCCTGTTTCTACAGCCTGAGATATTGTAACAGTAGGTGCAGCCATTGTTGCAAGTTTGATTTCTTCTTCTTCGTTCAAGCACCTAGAGGCGTGTCAACGTCAACCCAATTCACTCTATGCACGACAGGTTTTTCTCTCCATAGGGTGTATATGTAAACGTACGCCCCGTTGATCACGACCAGACAGTCATGGAAGGGATAGACGTACGATGCGCGTAGGCTAGCTCGATAGCGCGTAGTCCCTTCAAAGACACAGGGCCTGCCGGTATTGCGGCACCCTCTACAAGGCCGCTGACCAGTGCATTTGATCTTGCGCCTTTTGCATTCCTCATATGCGATGGGCGTGTATGAATTTCGTCTCTTGCGGTGGATGGGGAGAGTCGTCGAATGCAACGGCTGGGGTGCCTCGGCATCGGCCATGAATGCGAGATGGCCGCCCGAAGCTTCATCGAGGTCAACAGATAACTGTCATAAGTAACTCGGTGAGAAAAGGTGCTTCCAGTAAATGGAATGAGGAAAAAAAGACAAGGACGACGTTGGGTGACAGGTCTATGGCAAGGCTTGGCTTCAATTTGGCAATGATTTCGGAAAGACGTCAAAGCACCAGACCCCACCAATGCCCGGCATGGCGCATAAAAACGGCAAGGTATTCAAACACGGCGGCGATGACCCAATTCTCCAGTCGCACATTACGGTGAACATTGAAGGCTCCCGCGTGCGGATTTGCCGGCAAGGCGGAAGCATACATGTGAAGCATACATATGTATGTAGGGTTGGTGCGGGCCTCCGCAAAGCCCGCGAACCCATGTACCCTGTCATCTGTCATGAGGACGGATTGGCACTAGACACGAGGTGAACGTGAGCAGAGCGCCTTGAAACGTCTTTCAGCCTCTGCAGACTTGAAGTGTATAAATAACCCACAAACTTTGTTCCCATAACTACATGTTCGTGCCATGGACAAGCCTGTTTCTGTCATAGGTCACGTTACTAAGCGTGTCGTGGCTCCGGCAGAGGATTATACCCCAGCTTTGAGACAAGATCTCGGCAGTCTCCAACAGTAAAGACCGGAGCTGGTGCGAAACTCATACTGCGGGCTGGTCGGTTCGGCCGCTCCGTCTAGGCGGCACACAGGACGATGGCGTCAACATTGAAACTTGGGGCGCAGTAAAACCTGTGACCAAGCAAGTCGCAACCCAAGTCTGCTGGGTGAGGCCTCCATAGTAAATCAATAAAACGTGCGTTGCCTTCTCCGTCAGCGGCTTATACGGAGTACTGCAGTAGATGAAAAGTAGTCCTTCCTCTCATGATACCTATCCGAGAATAACAGGGCGCAAAACCCATATTTGACAGGTCGTCCTCGCGAGGCAGTGAAGGCTCCAATGCTGACTGGATTCTGGTCTTTTCCATTGTTGGAACCTGGGCTGCGTTAAGGAGGTGGCCAAAAAAGAAAAAAAGAAAAAGAAAGGAAAAAGGAAACAAGAAAGAGACAAAAAGAAAAGCAGCAAACGCTCCACACTAGACATGACGTAAGCGGCCTGCATGTCTGGCCTCTGTTTAAAGACATCAATTGGCATTGACAGCTGGAGCGCACCAGTCCACTGTTCAACGGCGACTCGACCAGCAAGACAGCCACGGTTCGCCCAGACCAAGTGGAGTTGCCGGCGTCATGCACGCAAGGCGTTCGGCACCAACGCCATGCCGACATGGATCAAATGGCTCCAAGCCCTCAAGTGCTCCAATACCAGTCCTCTTATTACGCTCGCTGGCGGAGAATTCATCCACTGACGGCTCGCACAGCGGCAGCCTTCCCCGCGTTTTGCCCCCAAAACAGGCAAAGATCATGGCAGCCCATTGTTGATGTGCCTTGTCTAACCGGAATCCCCGTTCCGATTTTCCATTATAACGGCCGAGCTCCCGTGGTAACCGGCTCACTCGTCGGCGACGGCTACAGCAGCGCGTGCTGATGGCGTGTGGTGACACGGCTTTCTGAGCGTCTACATTGCCCACAAGAAGCGTCTTAAAGGCGCCACGGAAGACGACGAGCATCTTCGGGCTCTAGTCCAATTTTCTCCAGATCTTTTCTCCTTCTTCTTCTCTTCTCATTACCAATGCCCATCTGTTGATTCGCGAAATCGCTGGGCTCAGAATCGCAAACCCCGGGAAACCATGTCGTACCCCGTCATTGCGCTTGGCGTCGTCGCCGCCATCTACCTCCTGGTCCGATACCTCAATGCTACCGACATTCCGAAAATCAAGGGCCTGCCCGAGATTCCAGGCGTCCCCATCTTCGGCAATCTAATCGAGCTGGGCACCGACCACGCGCGGGTTGCGCAGCGATGGGCGCGCAAGTACGGGCCCGTCTTTCAGACCCGGCTGGGCAATCGTGTAAGTTCCAGACACTGAAAAGCCAGACCAAAAATCCACTGCTCCAGTCTCCTGCTGTTCTTTTCTCATTCATAGGCTGTCTTCTTCCTTTTATTCTATTTCATCTTAATCCCCTCGGGAGATGAAAAAAAAAAATCATGTCAAGTAGATCGCCAGGCTAACTCGAGTCCCCCTCTCGCGGGACACAATACAGCGCATCATCTTTGTCAATTCCTACGAAACCGTCAAGTACTTCTGGATCACTCACCAGTCGTCTCTCATTTCCCGGCCCATGTTCCACACCTTCCACTCGGTCGTCTCGTCCTCGCAGGGATTCACCATCGGCACCTCGCCCTGGGACGAGTCGTGCAAGCGCCGCAGAAAGGCGGCCGCAACGGCTCTCAACCGCCCAGCTACGCAGTCGTACATGCCCATTCTCGATCTCGAATCCACCGTGAGCATCAAGGAACTGCTCGAGGACTGCAAAGGCGGCACCCGGCCCGTCGACCCCATCAACTACGTCGCCAGGTTCGCGCTCAACACGTCGCTGACGCTCAACTACGGATACCGCATCGACGGGTCTGTTGACAGCGAGCTTCTCCACGAGGTCACCCACGTGGAGCGCGAGATTTCCAATTTCAGGTCAACGAGCAATAATTGGCAGGATTATGTTCCCCTGCTGCGGTTGTGGGGTGCTCAGAACTCGTCGGCGCAGGAATATCGACTCCGGCGCGACAAGTATCTGTCCAATATGCTGGACCATCTCAAGGCGGAAATTGCAAAGGGCACGGATAAACCTTGCATTACGGGAAACATTTTGAAGGACCCCGAGGCAAAACTGAACCTTGGTATGTTCCCAGGCGACCCCAGATACACTACATGTCTCGAGATTTCATGTTTCTCGGTGAGATCGGGCATGCTAACAGGTTGGGCGCTCTGCAGCCGAAGTCAAGTCGATTTGTTTGACCATGGTCTCTGCTGGTCTTGATACCGTGCCGGGCAATCTCATCATGGGCATGGCATTCCTCTCCACCAAGGAAGGGCAGGCGGTACAGGCCAAGGCTCTCCAGGCAATCGAAGCCGTATATCCAGAGGGCGATGCTTGGGAAAAGTGCCTGGTGGAAGAAAAAGTGCCCTACATCACTGCGCTCGTCAAGGAAGTCCTCCGATACTGGACCGTGATTCCGATTTGTCTTCCTCGCACCAGTATTCGAGATATCCCTTATAAGGATACTGTGATTCCTGCAGGAACAACTTTTTTCATGGTTAGTATTATCCCGACGTACTCTTTGTTTTCCTTTTCTTCTTCTGTCTCTCTCTTTTTTTTATTTTATTTTATTTTTTTTTTTTTAAAGACTGTCTCGTCTATAATGCAAGCTAATACCATGTTCCTGGGGGCAGAACGCCTACGCCGCCGACTACGACGAAGAGCGATTCAAGATGCCCGAGAAATTTATCCCCGAGCGGTTCTTGGAAGACACAGAAGTCGGCACACCGCATTATGCGTACGGAGCAGGGTCTCGCATGTGCGCAGGCTCGCACCTTGCGAATCGCGAGCTGTACACGGCGTACATTCGCCTCATCACGGCATTCGAGATGTTCCCGTCGGAGAATCCCGAGGACGCGCCCTGCATGGACTGCATCGAGTGCAACGCCACGCCCACGTCGTTGACGTTGGATCCGAAACCGTTCAAGATTGGCATTAAGCCGCGCTCAGAGGCCAGGCTGAGGCAGTGGATTGCGGAAGCAGAGGAACGAACAGCGCACTTGAGGTAGACACCAGGCACGATTACGTCGGTAGATGATGAATTGTATTTGAAACATGACATGATGATCAATTTGTCGACTGGGGCGACAGTCGTCGTCGTTTGTGAAACGTGACTGAAAGCCACGACAAAGGACGGTCCCACGGCGTTCAAGATGGTCGCATCACCACAATTGGGTGCCTGTGCAATTGGGTCATTAGCAAATGTGCCTCGTCCTACGGAGTAAATGACAGCCAACCCTTGTACTTCTCGAGGATAGGATCCTTGAGATGAAATTGCCCATCTGGCTGGCTGCCTTGCTGTCGGTGGCTGTGCCGGCCAGCCACTTGAGTACATACAGCGCCGATGTAGTACCTGGGCACTTTGGAGCCTTGATCCATGCCCAGGTACGATCGGATCCCGGTGGTTCTTCCGCCCGCGTCATCAGTGCGAAACGGGCGGCACATTGTAAAGCCAGACTTGTCTAATAACGGCGCGAAGCTGCTGGTATTAGTATCATGTCCGGAAATTCATCTGGAGACAGAGCAGTGACCTGCCCAGCTGGAAACGTTTGGTGGAACTACTGGGGTTCTTGGCCAGTAAGGCATCCGGTCTGGTTTGTTCGGTGGTATTGGCCTGATGGGGAAGTTGCGGGGGTCCCGGTTCGACCCTCTCAATGTGTTCGGGTTGGTGGCCGTTGTTGAGAGCGTCTTGGGTGTGCAGAGCGACGATGATAACAAGTCTGGTACGATGCTGTCGCATTGCAGACTGCAGAGCCATTGATGGCCATGGCCAGTTTGCAGCGAGGCTGGCGAAAACATGGACTGAGGAATGGCCCTGGCATGGGGTGTCCATGTTCAACAGCGGACATGGACGGCCAGGGATCCAGTCTGCAGGCTTGGCCGACTTGAGCAGGACCAGACAGCTGCAGACTAGGTAGGACTGGACAGCTGGTCGCCAGCTGGTCAGGTGGCGTCACCTTTCCGACATGGAACGGCAGGCCCAGCGCCTGGACATGAAATGACCGAGACAACTGCAATGCTGGGAAGACGTATTCACACTCCGTACATTCGCCAATGAAACACACACAATACAACCACAACACAAATCCAAATACCTGGTGTTTGATGAGCCCAATGACGGCATACGCACATGGTGGTGCTTTGCCACCAGTCCAGTCCAGACCAGCCAAGCCAGGGACCCATGCACAGCGAGGCCCATGACAATAACACGAGTACCAGCAGTCGACACCCCTGCCCATCTCATCATACGGGATATTGAACATTGAATGGAGGAATATTGTCGTATCGTCTGCAAAAGGAGACGCCAGCATAACAATAAACTTGACGCTTCGCTCCGCTCCGGTATTGATTCCATCAATGCTGCCAAAGTACCCAGTTTGCGAGCCATGGAAAATACTCCGCACGTTATCAGACAATAGTAGTACTATCAATTGGCCGTCTTGTCCCCGTTGCCTTTTAGTCGAGCCCAAGCGCCCCCCGTCCCAACGCCGTTGACGAAGGCGTCCCCCGGTCCCAGCACCGCTTCCTTTCTACCAACATCTGGCTGCTCTCGCCCGCATCTCGTCACCATTGCCGGCTTCGTCCCTCTTCACTCTTCACTCTTCATCCTTCACCGCCGCCGTGGCCCCTACGCGAGCGCCTACTGGGAAAAACAGACACGACGACCGCAGCACTGTGCCCCCTGCGTTTTTCATCGTCATCGCAACGTTTCGCTACCTATTTGACTCCTGTCTGATCGCAGCCGCCCAAGCCGCCTATGCGAAACCGCAGCTGATTGATTCTCTCTGCACATCATCTCGTCCGGAGAATCATGCACGCCTAAATCCTGTCCAGGCTTTCGACACCTGTCTCGCATCCCCGTTTTCCCATCCTCTCCTGGTTGCTGCCTTGGCTCCTTTACCAGCGCTGCCTTGCACGCTTGCTGCCGAGTGCACCGTTGTCGGCCCAAACCGATTGACGAAAAACGACCGCCACCAAAGCTTGCTTCGTCGACACCATCCCCATTACGGCGTTCGTCTCGGCGGCTGCAGTTTTGCTTCGCGCGACTGCGTTAGCTACTCTTTAAGATTTGGCCTGCTTGGACTAAGTGGTTGTCGGCGTAATCTTTTTTCTTTTCAACAAGGAAAAGACGAAAAAAGAAAATACCCCAAAATACACCACCCCTACTTACTACCCTCCTCCGAATACTGGGGCATTTCTTCTCTCCTTTCTTCATTTTCATTTCCGCACCACTCGCGCTTACGGCTGCTGCTGTGTCTTTTTGACCTCCCTGCGGAGGTTATGGAATCGTAAGTACCCTGACCAAGGCACCCTTGACCTCTGAACCGTTCCTTCCAGCTTCGGCTCTCGGTGCCCTCTTGATGCCCAGTGTCTCAACCTCAAACTTGGGCTCCCTCCTCTGTCTTGCGCAATGAGACAATGTATAGCATATTGGTGGACAATTGCATTCGTCAACACTATTATTCGCGAGCCTAAACCATGACCGTGGCTAACCACTTGTTCAGCTTCATCTACGCTGCTGGCTGGCCGCAACATCACCAAGCATCCTCCCGACCTTCCTCCGGCCGATCCTCCCTTGGCCATTTTCGTTCCCTGTCGTCCGTTGCCATCACAACTCAATCCACGCCGCCCTCTCCAACGTCACAAAAGCCGCGTTTACCTCTCAAATCACCGTCCACCCCACAGTTGCCCGTCATTCCTCTCGCAACCTCCTATTCCGCACCGACCCTTAACGATGAGATGAGCACCCTGCCGGATCCGCGGAGTCGCTCCAAAAGCCCGGCCAATGATGAATCCGAGCCGAGTTCTAACCACCATCCCGACCTCGACGATGAAGTCGCTACCCTGAGCACGAAACTCATCAACGCCATCAACTACCAAACCGTTCTTGACGACACCCTCTCAGCAACCCGTCACGAGCTATCTACAGCCAAGGATCGCATACGAGAATTGGAGTCTCAGAATTCTTCTATGCGGGACACTATTCGAGGGGATGTCTGGGTTCGTCGATCAACCCTCGAGGCAGAGAGGAAGGCATTGGCCCTGGAAAAGAAAGGCATGCAAGCCAAGCTAGCAGAAGAAACCGCCCGGCGTCTCGACACTGAGAAAGAGAAGAGGAAAATTGAGCAAGAACTGGAGAACCTCACCACAGCCCTGTTCGAGGAGGCGAACAAGATGGTGATTGGTGCCAAGGAGGAGGCACAAGCCCAACATGATGCCCTGCAACGCAAGATTGACCAGCTCAAGGCCCAGCTGGCTGACTCGGAAGGACTGTTGAAATCCCAGCAGGAACAACTCTCTGAGCTAAAAAGCGTCATGGAAACGATGGCTTCGGAGCACGAGGAACAGACTAACGGCACAGCACCGCCATCACCAGGTGGCGGCAGATCTGATCATGAATACGATGATCGAGCAGTTCCATATGGACCCTATGCCGCCTCTCCTTCGGCTGAATCTTTTGCCCCTTGCTCACCCTTGAGCCTGTCGCATCTTATCCAACCTGCTTTGCGAACGGATCTTCCAGCTTTCGAAGATTTCATGAGTCTGGCCAGACTATCCCACAATAGGTACTCTCCTAGCAGGATCTCCTCGGGATCATTGGGCAGCCTAAATGCTCTTGCGCTAGGCCTTGGTGGCTCTACATCAAGTGCCCATCCTTCCAACGCCTCCACCACGTCTCTAAGCGCTTCCACCCCGGCCGATAAGAGCGCTCCGCAGTCCCCGAACACTCCGGCGTCAACGGCAAGCGTTGGCTCCAGCGGCATACCGCTTCCTCCGCTCAAGGAAACTCGATTTTACAAGCGCGCTTTGACCGAGGACATTGAGCCGACTCTGCGACTCGATATTGCCCCTGGTCTATCATGGCTCGCCCGCCGCAACGTGCTAAGCTCCATTGCAGAGGGGTCCCTGGTTGTCGAACCGATCCCGGCCAGCGCAACCTGTAATGGCACTGCCAAGCAACCTCAAATGCAACCTTGCTCCCTTTGTGGAGAGTCGAGAAAGGACTCGCAGTACCTGCGAAACCACCGATTCAGGACTAGCGAGGCGGATACAGCTCAGAGGTATCCACTGTGCAATTATTGTTTGAACCGAGTTCGCTCAACCTGCGACTACCTTGGCTTTCTTCGCATGGTCAAGGATGGCCATTGGCGAGCAGATGATGAGGACCAGGAGAAAGCAGCTTGGGAAGAGAGCGTGAGACTAAGAGATCAAATGTTTTGGGCACGCATCGGCGGAGGTGTTATCCCTGCTGCTCCTAGCCATGCCGAAGACGAGGTGGGCCAGGACGCCAAGGTCAGTCGTCAGTCGGAGGAGTCCAACGGCGCATCCCAAAAGGACTTCTCCGAAAATCAGGTTGTGTGCTCGACGCCAGAGAATCGCAGCCATGAGGAAGTTGGCAAAACTGCCACCCTGGAACCCCATACTCCGCCAGAACAGACCGACGGCGGACGTGCATTCCGCATTTCTGTCCAGTCGGCTGACTCGCATAAAACTGGCGACTCTGCCAGCACCAAACGGCAGTCCGCAGAATAAACTACGACAACAATGAACCACACACTTGGCGGATTTCTGCACAGATTTACAAGCCGCTTTATTTCTATCACAGTTTTTGCAGTCATTATTTAATACATCATGTATAATATTATTACTAATGGGTCGTGGGTGGATCTTCACACGGACGAGGCGTTTAGACGGAATGGGGACGGGTTTGTTTCATGAAAAGACGTGCACCTATTCACGGATGGACAGACATGTGGACGAATTGCAGCATACAATGCATTGGACGGAGTCTGGGCAGGGGTACAGCATTATTGCTTTGATTCACAGGCTTGCCGGTGAAGCGTCAATTCTACCGATTGACTTGATCTGATGAGGTTTCTAAACACTGCCGCATTGTGAAAAATGTGCTTGATTGTTGGATCGTAGTGCGTCAAGAGACTGGTATTTCTAGCCGCGGTATACGCCCTAAACGAGGCCTTGCCTGAGCCCAGCGTGGTGTGCGATGCGCCTTGTATCGTGTATATCCAGGCCATTATCGCACCCAGCATCCTGGGCGCCTGCGCAGTAAAATTACTTTCGCTCCGAAGATACGAACACGTCGAAACCATGTATGCAAAGACCTGCTAAATTATTCTATTAGAAGTACGGAGTATACTACTGGTTTTACTCTCGTCATGCCAGACGCGCCCTAACACTCAAGTATCGCAGAGAGTTGTTGATGACTAAAGTTTGGGTGGGGGGCGGAAGCCAATTAGGCCGAGGGGATTCTGCGTACGTCAGAAATGATGTTAAACCCACCGTAATATCCATCAAGAAAAGCACACGTGCATTTATGTCACACATGGCTAAACTGTCAGGTCTGAATTGTATTAATATGTCAAGATGAATGGCATCGGCACGTGACAACTTCACATCAGGGAGAGCATTCATAATAAGAAAAAACCATTGACTACAGCCAAGATACATACGAGACAAACCCCTTTATTTTCCCTCCTCCGTCCATTTTTGTTTTTTAAATGTCGCTTACTTGTAAACCCTTACCCTTTTCAAGCAGCCGGCTGATTTTCCCGCTCAGCGAACAAACTACTAATTCGTTTGCTATTTGTGTCTCGTACTGCGTCATCAAGTTAAAAACAAGGCGGTGCATAGCCTGTTTTGTAATAGTTCAATAAAATAGAGAGTGGGAGATTCTTTTTGTTATTTTACAATTCGTCACGGACAGTGGCTTCTTGGCCTTCGCTGGCGGGCTTGGCTTTGGACCGCTCGGCTTCCTTCTCGCCATCACGGCTGGCAGCTGCATCCTTGGGAGCTTCGGCGTGCTCGCCCTTGACCGTCTCTTGGTCGACGCCCTGGACATCCGGATGGGGAGGGGCTACGCCCGCAACCATGTCGGAGGGCCACCCGCCGTCGGGGGCAGGCAGCTCGTTGCCCTGCTCGTCGACAACACGGGTTCGGGTCTCGTATTTAGTCTCGAATTTAACTTTGCCTTGGAGCTTCTTGACTTGTTCGTCATCCAGGAGGTTGCCGTCTTGGTCGCGGTACTCAATTTTCTCTTCTTGGCTGAGAATCTTGGCGGATGGCTCAGGCTTGTCCGAGACTCCAGCGTCGTCAACAACTAATTTGTGCTGTTCCTCTTCACTAGCGGGGACAGGAGAGCTGGGGATACTGGGAATATCGGAAGCCGAGGAGCTCGGATCTCCTGAACCAAGAGAACTGTACTGATCATACTAACAGAGAAAATATGTCAGTACTGCTAGATAGACCTCACGAAGCAGTTAGACGGGCTGAACTTACGCGGTCAAAAAAGTTGTTGCAGTCCCAATCCCATGTGTTGAACAATTTGACTCGCTTACAATCGTCCTTGGTCCAGCTGTTGCCGTAGGCAAGAGGGGCCAGCAGAGAGAAAACAGCGATTGACAGAACAAGGAAGAGCATGGTAGCCGCTTTATTGACAATAGCCGCGTCCTTGGATTTGACTCCGGGGAATCGAACAGTCAAGAAGTCAAACAGCTGGCTGAGAGCGATGATGGCAAAATACAATGCAGGGAAGTAGTGGTGGAGGAAGAGCTGACGCTGCATGAGGTAGAAAGGAAAGTAATGCAAGGCCCAGCCAAGAATTGAGGTACCCAACTCGTAGTCAAATCGCTTAAAGGTTGGGTTGGCATAGTCGTTGCAGCTGCGCTGCCATCTCAGAATGGCGACACCCTTGAACAAAACCCAGACAACGATGGTGATGGAGGAGGCCCACCAGATAATAGGATTGCCAATGAGGTAAATCTGGGTGTGGTTCTTACCCCAGAAGTTGATACCTCGTTGGAGAATAGGCCAAGACTCAGGGCGAGAGTCCCAGGCATGGGACTCAGTCAGACCCGCGTTAGTAGTCCACATTACCTGCTGGAGCTCCAAAAACTTGCCAAAGAAGCCTGGGTTGCGGTAGTTGACTTTGGGTGTGTTTTCGTCATGCTGGGGGTGCTCGTTGTGTTCAATGTACCACAGACTGTTGGGTACACTGCCGCCGCGCGCGCAGGTAACTTCCTGTTGCTCAGAGGCCCAGTCGGGAAGCTTGACCTTGTGAGAAAACAGGACACAGCCAGTCATGACGTGGACAAGACGGAACTTGGTTTCAATAGTCCTGAGCCGCTCCTTAGCCACAGCCCCATGGGACTGCTTCTTGACGATTTCGACACGGAAGTAGTCATTGGCGTCGCCCTCAAAACCTTCATATCCGTAAGCAGAAACCTCGTTCTGCCAGTCGGCCTCGGTAATAGGTGGGCGGACATCGTGAGAGTGCAGTCGGCGGAAAGTGGGTGTGTGGTACAGTCTCAGAACCGCTCCGTCTTCAATAAATACAGGGCCGCCAGGGAGGTTGTCCCAGACGTGGGTGCCGTTGAGAGGCTGGCCATCAACACCAAGGGGCTGCGTCTGGTTCTCGAGAAGCCAGACATTGTTTTCATCCTTGTGAGGGTACAGGGTGATTTGCTGTTGCTTGCTACCAGTGGGATACATGAGCGGGTGAGAGTGCAGATAGCCGCCTTGAGTGTTGACGTGACGGATGCTCACGCGGCTTCCAAAAGCGACATCAGCGGCAACATCATTCATTCCCTTGTTGTTGAGAGTGGCTTGGAACTCGGAGCTCATGAAACCGTCACCATCACCGGGGTTGACCAAGCAAAGGAAGTGGATGGCAAACATGGCCATGTAGAAGGTGATGGGAATGATGATGAGGCAGAAAGCTCTCGCCATCAAGTGCTTGGACCAAAGGCGCATGGTGACGTTCTTGTTATCGCCCAGGAGAACCCAGAGCTGTAGCAGAGTCAATGCGCCTACCCAGGCAATGGTGAACAGACCAACCCATTTGATGCTGACGGTGATACCCAAACCAAGTCCGGTCATGGCAAGCCAGAACCACCATGCAGGCTGGAATGCCTTGGCAGGGCCAAGTTCATGTTGATTCGTGAAGCAGGAGAAGGCGAGGGCGGTGAAGGCAGTCGCGGCGACCAACGGGGAGTCGAGCAGAATCAATCGAGCTTGGGTGAGGAGGCCATTTTCTGGTATTTCAATTAGCCATGCCAGCCTGAACAGCATTGCACGGGGGGTCAAGAGTGCCAGGGTCGGTGAAATCCATACCAAAGATGATGAGAGAAGCACCCATTGCAGCGGTCATGGTACGGCAACCGACAGCCTTGAGGGTAAAGAACATGCACGGAACCAACAAGATACCGCAGATGGCGGGGAACAAGCGCATAGACACGTAGGGGACGCCAGGCTCAAGGTAATCTTTGCCAATTTCCTTGAAGTCAAAGTTGCCATCAAAGCCAGCCAGCCAGCCGGTCAATGCAATAAGCATCTTGGCCAGTGGTGGATGTACGTCCATGAAGAATTTGCCCTTGATGTATTTCGATGCGAAGCCGCCAAAGCTAGAGAATCGGAGTGGTAAGTCTCGGTGCACACGGTGAATGCGAGAACCGAAGCTGAACAGCATGCTGATACTTACTGCACTTCGTCAAAAACGACGCTACTAGGCTGATAGATTCGAAAGACGCGAACAATGGCCGCCAACAAGGTCAGCAGGAGAGACACAACATAGTCGGAGGCGGGAAGAAGGAAGATGTCGTTGTCTTCAACGCCGTCAGACTTGTACGAAGTGCTCTTTGCTTTGCTCTTGGTTGTGGTTGCGGTTACGGTCGGCGGCTGCGGGCTCTTGCCCCGAGCCGAACTCGATCTCGCCATGATTCTGTCGGCGCGGTTACGAGACCGACCGTGGATGGCGAATTCGCAAGACGGCGACTCGTGGGGATCGCAGTTCGATAAAAGGTGGGATGAGTGCAGAAGTGGGAAACAAAACGGGCGGTTAACGAGAGTGTCGAATAAAAGAGATGAAAATTAAAATGGCCGCATCTACAAGTAAAACAATGGCCAGGAAGAAAAATAACTCAGCCCCGGTCCGTAAATGATGAAGGAAGAAGATGGGATGGAGTCGGGAAGGGGAACGAGAACAGAGCTCGGTTGAGAGATGTGGAATAAAGGGGGACGATTTCTTGGGACGGTTTTGGCGCGGTTTGCCGGAACAGGGTGCGCAAGTGGTGAAGCTCCAACTCAGCACGAACGCACCAGACATGTGGCCTCATCGACCACGTCCTCGGTACGTACTGCGCAATGCATTAGCATCTGTGCCGCCTTGCGCCGCCAACTTTAGAATTCACGTCCATGTCCAGATCCAGCCACCCTCAGGTTGAGCTGACCCCCTGCATGCCGTCTCTTTTTTCTTCAATCATGTCGCCGAAACCCCATGGTCCTTGAGCTAGTAGTAGTACTCCGTACCTTGCACTGGTAGCTAGCGTGCTCCAGGGCCAAGACCCTGGTGCCCCCAGCGCGTTTGTTCAATGTTTCCTCGTGTTTCCCCGTCGATTGATTGTCTGTCCCTGGCATGCATGAATATACATGTATGTATGTTTGTTGCATGCCTGCGATGTGCTCCGTAGCATTTTAAGAATACCGTTCCCGGACAGTCAAGCTCATCCCAGTCCGTCCATCTTGCGATGCTGGGATCGACAAGTGAGACAAAATCTGCCATGATGGGTTCGCGACTGCATGGAACCGGAGGCATACTCTATTTTTGTATTGGTGCTGGAGCATGCTCGATTCTATTCTGCAATCACAGCCCCAGTGTCAAAGCGGCAATCTTCTTCTCACCAATTTCTGCGGGCGTGTCCATTTTGTCCCTGGCGGACTAGCATCCGCTCAGCCAGGAAAGTTTGCCGAATAACAATTGAGCTGGACTTGGCCTTCCTCAGCCTGGGGATACTAAAACCGCTGGTGCTCCAATGCGGAAATTTATCCACTTGCTGTTGGCCCGTCCGCTCCCTCGCCGCACCACCAGGGAGTCCCGGAGCTCAAGCGTTCTCGTCTCTCAGATCTGTAGCAGGCTCTTGGCATGTGGGCAGAGCTGTCCTGAATACGAACCTATTCTCTTTCTAAACAGCGTGTTGAATTGGCGCTTGGAGGAAACGCTGTGCAGATGCTATCAATCGGACTATACCTGGTGAATGCGCAGTGACAATGTTCGAAAAGTGGCTGGCTTAGCAGATAGAAACTAGCATATCCCAAGATCGAGCATCTCAAAGAGAAGCTGTCCCTGCCGCTCCCCATGGAATAGCAGAGGCCAGACACGACAGTGGTCAACTATCCAGAAGAGCCTGAGCCACTGTGGCGCTGGACTAGGTTGGCTGACCGGATCAATGTATATCCGCTACGCCGCGAGGGTGAATCTCACGCCTGGGAAATTTCGTGGTTGGCAGGGACGAGAGCTTCGCGACAGTTCTAACAATTTCAAATCATCCTACCATTTACGGCACAACATGGCTGCCGCTACGACAAATGGCGAGTCGTCTGCGGCTCTAGACGAGTTGAAGCCTCCTTCCGGCGTTGTCCTTCCTCCACGCGAAATACGCAATATTCTGGAAAAGACTGCTGGTTACGTCGCAAGAAACGGCGCCATATTCGAGGATCGCATTCGAGATAAGGAGTCAGCAAATCCGAAATTCAGCTTTTTGAACCCCGACGACGCGTACCATGCATTTTATCAATGGCGACTGGCCGAAGTAAAATCTGGGAGAGGGACGGATGTCGCCGCCGGCCGCGCAGGCGAAGCCGCTGCGGAACCAGAGAAGCCAAAAGGGCCCCCAAAGCCTCCCGACTTTGAATTCTCTGCGCGCATGCCTCGTATTAACCAGAAGGATTTGGAGGTCATTCGTCTGACGGCATTATTCGTCGCCAAGAATGGACGGCAATTCATGACCCAACTGGCCCAGCGAGAGACTGGCAACCCGCAGTTCCAGTTTCTTATCCCAAACCACACGTTTCACAATTTCTTCCAGCACCTCATTGATCAGTACACCACACTCATACGAGCTGCCGGGCTTGACGGCGAGGGCGGCAAGCTTCAGGAAGAGAAAACCGCCGAGCTGGAGCGCAACGTCAAAGACAAGTATTGTGTGTTGACTCGGGCTAGGCAACGAGCTGATTACGCCAAATTTCAGGAATTGGAACGTCAGAAGAAGGAGGAGGAAGAGGAAAAGAAAAAGGAAGAATTTTCGCGCATCGACTGGGGCGACTTTGTCGTGGTTGAGACTATCACCTTTACCGAAGCGGACGAGACGGCAAACCTACCACCTCCGACCAACCTGTCCGAGCTCCAGTATGCCTCTCTCGAAGACAGAAACAAGGCCTCACTAAGCATGCTACGTATTGAAGAAGCCATGCCTGGTGAAGAATTCAGTGTTGGGAGCGGCCCTGCTGTTATACCATATGCACCTTCACCCGTTCCCCCTCAGCCAAGTTATGGTGCACAGCAACCCGCACAAACTTATCCTCAACCGGGCCAGATGCCTGCCGTGCAAGCACCCCCCAACGGCTACCAGCCACAGAGATCTTCTCAGGAGGAAGAGGAAGCTCGTCGCATCCAGGAACGAGCTGACGCCCAAGCCCGCATCCAACAAGCACAATCGGAAGCGAGAGGCGGTGCGCCGCCAATGAAAATCCGAGAGAACTATGTGCCTCGGGCGGCGCAACGAGGCAAGCAAGCTGGCCAGACTGCCCTCTGCCCCAATTGCAAACAGCAGATTCCTATCAATGAGCTCGAAGCTCATATGCGGAGTACGTACTTTTCATGCAAGTCTATTTGGTTTTATACTCCCGCGAGACTAACATACGTATAGTTGAACTTCTGGATCCCAGATGGAAAGAGCAAAAAGCGGCAGCAGAGTCACGGTACTCGGCGACTATTACAGGTTCTGAAATTGCCCAAAACCTCAAGCGTCTCGCGAGTCAACGAAACGATGTGTTTGACCCTGCAACTGGTCAGGCCATGTCCGAAGAAGAGTTGGCGAGGCGGAAGAAGGCAGCATTAAACCCGGCCGAGGCGCAGCAGGAGAGCAAGCCGCAAGCGATGAATCCACAAACTGTCAATGTCGAAGAGCAAATCCGGGCTATTCACCAGAAATTTGCAGGCGACAGGAAGTAGAGGCGAGGTGTCTAGTGCGCAGCCTGCAGTAACTGTGTAATAACTATGGCCGCTGTTGGTACGGGAGGGGGGAAAGCATACAAAAACAAGACTACATTTGTGTGGAGAAAATTCCAGCGGGAAAGTGCGGTTCAGTTTGCAGGATGATGTTGTACATTAACTATACCAGGCATGGGGAGAGGTGTTCACTGTTGGCGCGGCGTTACTTGGGAATATAATCAAGACGGGAAGGCTGCGGTCTGGCCATGGTCATAGCCTCTTTATAGGACGCTGATTTAAATGCGTTACTTACATTGTACACCATACCAGATGACCGCATGCCTACCTCTAGGTCTAAGTACTTAGGTAGTATTGACCGGTGGTGGGCTCATGGTTGTCAACTCACTCACTCGTGCAGGCGGGTCGATTTGACGTAAGACCCCAGCGCCATGTCATTCATGTCGATTCATCCACCAAGCCCAAGAATTTCTCCAGTGTCCCTCCACGCACCATCACCCCACTTGAGCACCTTGGGAACACTTGAGCGCTCGCACTCCAACTCCTCATCGACAAAGAAGGCTCCAACGATTTGCGGCACATGCGCCAAATCACACAACAAACTCCCTGACTAGCCAACCACTGAGTCGCAAATATTTCTGCGATCCTCACAACCTGCCCGACCTCAACCCCTCCACCCTGAACGACGAAGCCACCGCACACGCGCGAGCTAGCTTCGTCAGCTCCTCACCACAGTCCTCCCCTCCGCCGTCCTCCAAAAACCGCCAATCTGTCTGGGCAGCAGAACTCCGGCCGGGCTGCCGACCATAATAAGCCCACGTCCTCTACGTCTCCCAACTCGCCGCCCAAGAGTCCCTCCTCGCTGCACCGGCCCATCATGCAGGCCATGCCGGATACCCGCCAGCAGAGCTTCGACGAGATTTACGGCCCGCCCGAGAACTTCCTGGAGATAGAGGTACAATTTTCCCATGGCCACCTGGGCGCTCCCTCCCACCTCCGTCACGGCCAGACTGGGCGGTCACTAACCCCAACCCTTTGGCTGCATCTAGGTTCGCAACCCCAGAACCCACGGCATCGGCCGGTCCATGTACACGGACTACGAGATCCTCTGCCGCACCAACATCCCCGCCTTCAAGCTGCGCCAGAGCAGCGTCCGCCGCCGATACTCGGATTTCGAATACTTCCGCGACATACTGGAGCGGGAGAGTGCGCGCGTGACCATCCCCCCTCTGCCTGGAAAAGTGTTTACCAATAGATTTAGCGACGATGTGATTGAGGGGCGGCGCGCGGGGCTGGAGAAGTTTTTGAAGATTGTCGTGGGACACCCGTTGCTGCAGACTGGTAGTAAGGTTTTGGCTGCGTTTGTGCAAGGTATGCGTTTTGCCTTGTGCGGTGGTGTTTTTGGAAGACGAGCTGACCGAACCGAAATAGATCCCAACTGGGACCGAAACGCATGGTGATGGACGTGGATGGATGTGATGAGAAACGGAGGGGTAGCGTCATGAAAGTTTGGGTTCGCGCGTGAAAAGAGAGGCGGTGATGGAAGCATATTGCCTTTGCTTCGTTCAAAAGATTGGAATTTCACCACGGTGACTGTCATCTCTATATTGATTCGGTGTTTTGGTGGGCTTGGCCTTTATTCCTTTCCCTAGTCATTCCCGGCTCAATTCCTACTTTGCAGCACTGCGTTTTTCCTTGTCTCGATTGGCTACAGGTACCCGTGTGTTTGGTACGGCATAGCTTGCGCCGTGTATTTCAAATCTGTCCCGATACTATCGTCAATTGATTATTTACATAGGAAACCGGCTCCATGCCGGTGCCCGCTGCTATTTCCAGTCATCGGAACCAGACCCCAGGCTGAGTCATCCCCGCCCTACGGACGACAAAGCCCATGGCGACATGCATCTGATGTCACTCATCCCAACTTTGTACAAACCCCTCGGTGACCACTCGCCGAGCCCCGTGATGAGTGGCACCTGTTCGTCAATGCACTCGGCGAGCAGTACGCTGCTGCGGATATTTCCAAGACGGCCCCTGACAGACTGCGGTCTACATCGGCCGCGCGGCAGCAGAACATGGACTGCGTCTGCGACACAAAGCCCCGGGCTTGGATCGCGACGACGCATCAGACTCATGCCCCTCGGCGGCTCCATCACCTACGGCAGCAAATCCTCCGACGGCAACGGCTACAGAATGCCGCTGTGCAAGCTCCTCGCCGCAGACGGTCACGCTGTCGAGATGCTGGGCTCTCGACGGGCGGGCACCATGGCTCAAAACCGCCACGAGGGGTGGCGCGGGTTCCGAATCGACCAGCTCCAGGCCAAGGTTGTGCAGTCCGTATCCGGGTTCTCACCGGACGTGATTACGTTCAACGCCGGGAGCAACGACTGCCGCCAGCAGTACGAAATTGACACGGCGGGCCGGCGGGTACGACACTTGCTGGAGGGGCTGTGGGCGGCGTCGCCGCGGACTACGATTGTTTTGTCTACCTTGGTTAGGAGTGCGGACGAGAAGGCGGAGGAGGCGGTGTCGCGTGTGAATGAACAGATTTGGGGGATTTCAGAGGAATTGGTTGCGGCGGGGAGGAAGTTGGTGATGGTGGATATGCATGTTGAGGCGTTGGGTTTGGAGCATTTGGCAGACGGGACGCATCCCAATGATGAGGGATACGCGGAGATGGCGAGGATTTGGTATGATGGTATTAAGGAGGCTGAATTGAAAGGCTTCTTGTTGTAGAAGTGCTTGTGGGATTGTTGTTTAGTTTTGTAGAATTGTCTTGTCCGCTATCGGAGCTGTAGGGTAGCGGTTTGATATGTATAAGTCGCAGTTGTACTCCGTACAGGAGACGCCTTGATGGTCTGGTGGGTAAGACAAACCGGACACGGACAGGGCACGAAATGGTGCGAGTATTGCGTTGGAATTTATGGCGAATAAGATATCAATTAATGATTCATGTGGCAAGGCTGCATAGCGAACTGATGGTCTAGACTGCCGCTCCAGCCACTGGTGGAAACCGGCTCCCCAGGTCCGGAATTCTGACAGCCTCGGAGATGTTGCTCTTCCATTCTAGAAGTTCTACTACCCACTCCACAGTAAATTGCGCTCACGCCCCACTAGGTAGTGCCTAGCTATTATAATGGCTTTATTTTAGTATAATATATTGGCGTAAATTTAATAATGAGCCAATATATCATGCCATTAAATACTTACTTACTTACATTATGGGGAGAGTTTAAATGCAGTAAATAGTAGGGGGATAAGCGCACCTAGAAGAAAGAGCGAGTCCGCCTGAGCAATTCACGTTCCAGATATCCACATCCACGACCAGACGCCTTACACCAGCCCGCGATCCACCCATATGTCAAAAGTGGGTCAAAGGGCGCGCAGGATTTAAGCAAGATCCGAGCCCGCGCAAATCCAACTCCGATCTGGCTTGTACTAAAAGTGAGTAGCCGATGCCGGGTCCTTGTATAAAGTCATGGTGATGCGCCTCTATGATTCCTTTCCGGACGGCAGTCCGACATGAGCCACTCTCTTGTCCATTAGTTCGAAATGGCAGTTGCAACGGCCACATCCTCGACGATTGAATTGCGCCACCAGGGCGATTCTACCCCGACCTCGCTCCAGTGCAATGACCGACAGGCCACGCCGCCGCCCGAGGAGGACGGGCTGGACGTAGATGGGAGACAGGAGTTTTCGCTGCCGCCCGTGGACGGGGGCAAGGACGCATGGTTCTTCCTGGCCGCCTGCTTCTTCGTCGAGGCCCTGACGTGGGGTACGTGTCTCTGCTAACCCCCAAGTTGCTGGAGTTGTCATAAACTGCCGATGCTAAAACACGCCGCAGGCTTCCCGTTCTCGTTTGGCGTCTTCCAGGACTACTACAGCACGCACGAGCCGTTTGCGGGATCAGAGCAAATCCCCATCATCGGCACCTGTGCCATGGTGCGCCGCCCTCCCCCATCCCCCAGCCTCAAGTACAAGTACTCACGCGCGCGCAGGGCATCATGTACCTCGACATCCCCCTCGTCATGGGCATCCAGAGAATGTACCCCTGGTTCAGCAGGTGGTCGCCCATGATAGGCCTCGTGCTGATGTGCGTCTCGCTGGCGGCCAGCTCCTTCTCTCAAAACGTCGGCCACCTCATCGTCACGCAGGGCGTCTTCTACGCCATCGGCGGCTCCATCTCCTACTGCCCGTGCCTGCTGTACATGGACGAGTGGTTCGCCCGGCGCAAGGGCCTCGCCTACGGCATCATGTGGTCGGGCACGGGGCTGGCCGGCTTCTCGCTGCCCCTGATCCTCGAGGTCTTCCTGCGCCGGTACGGCTTCCGCACGACGCTGCGCATCTGGGCCGTCGCGCTGCTCGTCCTGACCATGCCGCTCGCCTTCTTCATCAAGCCCCGGCTGCCGCGCGCCGCCACGACGCACATCAAGCCCTTCAAGCTGGGGTTTGCGCTGACAAAGACGTTTATGCTGCATCAGGTTGCCAACACCGTCCAGGGGCTGGGCTTCTTCCTGCCGGGCATCTATCTGCCCACGTATGCGAGATCCATCGGCGCGAGCAGCTTTACCTCTGCCTTGACGCTGCTGCTCGTCAATGTTGCCTCGACAGTTGGCTGTGCCGTCATGGGCTCCCTGACTGATCATTTACATGTGACTACGTGTCTGATGATATCGGCCGCCGGCGCGGGACTGGGTACGTTTTTGTTGTGGGGGTTCGCCACCTCCATCCCGGTCCTGTTTGTATTCTGCATTATCTACGGTCTGTTTGCGGGCCCGTACACGTCGGCTTGGACGGGCATAATGAAGGACGTTGCTACCGAGATGGGCACCTACCGCGGCACCAGCGGGGGAAGCTCGTTTGACCCAACCATGGTTATTGGTGTCCTCTCCACGGGGAGAGGAATCGGGAACATCGTTTCGGGCCCCTTAAGCCAGGTCTTGGTCAAGGGCATGCCGTGGAAGGGAGAGGCCCTGGGCGGTTACGGAACCGGCTACGGCCCTTTGATTGCATTTACGGGCGTAACGGCGGTTTTGAGCGGTGCGACATTTGTATGGCACCGCGTGGGATGGATGTAGGGCGATCAAGTATATCTGGGCATATCAAGGTACGATGCATTCTGTGCGGATGGTGGGATAAAAAGCTCGGTTTAGACAAAAATTCAAGAACATCTATTCATCAGTACGCTGGACGGCCCCGTCTTTCGACGCTCCGATACGCTAGCTGTGCCGTGTACACCATGTTTGAGAATATTCAGTCTCGTCCATGTCCAGCCCTTGTCCAGCCACGTTGGCTTTAAACACCTCTAGGCAGAGTATACCAATAGCCTCACGCTGGGCTCCTGCCCAACCGACTCAAATATCAACCGTCTTGTCGCCGTCAAACCCCACGGCCGGTTCCAGCCTATACCCTCGCTGATTTGCCAAGAGGCGAATCGGCGGCACGGCCCCGAACGCATCCGGCCCCCGGTCCGCGAGAAAGTCGCAGTTGTAGTGCGTGTGCCCAAACGCCCACAAGACGACGCCCCTGTTGACAAAACACTCCTCCCGGGACAAGTCGGTCGAGAACCCGCACTTATACGACTCGTCCACAAACCGCGGATCAACCGCCCTCTCGTCCCTCGACGGACTCCAGTGCGTAAAGATGGCCATCCTGAAGGCGGCTTCGTGGCCCGACTCCTCCTCCAGCGAGACCACCGTGTCGTTCAGCCACTCCAGGTCGCGCACGTGCGCCCTATGATGATCGCTCATGTTCCCCTGCTTGGTTCGCAAAGACTGACTCGGGCGCTCCATCGGCCGGTCGTCACTCGTGCACCGGAGGCTGGAGAACAGGCTGCACCCCAGGATGAAGGTGTTTGTTTTTGGAATCTGGAACGCCCTCTTGTCCAGGAGGACGAACTCGCCGAGGAGGCTGCCGTCTTGTCTTGTGTCGTCCTCAAAGTCCGAGAGGATCTGGGTGACCTTGTCCCAGGTTGAGCCGTGTACCTCCTGGGCCCCGGGGACGAAGAAGACGATGCGGAACTTGCGGAGCTGCGCGCGCAGGAAGCCGAGGCACTTGTCCTGTTGTGTGTCGACGTTGCCAATGTCGCCGAGCAGAGCGAGGTATTTCGTCCTCGGCTCGATTATGAAATGCTCGTAATCGTCGTCTTCTTCCAGGTGAAGATCGGAAATGATTTGAATCGTTGTCATGGTGAAGTGTCTGCGGGCGCGGCTGGAGGGTCGTGATCGGGAGGTGCTGGTCGTGAAGTGCAGCAAGGGGTGATGGCATGTAACACCCGCTTTTGGAGATGTACCGCGCGGCTGTGTAGCTATGCTGGTGAGGATGCGTCGAGTATGGCTCCGGGATGGGGATATGGATTTATTTGCGCGGCTCAGAGGTTTCGCCTGTGCAGAATGGAGAAGGAGCAGAATCTGCCGTCTCCGCGACAACGTTCAAATGTTGGCGTTTCCAGCCGGAGCTGCGACTTGGAGTTTGTACACTGGGAAAGAGCAGCATGGAGGGATGGTCTGCGGCAGAATATATTCGCCTAAAAGAGTCCGGTAGACTACTATGCTGTGATGTATTACAGTATAGGGCATGATGGCCAGGTATCTGATCTGGTTCCATACTTTTTACCAACACCAGACTCAATTTATTCTTGTGTTGGGCATTGAACATGAATTGATGGCTATCTAGGTACCTAGGTAGATAAGCAGACCTCTCCTGTGCATACAGGCCCTACTTTTGCAAACCAGCTCGTCTGGACGTGCTCTGCGGATCCAAGTATGGCTTCTCACCGAGTCCAACAGCCCGGTTGCCAAATCGCTCCCCCTGACCGTCGTAGTCGAACGTGGCGGTGTGGAACACACTGCGGTTATCCCAGATGGCTGGAAGCAATATTGTCAGTGAGCCCTCGGTCATGTACTACATCTTGATGAGTGGGTGTAGGCAGCACACGTACCGATATCATTAGGGTTCTGCCACTTGAATCGAACCTGCAAATCGTGATTGTGGTACACCAGGTCCAGGAACCACTGCAGCAGGTTCTGGCTCTCTTCCTTGGTCACGCCATTAATGTGCGACACGTGTCCGCCGACGGGGAAAATGCTCTTCCACCCGGTCACCGGGTTGGTTCGCACAACGGGGTGAATGGCCTTGAGCTCGCGGCCAACGTTTTCCGGAGCGCCGCGAGGCTTGTCGTATAGCTGGAAGCCTTGACGCTCGGCTACGGCACCGAAACCAGGCTGCTCAAAGGTTACAGTGAGGGTCTCGAGGAACTTTTGGTAGGGCTCACTGATCTTGTCGTAGATTTCGTATCCAGATGCCCAGAGCGTGTCTACCCGTCCCCAGTCCTAGTCAGTACATCAACTTTGTATTTGGACGACGGGGGTTAGTCGTAATCTTACCACCGCCAGTCTTGGGGAGCTGCACGAGACGCAACGAGGTATAATCCGCGGGCACAGGCTCAAATGCAATGTCGCTGTGCCACTGGGCCGTCGATTGCTTCTTTGGGCTCAACGCCTCAGCCTCAGTGTTCTTGTAGTACTGTTGATGCTGGACGGAGCTGATGGTGCTAATCTCGGGGTCGCTGCCGCCGAGCTCGCGCTCAGAATTGAGAAGGGGATGAATGTGCAGACCGGACGTCTCCGGTCGTCCAGTCAGCTTGCCGAGTCTGAGGATCAATTCCTTCTGCAGATCATTGGTGAGGTCATCTTGTGCTCGGAAGAAGACGACTCCCCGCTCCGAGACTTTGAGCCGGGGCCGGTGTTAGGAACAAGATATCAGGGTGCCATGTGGGCGTCTTGGGACGTACTGGTGACGGCGAGGTCCCGAAGGAGTTCATCAGAATTAGGGGCATTAAGCAACTCAACCAGGTTCGCCTTTGGAAACTCGCGCCCAATGATGGGTGTGACGTCAAAGGACTCGAAGCTGTCCAGGTTGCCCTTGGCGCGAATGGGCTTTGCCGAGGGGATTGATTTGGTTTGGATGGGCAGCTGGACCGCTGGCTCAATGGTTGCCGGGGCCATCTTGCAGGTTGATTCTCGAGGATGACTTCTTAAACGGATTGGGGAGTGCTAAAGGTTGTTCGGGCCGTCGAGTACTTGGCTGACCTGCGGCGTCCTTTTATATCTTACTCGACGAGTTTAAGCAAATACACACTCCGCCAATCCGCTATCAACAAGCACAAACTAGGAGGTGTCATGCATGAAATTCCCCTCAATCTTCTCCAGTTGTTTCGCATCTTGGCCGCGCTCCATGAGCAGTTCGTGATGAAGCCCCCATTATGCGACATTCGCTAGCAATCACGCCATCTCCTCAACACCACCTCACCAGGCGTATGCGACGGCCGTTATGACTCAACGATAGACAGCAGCAAGTTGTCCAATATGAAAGAAGATTATGAATTACCAATGAAATACCCCCTGTTTGGTTCCCCAAAGCCCGCTTTTACCAGAATACCCTGTTTGAGTGCATTTGCTGCTCTGGCATGCCCATACGATAATACTGTATGTAGGCCCCCCCGCGAGTTGAAACGAGCGCTAGTGGAGTTAGATCTTATCATCCACATATGGCGTTTATCAGAGAAAGCGCACTTTGCATCATGGCCGTTCCAATACCACGGGATGCCAACGGCGCCGTTTCGGCAGGTCGGCATGACGCCATTCCCAAGGATGAATGTTTCACTGCGGGCATGGAAGTCGCTTTCTCTGATAGGCCGCTACAATGTGACGCAAAAGGTATGCACCCATATCAGGGCTTTCGCTCTCTATAGTATAATATATTACAATATGTAGTATATACGACAACACATCAGTGTGTATCAGATATATTAGTATATACTGCAGTATCTTGATATATTGTAGCATATAGTGCAAACTTGCGAACCAGTCAATATATTCGGCCACAGAGGGTAACTCTTGAAACCCGTCCTTCACGTGGCGGCATTCCCTGTACATGGCGCCGACGTAACGTGCGGGCGTGATGTCGTCATGCCGTCTCGGAATGTCGCGGGCAAGACGAAACCTTCACGCACACCCAATCAGATGCATTGCATATGATATACACGCTGTCATCGCGAGATGCAGAGCCGATATCAACATGATGAGTCTTGCAGATGCCAAAGTCCGCCGGGGTTGGCTTCGTCCCTTGTCCGGGCAGGGCTAGCAAAACGGCAACATGGAGCGCAAGCATGATATGAAACCGTCGCCAGTAGATTATGCTTATTTGGCAACGATACTTTAGACGTCACGACACCGGAAGTAGGTAGACGCCAAGTTGGAAAGCCGCGCCATCGATTTTCCAGACAGACCTCGTCCCTTGCCGTGCTCACGCCTCCAGTATTCAAGATGCCAACCGTGGCCAGTAGAGTGAGAGCCGACAAGGCCATACCAAGCACTTGGACGACGTCTCTAAGCAATGTCCCGCATCTGGATGCGCCGTGGACGGAGAAGACATCCTTATTCAAACGGGGCAGTTTTTCTGCCAAAGATGCCCTTGCAACACAAGTGAGCAGCCGCGACGTCCTGCAGGGCATCAGAATTTCAAACTAATCAAAATAGCCGAGCGTCTTTGACGACCCAGACACGGCGGACAAGTGCCCCACGACCAGATTGGTAGGGAGCACTTTCCAACGAGGAGGACGATGCTGACACAATATCCCAGGGAGAATCATCGCCGATTCGACCCCCTGTTCCGGTAGACGTGGCGTGAAGAATTCTGGATCGTCAGAAAATTGGACGTGTATGTTATGGTCTGGGCATGCATCATGTTCATGGCGCTGGAGCTGGACCGGGCCGTGCCAGACGGCGAATTGGTTTCGAGGGAGGAGCGGCTGGTTTAATGAAGTAGACCAATCTTCCCTCGTCGTGGCTTCTGATGCGCTGACTGCGCCTACAGGGAGGAAAAGATGGTGGTGAATCGTGTGCTGAGAGATGATTCGGACAAGAGCTCGATGCATAATCGAGAGCCGATTACACCAAAGCTGCTGTGGCAGAGCTTGCAAGGCTATCAATGGTCTCTGGAACTTGTCTCCCCCGGACAGCTTCCTTTGCACACGGGGGAGTTGTGCCTCTAATGTAGTTTGCAACAGGTCCTTGTATATCCTTGGATTGGTCTTGTTGATTCCCAGAACCCGCCGGCCCAATACCTCACACTGACCCTCAGGAGATTGGGTTTTGACGCATTTCACTCCCTCCGCAACACTCCATGGTAAGTCTCTAGACGCTCGTTTTTCCCCGTCAAAAGAACCGCGCCGGTACGTTTTTGTTTCTTGGCCCGCAAGTCCGGACTCACGAGTCGCGATTTGCCACGACAAAGGATCAGGAACAAGAGGCTTGACTTCCGGTTCGATCACTGATCTTGGTTCCCGGGTAGGGCAATTTATCCAGAGCCAAGGGCACTTTTAGCCGCGCCGTGTAATTTTGCCGAAAAGCATCGAAATACGTCCTTGCTGCTCTTTCCTAGTATAGCAGCTCCGAGGGGCAATCTGGTTGGAAATGCCATCAATTGGTGTGGTCAACGTTGGATGCGGAGGGGCTCCGCCCCCGCCCGGCGACGACGCGGCGAGAGTTGCCGTGTTTGGTCATTTCCACTGCTTCTCGATTCTCGCGGCGAGGGGCGCAGGGGACTTCCAGAGCCCTACTTAATGCTTGGCCGCTCTGGAGCAGACGTATTCTTGGTTTCACGGACCATGATTATTCTCAGTCTTGATTGCTTGCACAACCGTGTCTCCAGACCAGGTTGAGCCCACCGTTGCTGGCAGAATCAGCCGTTGATCGACTTGGCCAAAGGTATACGAGCCACCGTCGAGATGGGCAGCGCACCACCCTTCCTCGGGCCATTTACGGACCCAAGCCAACCGCGGCTCTATTCCACGTCCGAGTCCCCGTCTCTGGACGTCTTCAAAACCATTTGCTCGCAGCGAGCTACGAAAGCACAATACCCTCTTGCGGATTCCATCCTGCACAACATCCCCGTTTACACCCTCCCGCCATACAGTGCCCTCACATTGGAAGGCAAGACAAGCCTCCAGAATGAATGGTACAGCATCCTCCTCCACGGCCCCGGTGTTTTCGTCACCAAAGGCCTCTACCGCGATCATACTCTCCTCAAGGACGTGAATGCCGTCTTTCACAGCATCATCGCCAACGAGAAGCAGACCACGGTCGGTCGCGGAGACCATTTCGCCGGGGCTGGCAAGAACGACAGGATTTGGAACTCGTTCAGTAAGCATGGGCTTGCGGACCCGCCTTCATTCTTGAAGTACTACTCCAATCCGTACCTGGGTCTCATTGCGTCCTCGTGGCTGGGACCGGGATACAGAATCACGGCTCAAGTGAACAATGTCAAGCCGGGGGCGGCAGCGCAGGTCTCCCACAGAGACTACCACCTGGGCTTCATGTCTTCAGAGCCGTGTTCCCGGATCCCGCGAGCCATGCAGGTCGCCAGCCAGTGTCTCACGCTGCAGGGTGCTGTTGCCCATGTTGACGTCCCCGTGGAAAGCGGACCGACTCGTCTGCTGCCCTACAGCCAGACCTTTGCGGAGGGATACATGGCGTATCGATTGCCCGAATTCAACGACTATTTTTTGCAGAACCACGTTGCTCTGCCGTTGGACGAGGGCGATGGCTTGTTCTTCAATCCGGCTCTGTTTCATGCCGCGGGCACTAACCAGTCCCGGGACATTCATAGGTTGGCCAACTTATTGCAGATTAGCAGTGCGTTTGGAAAGCCAATGGAGTCAGTTGATGCGATGCCTCTGGTGGAGGCTGTTTGGGACGAATTGCAGAGTTTGTTCAAGAGCAGAGGCGCTACAGACGCCGTCGAAGCCTTTGTTGCGGCGGTCGGGGAAGGGTACGCATTTCCTACCAATCTGGATCACAATCCGCCGCAGAATGAGAGCATGGCCCCGAAATCAGAGCAGGACGTTATTTGGGAGTCTCTGCGACAGGGTTGCGACAAGCAACAAGCCTTGGATGCACTGCGTGCGTACAGAACTGCCACGAGAGCTTGAAATAGTATGAATGAGGGTGTATTCGTGCGAGGCGTTGCTACTAGCGACTCGTCAAGTATCTAATCTTTCCAGACATTATAAAGACTTTGATAGCTATGTGTATTTCTTACGCGGTATAGACGACGAGTGTCGGCAATATGATATCCAACAGTGATGACCTGGGTAACCCTGTGCCCCAAACGTAATAGGTATCTGGTCAACGACTCTTTCAACCTGTAAAGTATCGCATGAGGGAGTCAAACAATGATCCACGTCGCTGTATCAACTGTGAATCTAGAACCATGGCTTTGATGAGAATATCCTCAGCCTCTGACTCTGCGGGAAGCGCTACGGGTCCTTCGTCGACGAAGCCGAGCCCCGAAAAGAGAATGTAGCCCCTAGACGCTGTTTGAACACAAACTGAAGCATGCTTTTGCCTGGCCAAATTGATACCAGAGGTGCAAAGGGCTTTTCCATAGCCCTTTCTTTGGTAATCCGGTCTTGTGGCCAAGAGATGGAGGAAAACGTAAGGAATATGGTTGGAGAAGTGTCTCCTTCTCCCGTCAACGGTGGCTTGGCAGAGGGCAGCGAGCTTGGCTGGAGCCTTGTCATCGAGCTGGCGGGTTGGCTGCGCGTTCACGGCTGCAACGGCTTCACAGGAACCGGTTAGCAGGGTATTTTGATCCGAGTCTTGATCAGATTGACAAGACGCACCATTGCGCTGACCGGCACCCAGGCCTTGGCCAAGACCGGCTGAGGTGTCCCACACGGCAACGGAAACGACAATCGGCCCAGAGTGCACCTTGGCCTCGGTGGCAGAGATTTCGACGACCAAGACGAGCCAGGAATTTTTATTGGCCGGCTCCAGGTAGCTTCGAAGGATTGCCTCGCAGTATTCGATGTGGACAGCGTCAGCTTGGGCCATGCGCGGGAGGAATGCCTTCCAGGGCGCCTCGTTAGCCAGAGCCGACAAGACGATGCGGGCGACGGCGGGCACGTCGTCTACTGTAGCAGGCCGAATCTTCATGCTGATGTGGTTGAGGAACGGTGGCGAGGTGAAGAATGGCACCTGGGACGGCACGAATTCGAATCCGAAAGGAGAGCACCACCGAGAAGGGCCAAGCTCGGGCCTTAAATCACGACGGCCGCAATCTACGGCCCTCAATGGCACTGTGCCGATTGTTCTGTGTGCTTGCGCCTTGGAGGCCTTTCACTGTGCCCAAGTGATGAGCATGGCCAGACGCATCAACTTGTCAAGTCGTGGTCCATCAGGTGAGGCCAAGCCCTGCAGGGAAACACAAGCCGGGCCTCGTCAGCTTCCCGGCCAATCACATAGCCACGGCTTTCCCCAGCAGCGGGGCGCAAATGGCAGGGCGAGTCCCTGCCATGTCCCTGTCACGGGACCCCCTATCCGGCCACGGCGCCACGTCGGCCAACGTTGATCTTGAAAGCAGATGTCCCTCTGTGCTGCGAGTTGACATCATCGTGCCTATTACTTCTGCCAAGTCATCTTTTTGCTAGGAAGAAATTTTAAGTTTATAGTATTAGAATAGGCGAGTTAGTTATATAAGAGTAAAATAGAAGAAATTTAATATATATATTTATTATATTATTATAATAAGAAAAAGCTAGCTAATCACCAGGACTTATTAATAATATAATTAAGAGTTATACTTGGCTTAATTAATAATACTATATAATAAAAACAGACCACACACCCAAAGAGTACAACGAAGAGAGAACTAGCGTTCCAGCCCTTGCAACTCAGTTTTGGCCGACACTGTCGGTGACAACAGCCAATCAAGTGCTGTAACGAGGCAGGCGACCCACCAGGAAGCCTTTGGTGGAAGAATAGTCCGTTGGCCTTCTGGTAAGACATGGGCACTTAACCGGTTAGGACCCACCCCCACAGTGCCGACGCCTCTGCCGTTGAACATCAACGAGAACAAATCCACCGCTGAGACATATTAGCCTTTGGTTCGACTGCATACTTCCGATGTATTGTTGCAGACGTTGCTGTCCAACTTTAAAATAAAACATCGCAACGCAAACCCCCACCCCACGCTCGGCTGCTGGAGTTAGCCAATAAAGTCCACAAGTTTCTGGTAGTGTTAACTACCAGTCTCGAGTATAAGTTCCCGTGTTCCGCCGATCAACTGTTTTGGCTTCATCCCGTCTGCTGAAAAGCAGGGAGTTGGCAAGTGACATATGCCATGGGTCGGGAGCCAGCGCTTACTTCCTTCGTCCATTGTTGCTGCCATTGGACATGCCGCATCACGGCGTGTAGTTCAGGGTCATGCCGCATCATCTGGTCACGAACTGAATCGGGGGCGTCACCTAGCAAGTGAAATACAGTTTTTCCGATGGCCCACTCTGACAGCTGTTAGCAAATAACCTGACAGCTGGCCCCATACACTGATGTCACACATGGCTAAACATTCAGGGGAGATATTGTACGCGTCCCGCGGGATAGGCGGTGGATAAAAGGGAGAATGGTACGATTCGCTTACCATCGGCCGTATTGGCGGCGCTACTTTGAGCAAATCTTGGTGTCCAAGTCTTTTTATGCCCAGAATCGAGACTTTGCCGCCCCATGTCGTAACTCAGCTTTAAATATAGCATACATATGTAGCCTTGTTAGTGGAGAGGTCATAGCCTTGAACGCGGCAGAAAACTGCATGGTAACTTTAGCATCTCCTCTGTGCACCGAAGCGGCGTGCACTCCGTCGGACCCCAGACACGTGATTCGAACACACGGATGCATTGGCCAGGCTTTTCTTCAAAGAGCTAGGACTATGGACGGTTCTCCCTATCCGAGTCATGGTTCCCACGGGACCTCTGCGGGAGTTCATCTATTGGGAGCTGTATGCATGAACGCTGTAACCCATCAGTTGATATTACTAACCTGATGGGGTCGGGGACTCGAAATGGGAATATGTTGTTTTCCACCACGCGCCCGGTAACCTTCAATTTTAACCTTTAATTTAGGCTTTCAATTTCGACCTTCAATTTGGGTCTTCCATTTTGACCTTCAAATTCAACCTTCATTTTGGGCCTTTCATTTCAGCCTTCAATTTGGGTCTTCCATTTTGACCTTCAATTTCAACCTGCAGTTTAGGCCTTCCATTTTAACCTTCAATTTATAAGTAAATATCACGAGTTCCACTCAATTACACGAAACTTACATAAGGGTGTGGCAGCCTGGATGTGTGTGTATCAAAGGTGGGCACGGGCCGATATGGGCTACAGCGTTCATGCATATGTACAGCTCCCGATGGACTCCAGAGCGGCACAGACATGTCTGGTCCTTTGACACGCCAGGTGGTTGATGTTCCTTTGGGGCCGGGTCGTTCTCTCTGTTGCACTTTAGGACCGTATGGGCAAGTCACCATTCTTCATAGCTTGCAACACCGGAATAAGCAGGTCTATTTGTGGCTGCAGCAGACGCGTTGTCGCCGTCTTTCGTGCAGTTTCATGCATCAGCCTACCAAGAATTTACGTCTACATGTTGGCCAGAATTTGTACAATACAATCCCTGAATCATTGTCAAAAAGATACTTAGCCCCGCTTCCCCCCGGAATACGTCAGCACAACTAGGGTATTATATTCTGGGCCTACTAGGCCTGATAGGTAGGCACAGGTGGATTAGCAGGGGATTATGCTCTCCTAAAAGGGACTTTATTGAATGTGAAAATACCGCTGTATTTATGTACCTATATGTAATTTAATATGCTGGGGCTACTTGACGTTTAATTGGTTTAACCTACCCATGTCAGGTATCTGCGTGACAATACTTCAGGGGTTATATTGTATTGACACAACTTTGACTCAGTAAGTGATGATTGACACGAGGATAGGCAGCAGACGGCAACATTAATATTGACAAGGTTCTTCAATGTTGCTGCCTATTAACGGGGCTGGATGCCTCAAGGCTGTGCATGTGGATAAACAACTGCCAAACAACGGCATTTGATCCGAGATGCTTACTTGTGCATAGTTGGGCAGCCTCAATAATCAATCTGTTTTGGGCTGATGCCGCAGATTTTAGGCTTCCAGGAAAATTGATTGGTTGAGAGTGTGGAGGATTCGGGAGGATTCGGCGTGAGTACGTAGGATTGACATTTCTAGGAGGAGATGACTGTTTCGATATCGAATGGGTATAAAGTGGTGAAGAAAGAAAGACATCTCTTTCTGTTACACGGAAAAGGCCCAACAGATCGTGAGGCCCAACAAAGGGGCCTCGCCGATACAGGACTTGTTAGTTGCACAGCTAGAACACGTGCCAGGGCAAGGACCATAGGCCCGGGCGTTCCTTTCATGTATATAAGGCGGTTATCCTTCTCTTCCTTTCCTGTAGCAACTCAGGACCTTTAACATCCTACAAGATTATTATTAAATTAAGCCCTTTATCGCTCCAAGCCTTCATAACTGAACCCTTGTCACACTTTCCTTCTTCATTCCTTCTTCACCACAAATTCATTTTGTCTCTTGTCGGAACTGCAAAGCACAGTCATTTAAATCACCATGGCGCAACTATTCAAAAGTGACGACGAGTCATCCACCGTCATCATCCTACCCCAGACAGAGTCTGTTGATGACGATCCAATGGACGATTCCACCTCCACAAGCAACAAGACAGAAGGAGATGAAGAGAAGGAGGTCCACCTCAAGGGCATGATGTCAGACAGCAAGACCCTGTTCGCCAAGTACGACGAACAGGGAAACCGATCTTGGTCGGACAGGAAGCCCGACGACTTCGAAGAGGCCGCCGAAGGAGAGGAGACGGAAAAGTTTGCCATCATCGTACGCAAACGTAAGTTGGATGACCATCTACACAAACCACACCGCGACTAATATTCCCCAGAAAAGCCCAAGGATGCGGATTCGACCAAGAATCTCGAAATCGACAGCATCATCATCCAGTCGCCGCATCTGAAGAAGGTGCTTGGGGATGTATTCCGCGGGTATCCCGGAATTATGACCCGCTTGTCTCGGTTGAAGCTCAAAGCTCCATTCGAGTGCTTCCTACACCGTTGGGAGCAATTCGAAGCTGCTCGGGATGCAGAAGGCCAGGATCCAACTGCCAAGGAGCACTTGGACCTGCTGTATGACATTATGAAGGAGGAGCTAGGTGATATCATCAACCTTCGAAAGGACTACTTCAAGAACAAGAGCGTCACGTTTGACGACTTGTGGACCATTTTCCCGCCTGATTGTACTGTGTTGGGTATCAAAGAGGGCAAGCCGGTGGCCGCGCTCTTCAAGCGTGGATCCTACCCTCAGACTCCATGCGGTCAAGAATATAACCTGGAATGCAAGATCATCGACTGGGATGGTGTAAAGATGGGCTGGAGCTCGTTGAAACTGCAAATCCCTGCGTTTCTTGGCTTTGCCAACTTTTCCTCACTGCCCTGCTACCCAATCGAGTACTGTTCCAACCCGGAGGCGATCAAGGAAACGCTTCGTGAGAGGGGACGGCGCTTCGAAAGCCTCGCCGGGTTTTGCTACAGACAGCATGAGGGAGTGGCATTCTACCATCCCGAGCAAGATGCCGACAAGACATCTCGTGAGACGGTCCAGGGCCGCATCGTTGTCGACTGCGCAAATTGGCAGAAGAACAATCCCGACCATGCCCTCTGGCTGGATAACCTATCTCCCAGCGACGACAACAACAACAACGACGACGCAGACTCAGACGACGGCAGTCCCAACGGCAATAACTGCGCGTCCTCAAAGGCCGACTCGCAGCCACAAGCACCCCTGACACAGGACCAACTCATTTACACATCCCCCGTCGTGCGAGGCTACTCCCTCAGCTCCAAGCGCTGGATGGACTTCTTCGTCGACAACATAACCGACGTACAATTCGACGCCAATGCATTCAACTCGCTCGTCATGGACCCCGAAAAAAAAGAAGTCATCCTCGCCTTTGCCGAATCCCAAGCCCGCTTCAAAAACGCCTTCGACGACGTCATATCCGGCAAGGGCAAAGGCATAATCATGCTTCTCTGCGGCGGGCCCGGAACCGGCAAGACTCTCACAGCGGAATCTGTCGCCGAAGAGATGCGCGTGCCCATGTACTCGATGAGCGCAGGGGATCTCGGCAACGACGCCTACGAGGTAGAGGACAGCCTGGGCAAGATTCTCAAAATGGTGTCCAACTGGAATGCGGTGCTGCTGCTCGACGAGTGTGATGTGTTTCTCGAGGAGAGAACGGCAGATAACATGGAGAGGAATAGGATCGTGGCCATCTTCCTCAGAATGCTAGAGTACTATGAGGGGATTTTGTTCCTGACCACGAACCGGGTCAAGCGGATGGATCCGGCGTTTCACTCGAGGATTCATATCACGATGGAGTATCCGCCGCTGGATGAGGAGGCGAGGGCGCAGGTTTGGAGGGCGTTTTTGGAGAGGTCCAGGGGCGAGGAGGGGCATGATGTTGCGGAGGGGGAGGTGAAGCGGTTGAGCGCGTTGGATGTGAATGGGAGGGTGATTAAGAATATGGTCAAGGCGGGGAGTTTGTTGGCGTTTCATAGGGGGGAGAGGTTGGGGTTTGGGCATTTGGCTACTGTTTTGAGGATGACGGGGCATTCTTTGTGATGGCCTGGGGAGATTGTTGGATGAGAATAGCATAGATGTTATATTTGTTTGTGTGTTCGTGGTGGTGATGTTGTCGGTCATCATTATAACGAGCATGGAGATTGTGAAACACGTATACTCATAGTCGTCTCCTTGAAATAGATATATATGACTATAACCACATGAAAAATATGGATTCCGTCACTCTTGTCCAGGTTTCAAAGCCTCGATTCTGGAAAACAGAGTGTAGGCTTTTTGGACGACCCCGTACTGTGACTTGGTGTGCGAAGGGCAAAGTCGTCGCAACGATACCCTTATTGCCCCAGCCAGAGCAATGTTCGCGCCTGTTGCTATTATTTCCGATTTTATGCGGGGCCTGAGAGTGGCCTGCAGCATTAAGCTTGTTTGCGCCTCGCAACCTGGTTCACCGGCAGAGGCCGCTTGATGGGTCCGGATTTGCGCCAAGATCCCCAAGGAACACGGCCAGCATGAATTCCCTGACTCAACATGCGCCATGAAAGACCAAGAGTGGTCATCAGAGGCCACGCAGGGGCTTCTATGTCTGGTATCAAAGTATATCTCATGGCAGAATACGAATTTCGTCAACGCCCCACATTCGACCTCGCATCAAAATACAAACCATGAAGCGGCGCACGTCTTGGCCTGCTCACGATGCAGGCGCACTCACACATGTCACAGTGACGCGGTACAGCTCGGTGCAGCCTCGACATCCGAATAGGCTAAACGGCCAACTCGTGACGGAAGCTTATATAAAAGGTGGCTGCTCAACCCCACCCGTCGCATTCAACTATACAAACAAGCAAACACCCCTCAGGGTCCGGCTCGACGCATCGCGCACATGGAACAAGATCAGAATACAAGGTCGCCTCAGCAATGCCTCCAAAGCTAGGTCAGATTGTGGAAACGGTCCTCTACACCTCGGACGTGGCCCGCCTGGCCAAATGGTACAGGGACATCATGGGCATCGTGCCCTTCCACGAGAACCCCCGAAGTGCCGGGTTCAGCCTGCCCAATGACACGATACTGCTGCTGTTCGACCGCAACAAGACGAAGGAAGACAAGGTATTTCCCACGGGCGTCATTCCCAAGCACGGGACCGAGACTGGCCTTGGCCAGCACATGGCTTTTGCGTGCGCCTCCCATGACGAGCTCTCCCAGTGGGAGCGGCATTTCAAAAACAAAAATGTCGACATTATCGCAAAAATGAGTTGGGAGTTGGGCGGAAAGTCGGTCTACGTCAAGGATTGGGAGGGACATGTAATCGAGGTCATGACCAGAGGTGTCTGGCCGGTGTATTAACGAACCACTATCGTGTGCTCTTGGTGACTGGGCCTGAAGAGAATGGACTGTATGTATGATGACGTTTACTTTTTCTTATGAATCCCGAACCAGATTGGTCACTTTGTCCACTATTACCATTCCGCCTCGTGACTGTAGCTCTCGTGTAACTGGCTATTTCCGTGTGACATGTGCCTAGGGCTCTTGCCCGGGCACGTGTTTAATCTGTGTAACTAACAGGTCCTTTGTCGGTGAAGCCCCTTTGTTGGGCTTCACGATTTGTTGGGTCTTTTCTGTGAAACACATATAAATAAATCATGGTCGATTGCGTGATCTAATAATGGCCGTACTTGCCCGAGCTATAAAATATGCAGAAAAATATTGTCATTATATTACGTCTGGTATGACTAAGGACGCTCGCAATGGGGTTGCCTTTTTTAACAGATCGAAAGCCACCTGGCGCTGGTAATGGCAAATATGACTGTTGTCATCTACAAGGCCAATAGATCATTTGACATTACATACTATCATACATCAAACGGAATTAGTTTTAAGCTGCCCAGGCACTATTTTATCGCCACGCCTAGCTCAGCACTCGCTCAGCAGGCTCGTTGCCTTTTCACAGTGCCCGGCTCATCTACATCTGCGGCTATCGAGGAGCGTCGTGGTTCATAGATAAATGCAAAGCAGGAGTATTCAGTCCCCAGTCCGACGAGGGCATGCGCTTCATATTTAGTGCACCGGTGTATGGAATGTCTCCATGCCCCAACGACGTACTAACATTGATGCTTGATGTGGAATTGAGACTTTACTTGGCCTCAATATGCCGGTTAATATCTGTCTATGATCCACTTTCTCCTGTCCTCTGTGCTCATGGATCTCATCAAATCCACTTCCGCTTCTTTCACGGCCACGTATCTTTCGACAACATCAGCGCCCAACAGATTTGTCAAATCCTCATCTTCACTGAGGGCGTTCAAAGCATCCTCGATGCTCCCGGGCAACTTCTTCTCAATACCCAACTGAAGCCGCTCGTCAGACGAAAGTAACGCAGGGTCCGTTGTGCAGTCACGCCAGGTAAGCCCCTTTCCCTTCTGAACACCATCGAGTCCTGCTAGAACAACCACCGCTGTGGCTATATACGGATTGGAAAGACCATCCACACACTTCAACTCCCAATGGCTGTTTTCGATCTTGCGAAGAGGCGCTTCGCGATTTTGTGTGCCCCATGCAACCCACGTACCTCCCGCCCAGACGCCGTTTCGAAGCCGTTCGTAGCTCACCATATTGCTACACGTGAAGGCGCATATAGCTCTCAGGTGAGACAAAACACCCGCATAGAATGATTCATATAGGCCTGCGTTGAGGTCATCTGACGCGATTGAAATGTGAGCATGGGCCGCGGTGCCGCACGCATTAGCTATCGGTTTGGGATGCAATGTCATCTTGTATCCACAGGCACTTGCGCAGCTTGCTATGACTTGCCGCGCAAAGATCAGAGTGTCCACGGCTTCCATTGCCCTGGCCTTGGGTAAGATTATTTCGAATTGGCCTTTGGCACTTTCTGCGTGCAACATCTCGACGTATACCCCGGCGTGATCGAGTTGCTGTATTGCGGGCTCCAACACCTTCTCGACTACCTCGTGGTCCATGGCTCCGACCGTTGACCAAGCGTGTCCGTCATTGCTATGATCGCTGTATCCCCCGTTGCCTGAGCGGCGAAGGAGCACAAGCTCAATCTCAAAGCCAAACCAAAGCTCGATATCCTGAAGGCGAGCAAGGCCCAAGGCCCTTTTCAACATGGTTCGAGGGCAGAGGTTGACGAGCGAGCCATCCTTTTCCTTGAAGTCGCACATTATTGTAATATGACCATCCCGTGGCCCATGATGGAGGGATGAAAAGTCTGGTTGCAGCCTAAATTCTCCAATTGCGCCGACACCAGGAATCAAGACATCATTCTGAAGCACGCCAAGACACCCCTTGGTAACAGTGGCTGAGAGCGGCTGGTTGTTTTTTAGCGTGGACAAAACCTGTCGCGAAGGTATGACTCTCATTCTTGGAATACCCGTATAATCCACCCAACATAAGCGTATATAATGTGGCTTTTCGGCGTTGCTCAGGTATGTCAACAAGTGTTGCGACTCAACAGTAGCTGACGTTGCTCCGGAGGATGGCACACTTTCAGGTAGTTGGCTCCTCAACGTTAGACCGAGATTATAAATCTTATTAGAGGTATTGAACAACATATCCTGGACCATGTGGGTGGCCTGTTTCCATGTGATGTCCCCCTTTTGCACCAATTTGCACAAGACTGTGTGAAACACCTCTCTCATTTGGACTATGGCGAGATAAAAAGTCTCGGGGAACCAATGACCATCGGTACTCCATATGATCTTTTCCCACGGACAGAGCTCCAGAATGTGGCGTACTATGCTTTCTTGCCCATCTCTGTTGACGAATGGGAAAACCTCGCCGATATCAGCATATACATTTTCATACATTGCTGCCATGTATCCTGCTTCCCGATCGAAGGGATAGCCAGAATGCAGAAGAACAATTGGGACTGTTGGATATTGCCGTGCGAATTCTTGCAGATGCGCCGGAGAAGATCGTGTCAAGGTGAGATCATTATCACCGAGGCCGGTGTGGAATTGAATGGGCTTTTTGTGAACCGACTTGGAGTCCTGGATTAACTGAGCGAGGCGGTGGACGATGAATTCATTGAGCGCGCGATGATTCAACCTCGTGAACCTCGTAGCGTTTGCTGACTGCCTTTGTGAGAAAATACTCGCAAACGCCACCCGCGCCTCAGACTCGCTGGCCCCGGATGCAATGTCAAGTCCCGTTCGATAGCAAATGACCGACTTGAAGCCGACAATGTCCGGGTTGGAAATTGCACCCCTAAGCTCGGCCTCGAAATCCGCAATGGCGTAGTCAAATGCTCTCGCAGCCGATGTCTGTGAGATGCACGCAAATTCTATAAATTTGGCGGCAACTTGCTCAATGCGGAGGATACGTTTGCTGGGGCTGGGGGCGAACTGGTCAAAGTAGCTGTAGGGTTCGACAGCTTGCTCATGATCCAAGCCATCATCGACAAGGATGCACTCGATACCAGAAAGGCATTTCCGAGTCCATTCGGCGTAGTCATGTCGTCGTTCTTTTGCGATGGCGGCCTCCACAGCGTCCCAAGTCGCGGCACATCCAAGTTGTTCCGAAAGCTGCTTGACGGCTCGAATATGGGCCAGGCTGGTTCGCGATGAGTCGAGTGCGTCGCCATGAGCTTCCGTCACAATGGTAAGCAGGGGATACTTGGCGATATGACTGCTTTTAAGCAGCGGATGTGCGTGGTTGTCAATAATCGGAGTCGAGAGTATTGACCGACGCAAGGCCTCGGCGCCAGCCTGAAAGCCTTGGTCCATTGTTGACTTTGCCACCGGTCATCAAGAGGAGCTTGTTTTGTGAAGATGCAACTTTGTCGTCGTCGGTCTTGTTGGGCACATTCTGGATTCGGGCTTTTCGCTTGTGGCAGCGGCTGCATAATGGAAGGCCAGTCACGTCATTCTATTGTCCGATTAGGCAATGATCTGCATGGCCCAACCTCCTGCAATGGGTCGCTCCTTCCGCGACGCAACCCAAGCCCGATGTGTGAATCCCGCCATGTCTCTGGGATGATTCGTGCGACGGCATGAAGCTGGTACCAGGCGCCGATCGACCGTCAGCATCGCTGCCCAAATACGCCGAGAGCTTGAACCAACGACTCGGCGACGTGGCGTGTGGTTTCAACGTTGGTGTCGCATAATAACGTAGGCATCGTGCCTGGCCGCTCGCCCAAACCACCAGCCGGCATATACCGCAGCGCCCCATCTCTGCACTTTTGCATCCCTACACCAACATTGAACTCTCCGCCAGTTGCGTGTCCGCAGGTGGAAATGGAACAAGACGTCAACTGATATCCTGAGCAAGGTCCATGGCTTCTTCTCACCGCCTCCATTGGACTGCCCCGACGGAGCGGACCTGCCAACCACTCAATCACGCTATCAAAGAAATCCGACTTGTTCATTTGTTCCCATTGTCATACAGAGACGCAGTCAGGTTCCTCACCAACATCGTACCGCTCCACAAATGCTGTGACAATTCGAGAGGCTAATATCTGGCCCTTTCGTATGGAAGCTGTTCTAAAGCTTCTTGAACGGCCATGGCTCCGGAGAATTTTGGGCCACTTCAAGAGGCAGCTCTTGATGACAACGTCACATTTTTTTGTGGCCAACAGTCAATCAAGAAGAATGCCTTGTGGGCAGGTGGTCGAACTGCTGTTACACTATCAAACGAGACGTTGACGGGCTCTACTTTTGGACCACATCGCATTGGTAGATTCTGTGCCGCAGCAAGTTTCTCAGTAGAGAGAGCTCCATTCAGTTCCGACATGCATGGAAACAAACTCTTGTCGCTTTCCGGCCATACGGTAGATACTATGCATACTACCCTACAGAATCAATGCCATCCTCAGTAGGATTTGTCTGCTTTCAACGTCCACAGGAACGCATGGGGCTTCACACGGGACTTGCAAGATTTTAGAAGAGGCTACACGGGAAATACATACTGTCCCGAAGAACGCCTGGAGGCGCTTTGGAAGACGCCAGTTGCCGACTGCGATGCATACCTGAAGCCCAGCTCAACTTTGCGTCCACCAGCCAATGAGACGAGGCCGCAAACAGGGCCGGGAGTTAATTTGTTCCAAGGGCCAATATCAGCAGTCATTTTCCGTGGCGTTTTGTTGACCAGAAACCCTCTCGGCGTCTCGTAGATCAGGTAGACGCTTGACTTGTCGACAAAAACGAATACTCAACATAGCTGACGGGTTTCATCCAATCCTCTCAGGCACAGCATGGCTTTGGCTGCAGTTTGCGACCTCGTCTTGTTTACTAGGCAGGCATGGAAATGACCAGCTTTTATAGCTGTGCAATAAAATGCCCAAACATTAAAATAAAGCATCTGGCTAATTTGAATTGAACATTCTATAGGATTACTTTAGTTCCACTGACATGATTGGAGTAAAAGCGTTGCCAATGCTGACCCAATCGCTAGAGGCGTGATCGAATGGAGCTATTCGTCGGTGCTCTTGTTCCGCAGCGCCATGTTTACCCTGGCGGTGAAGTGAATGACCTCTCCAGCAACTAGAGTCAAGTGTGGCTGTGTGGTCTAGTCTCAGTACTCGTTCTTAGCCATCACCCTCTTATTGATACGCTTGTTCTGCAGCGGAATGACTGCGGCCTGGACGAATATCGTCGTCCACGGCGGCAAGAGAGTCCAGCTGTCCAGTCTGGAGGCCACAGCTCCAGGTCCTCACCTAACATGAAGGCAGCCGAGTTGGGGTTTCTTTCGCCTGCGTCACGCTTAACCGATGCAATCCAACAAGGGGACAAACTAGTACTTGCGCCGTTCAGTAGGAGCGAGCCCTTGTTGAGTCTTCTGAGTTTTGGGTAGTTTACGTTGTACGCTCTAGACTCGTCCGCTCTCTTTCCTACACGGCAGTACGCAAAGCTGAACATGACCAAGATGAAACCAGAAATTTCTACACCATGATGCTATGCGATTTCTCCAGCAAATTCTCGATATAGGCTCCCCTAAGGACAACCAATCACATGGGGCTAATGGCCGGATTTGGTTGGTTTCTCGCATTGTCCAGTGGAAGGAATACTAAGCGGCCTATGTGTACGCATCCCTCTCTTCTATCGGTAGTATTGCCAGAGCATCTGGTGCCTTCTCGCCCTCAATTCCAAATCCTCATGCGCAGAGTCATACATGAGATGTGATACACGAGTATAACAGAATGTCGGGATACCTCCCTTGGCCAAATCATCTCAAAATTCGGTAATTTTGCCACTGCTATACTAAGTATAGAGTCGATTCATTATCGTTAGCTAGAGACGCTTCACTTTTATACAGAAATAAAAAGAAATCCAACCGTCTGTATTGTTGCTGAGGCTTTCATTACCCATATGCCGCGTTAAGATGCCAAACTTCTGAAAGTTGGCTTATACCTATTGATGAACACCGTGGAGAATTGAAAAATAGCGACGGGGAATGCCCTGGTCCGTCAATTTGCAATATCCGTGTAAGAAAGCAAGCATCGAAGACTCTGAAGAGTAGATGGTTTATTTCGGGGTAGGAGACAATGGCAAGGACGGTACATTTTACTGAAAATTGGCATATTAGCCATTTGCTCATATGAATTTATAAAGAAGACAGTCTCAATAGGTGAGTTTATTTTCAATTTCTTCTTCGACGAATGGTTGTCTGCGGTTATTTTGCTGAATAGGCTGTTGGAAGGCGGCGTCTTCGCGGAAGGAGTAATGCAGTGGCATGTAATCAAGTTGGGGGTCCAAGACGCTCGGGACTCTTCACATACTTCAAGTATATAAACCAATAAAGCCAACAGAGTAGAGCAATATGCAATAATACTCATTGTACTATATCATAATAACTCAAAAAACAAAGTTTTTTTCTGTTGCATAACCTTTAACCCTAATCCATGCTTTACCTCAAAGATATGACTTGCGGCTCAGACTTGGGTATTTGATAATCCCTTGTGACGACTGTACATAATCAAAAGGATGTGAACTTTACTTGTAAGACGATGTAATGCGCTTACAAGCTGTGATGGGAATGGCGGATTTCCCTCCACCGTGGTTCTGTAGGCAGAGGCGACTTTTTGCCCCTGAGAGGGCGGCCAGAGAAGAGGAATCACAGAATTATGAAGCATTCTCCAGAGCTCATTACACCTTGTGATGTTGACACCCTTTTTTTTAAGTTGTATCGGTGTCGCCGCCGCTCTTCCCATCTTTCAATCCACAACATGCTACGTTTCCACTACTCGCTCGACGTTTAAACGCTTCCTGTAGTTTATCTAGATATTATCTTGATCCTCCATGCACCCCTGGAACGCGGAAACAATATCACACAGGGCATTGTCCAAAACCACCCCGCACAGTCCAATCTTTGAAGCTTTTGGGTCCGTGACTATTGGGGTGGCCGATGAAACCTACTTTTTCTGCCTAGTTATCAGGAGCTAGGTGTCGGAAACACCGCCGGGTTGCGACAATCCACCCCTAGCCGCAAGTTTGTCAGCGGTCGTGCCGCAATAGGTTAACGAGACTTGACATTTGAACCATGACGGGCAGTAACTAGTTGGCATTGACCCATCTTTTCAATGGCTTCTAGTGCCGGCAGTTCATTCTATAGTGGGTTGATGGCAGAGACTAACCATCCAGCCTTACTGCAGGTCCCTAAACGGCAGATCCGAGCCTCTTCAATGTTGGGAAGGGGTGATATGGGAACGGGGCTCTCGTGGAAGACATGGTAGTAGTCAACCCAAGACCAATCACATGACAATACGAGGACTGGTCCTATAACAGCCTTCATGCTCTCCTACAACGTGAATATGGATGCTCAGAGATGGTAATTCTGCTTCGTAGTCTAGCTGCGTCTCAACCCGGTGTTGACCGATGCTGTTGTCGACTCGGTGTCGCGTCCAGTATGTGCGATAGCTAGTACTAGCACAAGTTGTACGGAGTAGACGGCGTGGCATCATGGGCCGTCTTGATTGGATACCAACCGTTTCTATGAGCAAAATAATTGTACACTAGTGAGAAATAACCTTGCGGAGCAGGCGTAGGATCATGTTTGACAAGAAGCTTCGAATGACCATGTTGGACATTTGCGCTCGGAGTTTGCAGATGCGGTCACTCCAGTCCCACTCGACTCGACTCTATTCGGTATCCGGACCCTGCCGGTTCTCGGTGGTGTAAGTAGAACGTGCTACGAGCCCATGACAAGTGCTCGAGAGTTTCTATCAATTCCATAAATAGGACCGTCATACCCGGTCATTAAAGACATCCAAGCTTCTACTTCTTTCACCAAAAACACCATTTCCCCAAACATACATTTCCACAAGGTTTCGGGTTTCCAAGAACACAGCAGCATGAAGTTCACCAACCTCCTGGCCTATCTCGTCGTCGGCGTCACCGCCGCAGTCGCTTCCCCCGTTCCCCAACCCGAGGCCGCCCTATCCAACCTTCCCAGCCTCAATGCCGCGCAAAGCGGTTACGCCAAATCAATCATTGCCAAGGCCAAGGCCGCTGGTGTCCAACGACACGGCTGCCAGGCCGCCATTGCCACTGGTCTCGTCGAGGTTTGTTACCAATCCGCCGTCTCCTAACCTTTAAGCCATGACAATTCGCTGATAAATCTATAAATGCAATAGTCTAAGCTTCTTATGTACGCCAACAACGCGGTCCCGGCATCGTTGACGTATCGTCACGGCGCCATTAGCTCTGACAACGACTCCGTTGGTATTTTCCAACAGCGCGCCTCCGTCTACAAGAACATTGCCTGCAGCATGGACGCCGGCTGTTCTGCGGGCCAGTTCTTTTCTCAGATGAAGCGCATCGGTGGCTGGCAGACTCTGAGCGTTGGCGCTCTGTGCCAAAAGATCCAGCAGTCTAGTTTCCCCGATCGCTATGAGAAGCAAGTTGCTGCTGCTGCGTCAATTTGCGCCGCTGGCGGCTTGTAAATAAAAAGGGGTCAGCTTGTACATGTATTTACATTCATAGAACGCTTTACTTGTCTATAAACACGGAGATTTATCCAGTCCTAGCCTAGACTCTGCCAGACGATTCATTGATGCTTGTGAACCAATCTCTTGTCTCCCATAATCACCTTGGCAAATTTTGCGGACAGGAATTGCAAATTGACCTCACAATAACCTAATTCGTGCGGGTTTCTGGGATGTAGCTCTTGCTTAGTATATCAGACAGTAGCTATGGGCGGAAAAGGCGTAGGAACGCTGATACAAAGCCTTGCTAGATAGAGCTGTCCGTGTAGTTGCTCAAGATTGTCTCAATAGTAGCTACATAATCATAGCAAGTAAACACCTTGCTCTATTTCTTCCATCTACTTCCCAACTAGGCACGGTCGATACGAACGGCAAAGCATCCTGGCCGCGCGTAATGAACGTGGATATACTCGGCCTTTTCATTTTCCATCATTTTGGCAGAGACGCGCATCAGTTCATCCCCCTGTACCACATCCGCACTCACTAAGCAGTGAGCCGAGTCAAAGCATCGGACAGAAATGAGCCGCCGGCGGAGTTGTTGGGGAAGCAGACCATCCGGCTTGTACGGCGCGCATTGCGGTGTTGAATGCACGAAAATAGGTCCCGTCTGTCTGTACGGGCTGTCGCCTAGCCACGGATCGTAAGGCGCAAGGAGCATGAAATCTCCCATCTTTCCGTCCTGTAGACAGCGGCGGCATGGAAAGGCATTCTCCCCGTCTACTTGGATTGTTTTGGTCAAGGATGAGGGCACGCTTTGGACGGCAAAAGGAGTGGGAAGTGCGCGCAGCTTCAGTGTTGGCGGAACGTTCTGCCTCGGGTCCTATCCCCAATACGTTTGTGCGATTAGGCCTGGTCGCTGGGTTTACGGTAGGATTCAGAACGTGGCTTTCACTCACTTTATTTGAGTTGTTGATCGACATCTGGCGCTCTGCTTGTGGAAGGGTTACTAGGTAGGATATTTTGGCGTGAGGAGCGGGCAGCGGGGAGAGGGGGATATATATAATGAGAACAACATGCCATGTAGAGTATGTTGCTTTATAACTAGGTGTGTGAGCTTATTGATCATGTACATCGTTTATTGCTGTTAAACTGACGAATGGCTGACGTTGCTGTTCTCAGCCGCAGATTGGTTGGGTTTAAGTCGGGCCCATCTTGCTCTTATAGTCCGGGAGGCTGATCTTTTAGAGCCAGCCATATGATTCAAACCCAAAACATATAGTATATACCCGGATTTAAAGGTCTCCTATATATGATTTTATTTACTATATATATACTGAGCCAAGTTACCTCGTTTAATTTGATAATAAATATCTCAAACCGCAGGTAGCTACACGAGGCAACAAGTGCCCAGTTCAAGTCTCATCAGCCCACGTATTCTCAGACAGATATCTATCCCAGTCCACGTAGCCCACAGGCTCCAACGCTCCCTCATATTCCGTAATGTACCCATTTACACATTCTGAAAAAGTCACCTTCTTCTGCTGATTGAAAAAAAAATCATCATATTTTGTATCCATGGCATTGTCAAGCGAGCGGACGTTGTCTTTGGGATCAGGAAACAGCGTTTTCCAAGGCTCTCTACAGACTTTGCCCTTGCAGCTCTTGAGGGTGAGCAGCAGGGCGTCCAGACGAGCAGACAGGGCAGGTATGTCGTACCCCGAAGTCTCTTCCTCGCTTCCATACAAATTCGTCATTTGGTGTGGATCAGCCTTCATGTCGTATAGCTGGTGCTCGTTGGTACACCAGACGCCGTACATGAAGTCGTGCTTGTCACCGACGAGACGGAGAGTCTTGTACGTGTTTTTTGAAAAAGCCCCCCGTAAGTTGCCAAATACTTCGCCCTCGAGGTAGCCCTGACCCCAGTATTCAATGTTGACGTGCTCGTTCTTGCGCACCGGGCGCCTTTGGTCTTCGGGCGTAACTGCGATGGGGACGCCATCAAAGTCTTCGTGCAGAGGGATCCCTGCGAGTTTGAACAAAGTAGGGACAATGTCGGTGTGGGAGGTCGGGAAAGAGACCTCTTTGCCTGCGGCAATGCCGGGCCCGCGAATGATGAAGGGCACGTTGATGTCCTCTTCAATGTTGCACGTCTTTCCGGGGGGCAATCTATGCTGTCCGATGTGGTAGCCGTTGTCGCTGGTGTAGATGATGTATGTATTGGCAAGGACTTCTGGGACTTTCTCCAACACATCAACGATGCCGCCAACCAGCTCATCGACAGCCTGTAGTGTCTGCAACCGGGCGCGATAAAAATTATCGCTGTATTGGATTTGTGTAGAGGTCAATTGCGGAAGATTCTTTAGATAGTTGACATGGCCGGGCTATGACAGGTTCTCAGCATTGCGCAATCTCATCTGCGGGTTTCAACGTACTGTACTTGGATTGAAGCTTGGGGAGCGGGGAATCGAGACATTTGGAAATAGATGCTTATGTCGGTCGGCAGGAATCGGCGTCGTAAACCCCGTGTTGGCGTGAGGACCTATGGGCGTAACACCCAAGAAAAAAGGCTTGCCCGCAGCAAGGGCATTATCAAGGAACTCCAGAGATCTATTCGCAATGACGTCGGTGGAATACTGGCCCTTTATACTCCTGTACTCATTTTTGTCTAGGGCCATGATGGCATCAAGATAGCTATACGTTCCAGGGTCAAGCAAGACTAACGATGCAAAACACGGTCAGTTGGGGATTTGAGCAAGCAGGGATTTGTGCCTGTAGACATGACGCACAGTCAGAACGAGTCCATCCTTTGGCAAAGGGCTGGTTGTACGTGCGAGTACTGTGCTGATTCATGAGTTTTCCTGTGTAGTATGTGTTGTACCCGTAGCTCTGTAGCCACACGGGCAAATACGCCTCATTGAGCCCCTGTGTAGCAAATTTCGTGTATCCGCCTGCAAAACATCAAAGTTCAGTCAGTCTGACATACGGTTCGCCGAATGATCCGTACACATGGATCGAAATTAAATGTGAGGAGCTCAGCAACTTATAGAACATACCATATGGCTGTTATTTACGTTGTTAATCAATCTGCGGTGCAAGGATCAACGCCGACCAGAAAGGTCTGAAAGATTTAGACGTACCCATGACACATCGGTAACATTGGTGTTGTGAGCAGCCTTCCCCGTAAGAAGAGACACCCTTGACGGACAACACAATGCGACAGTGCAGAAATGTTTCTTAAACGTGGTGCCTTTGTCAATCAGCTGCCTTTGGACTATGTTCTGATATTCGAGAGAGTTTAGGTGCAGATCTTGATCATCCGTCATAATGAAGATGAAGTTCGGCTTTGCAGTGCCATTTTGATGGTGATTTGTACCGTTGGCCATGCGGAAAGCGAGGGCCAGAGCCGCAAGCAAGAACAATGGTATTGCCATCTTGTTCCAGATGCCTTGGGTGACTGGAAGTACTGGCGATGAAGGCGACGGTCGGGTTGTCGGTTGAGGACCAGCCGTGGCAACAGAGGGTTTCTCAGCCCTCTGGTTTGTGAGGAATTGAGGCATCATGGCGCAATGCTGCCGGCCGGGTATCAAATGTCTTTATAAATCTTTGCCCGTTCCCCTAGCCTCACACTAGGCAGCTTGGGTCATGGTACGGTAATAAGGTCGACCGGCAATTGTTGAGGTAGTATTCGACCGGACATGAAGGAAAATACCTAATGCCCACGACTCGTTTGGACACGGCGTTTTGACCTTGGAGTTTCCCACGTTCGGTTGTCATGGTGTCATCGCTCATGCATCTCGACAGAGGTTGTGGCCCACATAGTTTACCAAAAGAACCAATTATACGACATCTTTTCCTCATGACGTGGTGCGGTGGAACTATCGCGACATTCAGCTCATGTAGGCTTAATAACAAAGCGCTGCTGATCCCTTCCCGAGCCGACGCATTACCGATCTTCCGGTGTACTAAATGTATTTTGTCCTCTGCCGGGCCGGACCTGTCAGCGACCTCCCGATTACACTTGAGACTTTATCTATCATGTGATGGCTGCAATGGACTACCAGCCGACATTGATAGTTACATTGCATATGCCAACACTGACCATTACGTACTACTCTGCAGAGCCGGAAACAGAACAAAAGGCCCAAGGAAAATCCCTCCATGGGATCGTTAAGCGGAAAAAGTTGAAGAGGAAAAGGCCTGTTTGTGCAACCGGCCGGCGATCCCCCGCACGGAACGTCGGCAGGGATGACGTGGCATGCACGACGACTTGGTGTTTTCCGGAAGCTCTTGGACAATCCATCACTTGGCACAATGTCTAGTGCTCTGCATTCATGGCTTCCGGTTGTAATATGGAAGCAGCTTCCGAAGTGCTTGATACATCCGTTTCCTCAACAAGGGCTACTTACAAACGTGCTATAACTCTACTGCAGAAGACGTACCTGATAGCCAGCCGGAAAAATGCCAGGCGAGTGCAAGCTTGAGATACTGGATCGATTGTGTCCGGGGCCGAGAACCGAGGGAACTTGTCTTTGCGGAAAAGCTCAAATTACGTACAGTCCAATCCTTAAAACAGACACCCAGTCCTAATATAACTTGGTAAATAGATACTACGCACATCAACAAGTTATGAGCCTGGGCTTGCGGCTAATAATAACATTGGCTATAATTTAATGCAAAGCCAAGTGCAAATACGTGACTTATATTCCAATAATCAGACCTATGATTTTTTCAACGAATCACATATGGCTGATGGCGGCAGCACTTTCTCGTTTCGTACCTTCAAGAGACAACTGAGTGTCCGATTGGGGTCGGACTACAATTCGTGACGTGTGCAAATAATCGTACGAGCCCGAGAGGCTTGTGATTTGTTACCTAGTTTCATAACAGGCTCACGCGAAACGTCCTACTATAAACATGTCATAGGAGGATCCACGTTTATGGCTAGGGCTGGCGTGTGCAGGCAAAAACGAGAGCCGGTGGAAATTCAGCGAGTGTAAGTGAGCAATAGCTCGCCGACGACGCAATGCTTACTTTCCACACGACCACAAGTGTTGCATTTAAGACCATCTTCTACTAGAGTTTACATCTGTGACAAGGACTCAAAGAGGGCTTGGAGCAATAGCTCAATTCAACTAATAACAGTCTTTGGTATCAAAGGTCCTTGGTTTTCCTCAAGGCCTTGAGGGCCCGAGGACGTCTATTTATACAAGAAGTCGGTGAGGGCCTTCTGCCCTAATCCCGTGACCGTAGCCCTTATGTAACCTTTTGACATTGGGCCATCTCCGTGTAACAGCTATGGAGAGCCAAAGTGTACCGAAGTCGTCAAGGCCGAGGTGTTTATTGGCTGTCAGCTTGTCTGGGCCAAGGACTTTTCCATCGCCAAGGCCGATCCCCCCAAGACGCAGACATTTAGGGAGTTCCTGGGCTCGCAGTATATATATCAGACCTGTATGGCAGACGGTCCAAAGGGCCTAGAGGTCACGCTTACTCTCAAGTATGGACGGGACAGCATGAGATTCTGCTCTGTAGAAGTGTTTGAGGTTGTGCCGCGGAACACTTCCCAGACACGTTAGAGAGCTTAATAGTGTGGAGTATATTCACACGAATAGCAGATAATTTGAAGTAGTTGATGGGTATGGTCGTCAAAATATGTTGTTTCAGCCGTTGAGGGACTCACGTGATCATGTGCAGATGAAAAGCCATCTGCACATTCTTCTTCCTCTAGCCTTTTACCCAGGTTTTACAAGACGATCAGAATAGAGCACGATTTTACCATCCTTATCTTTGCCCTAGCCTTTCCATACCAGCAGGCGGCTGGGGTCCGGGTCCGGGTCCGGTGTGGTCTGATCAAAACGAGGCTGAAAAACATGGAGAGGGCGACCGCTTCCATGCATGTAAACAATTGTGCGACCGTAATACGGTAATGGCGCAAACTAGGGCTTACTTCTCCTTTTCCTTCTTTCTTCCCCTCCTTCTTTGACCAATTTCTCTGTGTCTAGGCCATTCCTTGTACCCGAGCCACTGCTTCATGACGGCCGAATTTCACACCAATATTTGTCATCGGGAGCCATCATATCTCGCCCAAGCCATTGCGCGATGCAATTCACGACCGCTGGACTTGTTTCCCGATGTGTCGCTGTCTTGGTATCGGTGATGGTAGTATGGCTGACCTGGAAGCGGCGTGTCCAGCAAGAGGTATGAGAAGCACAATCAAGAAAAGGCCATAGTACGCGTAATTGGCACTGACACTGCTCCCCATGACCATTGTAGGCCGAGAAGCGATTTGCCTCTGAGCGTGGATGCCAACCGTTGCGGCCTTGGTCAGCCAAGTGGCCCTTGGGGCTAGACTTGCTGCTAAAGGCATTTACATACGCAAGGCGAGGGCAGATATTGCATTATTTTCTACAAGTAGTAGAGCAATCGGGAACCACTTTCCAGCAGAATTTGCTGGGTGGACGTGGCGTCAACACGGTTGACCCGGCCAATATTGAGGCTATCCTGTCCACCAATTTCAATGGTACCGACCATCCGTCACAAACAAAACATCCAAACATGTCGGGGCTGATGCCACAACCACAGATTACAGCCTAGGATTGCGTGCCCCGAATTTTCAACCCGTGCTTGGCAGCGGTATATTCACACAGGATGGAGCGGCTTGGAGACACTCGCGGCAGCTGCTTCGGCCACAGTTTGCTTCAAACCGAGTGCACAATTTTGAACAGGTCAAAAAATGTGTCGCGCATCTTATCGAATCAATTCCTGGTGACGGAATAGTGGACCTCCAGCCTTTGTTTTTCAAGCTGACGTTCGATACAACCATGTTTTTGCTTTTTGGTAATTCCGTCAACAGCTCCGACTGGGGCCAAGTGGCTGGTCAGGAGTCCAAATTCGCGCAAGCATTCAATTTGTCGCAGGAATATTTGTCTCACCGCGGACGCTTGGGCCCATTCTACTGGCTGCTCAATGACAAGGCTTTCCGGGATGCGTGCAAAACGTGCCACGATTTCATGGATAAAGGCATCGCCAAAGCGTTGGAGGCTTTTGCACAGACAGACCACGGAGGAAAAGGAGAGGATCGTGACGCCGACACTTATGTGTTTGTGGAGGCTCTCATGCAGCAAACAAGAGATCCACGGGTTCTCCGGGACCAGTGCTTGAATGTTTTGCTTGCAGGACGCGACACGACAGCGTGTTGTCTTCATTGGACATTGTATGGCGAATTCCATCACTGACATATGTTGAATACTGACTGTGGCAGTCGTCTTCTTGCTCGCCACCAGCATATCCTCGATAAACTGCGCAGAGAAATTGACCACATATCGGGCTTGGGATCAAGCGCACCTCTGCCCACAAGGGAAGACCTGAGACGCATGTCATATCTCCAACTGGTCATCAAAGAAGGCATGCTATCGTCGCCCTGATCAGTCCTATTTTTGCTATTTCCGCTCACAATACCAAGATCCAGTCTAATGGAAAAATAGTCCTGCGTCTTTATCCGTCCGTACCCGTCAACTCGAGAGAGGCCATACGACTTACAACGTTGCCTGTAGGTGGCGGGCCCGACGGCAAGTCTCCGGTCCTCGTTAGGCCAGGCGAGGGAGTTGGGTACTGCGTTTATGCAATGCACCGCCGCAAAGACATCTACGGCCAGGACGCCGAGGAGTTTCGCCCTGAGCGTTGGGAAGGTGATTCTTTAAGAGATATTGGGTGGGCATATCTACCATTTAACGGAGGGCCGAGATTGTGCTTGGGTCGTAAGAAAAGTCCTCCCCAGAGCCGTGTTGTTTTTTCCGGCCCATGACTGACGAGACTTATCATGTAGAAGAGTTTGCTTTACTTGAAGTTGCATACACAGTGGCGCGATTGGTGCAGGTCTTCTCCAAAATCGAATTGCCGAGTGGAGAGAGGGAAGTCAAAGTCGGGCAAGAGAGACAAATTCTTACCTTGGTCGTCGCTAGTGCCGAAGGATGTGTAGTATCCTTGAAGGACTGATGACAATACGTCGATCCTTTCGATGAAGCCCAGCTTTTTATCGAACCATCTGGGGAATGCTCAAACTCTTTTCGTTTCTTTTCTTCCCTATCGGGGTGGGATCCATGTATGGACAATATTTTACGCAGTCTATGCGATGAAATCTTGTAAGATTTTCCAAGACAACCCTTAACAATTAACCCATCGCCACTGTTACTTGTCCTTCTTCTCTAGGTATACCTCTTCTCGCATCTCTCTTGCTACATTCATGAATTGACTGGCCCCAATAGCCGTCAGAACATGCCACAAACCATGGAACTCGAATAGCCAAGCCCAAGGCAGCCCGACTTGCCGTCTCACGGCTCGAAGCGTGGCACAATATTCCAGGTCGATATTCCATAGGACATAGCCAATCAGGCAAACGCCTATAGCTTTCCAGGTTCGCGAATTCCAATCACGACTTTTAGCCTTTGCAAACGGCGCCGGCTGGAGCCAATGGTATAGATACTGCGTGCGTAAGATAACCAGCAGTATCCCAGTTGCAAAAGCAATTACCTGGTAGATGATTCTTGGCGACTGGATGTAAAAGCCTGCAAAAGTGATAAAGACAAAAGCAAGGCCAATGGAAATGGATCGGGATCTTAAAGGTGACTGTCGTAGCGTGAGAGTGGCTTGTAGCATTGACCAGGTCAGGCCAAGCATTGAGAACTCATCGGCGAATTCCAGTGTTTGACGGAGGCTCGCATGGAATAAGAAGGACCCAAAGCCTAAGCTCAAAAGCGAGATACTCATAAAATCCAGCTTTGGTGATAACAACCCACGGCTTCCAGGGCCATACATGTATCGAAGAGCAAGATATACTAGTCAACAAGTCTTTTAGCGTCGGCATTTCCTTGGCTTGGGCATGATGGCACAGCTGGCTCGCTCACGCTGGTCAACCCGCGCCGAATGGAAAACGCACGTACCATACGCAAGATTCGTCAAGGAGTTCACAAATTCAGCCAAGAACCGCGTCAGAATGTAGTCCTCTTCACAGAAGCTGCCTGCAAGTCAGCACAAGGCTAGCGATTAATGTCTTCAGGAACGTCAATATACTTTGCGCGACTGTTGGGCGGGCCCCAAACTCCCGTCAGTGAATAGGGATCGCCGTCGTAACGGATATTGTGATGGCCCATGTCTAGATTTTCGTAAAGTGCAGTCGATACACTGGTGTCACGCGGCGCCGTTGCTGTGAAAGATGGAATCTTGAAATGGCTCTGGTTTGATGGCAGAAGACGACCAGGCGCGTCAATGGGTTGAGCGAGTCACCTGAGCGCCAGACCAAATTGACGATTTGACGAAAAAAAAGTACCAGACAGCTCCAGGGACATGTACGGAGCCGTTTGGTGTGGTGAATTTGCAGCTTGGCCCAGCCTCCACATCCAGCGGCGGGCGCGTATCCCCCCCCTTTTTGCCGTCCAACCAACAGTGCATCGACACATCCCTGCTGCAGTGACAGTCACAAACTGCCACCGAGTCTGTCTTATGTAAGCTATTGACACCAAAAGTGGAGAACTCTCCTGGCAGTGCAGGCTCTCCATCTCTCTTTACCACACTTCGTTTCCTACGGTTTCGCGCAGCATTGATGTTTTCTCCATCCTTCTTTCGCCAATTAAGATGGGATCTATGCCACAAACTGGTTGAGGCGTGTTATGGCAGTATTTGAAACAAGGCATTGAGAGCAAGCAGGCGGGAATGGGGGTCATCTGCAGTACACCATGTTTGTTCAGCTCTGGTCACCCAGGTAAGCAACAGGCAGGGGGGATCTCTCCCAAGATTGGTGGCCGGATATGCAATTCATCGGGTGGCTGAGAAATTCGTTTTACGAAGGATTCGTCACGCGCATGCACAGAAAGGCTTCACCCGCGCTGTGGTTTGCTTTCCTCGAGATGGTCACTTCACTAGCGTGGAAACGATCTTGGTCAACCTCTTGTCGTCTAACATCTCCCGTCTGTACTCTTGGAGAACAGGAAATCGAAATCGAAATCGAAATTAAGATAGTAGGCGTGTTGTCAGGGTCGGCCCTTCAAGGAACATGGCGCTAGCTCATAGTGTGACGCTGGGGTTGCAGCGCAAGCCACCTCATAACTCAGAACATTGCTAAAAGTGCATCATTGGGAAGTGGAGATATTCTCGATATCGGCATAGTATCTACAAACGAACCCATCTGGTCCTTCTGGAGCTAAAAACCAGATGACTCGGGACAAGACATCGCATGGAAAGCTGAAGCGTATTCCAGCCTTCGCAGATAGGCTGAAATTGACTGGGGCTCAAGATTCTTCACCAGAAGAGCAGACATCATCTGCACATCTTACACCATGGTAGTACATGACCAGGCCCCTCCCTCACACCGGAATGGTTCCAGGACTCAGCCTCTATATATGTGCAGGAGCCAGGGAGGTGGCGTCGCCTCGAGACAGCAGACAAGGCTTCCACTCCCAAGACGAGACCCTCGAAGGCTGTCAGAGCTGGCCCGGATGACCAAGTGCAAGACAGCATCCTGACTAGATCTCTTGACTAGATCATGGCTTCCACTCTACACAATGGCGCAGTTAGATCCAGCAATCTACACTATTGCATGGATTGCACCCCTTGAGATCGAGGCCATTTCAGCCCTGCATTTGCTCGATAATTCACATCATGGCCGATTTTCTCTCAGTCGCGGGGATGATTACGTATTTCACGCTGGCGATGTATGCGGACATAATGTCGTCATCGCAACATTACCGGCTGGTCAGGAATATGGTACAGGATCAGCCGCGGCCTTGGCTGCCCAAGTCAAGAGGTTTTTCCCCAACCTTTGGTTTGGCTTACTTGTTGGTGTAGCCGCTGGGTTACCTCTTCTCTTTGGACCTGAACGACGCGACATCCGGCTCGGCGACGTAATAGTCGCGCTTCCCGAAGGTGACAGCGCAGGGTTATTCGCATACGATTTAGGGAAAGAATGCGCCGCAAAAGGCTTCCAACCCTTGCGATCTGGACATGTCCTTGCTGTAACAGAAACTGTCGTCAGGTCGGCCATCGGGAGTATCAAAATCCACGCGCCAAATGATACGGCCTTTTTTCTTCCGTTTTACCATGATATAAAGCACAGAGAGCATGCATCTGGGAATTTCATGGACCCTGGTCAGGATAATGACGTGTTTTACGACATGAACGAGCACGGAGTGCACAGCGTAATTGCCCGAGAACCGCGGCCGAAGTCGAGACGTACTCGAGTCTGGTATGGGCCAATAGCCTCTGGAGAGAAGCTAATGAAGAACGCAGTGAAGCGCAATGAACTAAGGGATAGATATAAAGTTATCGGCATCGAGATGGAGGCTGCCGGGACAATGAATCGCATACCTGTGGGTGTTATCCGCGGGGTATGTGATTATGGAGATGAGCGAAAAAACAAAGAATGGCAACCTTACGCAGCAGCCATGGCTGGAGCGTATGCCAAAGCCGTTTTGGCACAAATTGGACCCAAGAACCTTCAGTCTGCAGCTGTATCCGAATCCAGCCAGGGTAGTTCCACCAGTCAGTCCTTGAAAGAAATCGTTCTGTGACAAAGCATAACACTGACTCAAGAAAAGTCATCAGGGACTTGCCCCAACCGAGTACAAAAAGTGACGGATATTCGGACGAGCCATGCAGGAACGAGTATTTCGAGACGCCGCAATCAGTGACCAGCCTCTTCACGGGCCGAGAAGATTTGCTTGATGATCTTTCCCGTACCTTTATCCAGTCAGGAAGCCCGAGAGCTGAGGCACAGCGCCGCTTTGTGGTCTACGGACTAGGTGGTGCGGGAAAGACCCAATTCTGTTGCAAGTTTGCCGAAGAAAATCGCGACAGGTATGCGTAGAACTAGCCTGCTCTGAACTCTAATGTCCTAAATCTGACCAATGGAGCACCCAAAACAAGATTTTGGGGAATATTTTGGATCGACGCTAGCTCTGAGGAGAGAGTTGAAGACAGCTTTAAACACATAGCCGCTCTGGCCCTACTACCTCGAAACGCGAACGCTGCTCTACATTGGCTCTCAAAAGCGGACAAGAAATGGCTTCTTATTATCGATAATGCCAATGACTCGAGAATACCCTTGGAGAATTATTTCCCAAAGGGCAGATGTGGACACATTCTCATAGCGACACGCAATCCGGCACTGAAAATACACGGGAACACCGGACCAGAATTCTACAATGTCAGCGTGATGGGTTTCAAGGAGGCCAAGAGCCTGCTGCTGCGGTCTTCCGGCGTGCCTGCGCCATGGGCTCGTGATTCTGAGGATGACGCAATGACGGTCACGAAAGCTTTAGGACTTCTGGCCTTGGCAATTGTGCAAGCAGGTGCAGCCATTCGCAGCGGTCTGTGTAAAATGAAGGACTACCTCAAGTTCTATCAGCGTAGTTTTGATAGACTTCGACCTACCAATCGCTCGAAAGGCCCAAGCAAGAACGAAATGGACGCATATGCAACTTGGGAGCTGAATTACGAGCAGCTAGAGAAGAAGAATACTGAAGCATCTGAAGATGCCATCCAGTTACTCCAAGTCTTTGCTTTTTTCCACAGAGAAAACCTTTCGCCAGAGATATTTTCGAAGGCCTTACAAAACTTCAAGCTTGAAGTGGACCAGCAACAGAAAGAGTCTGGGGCTGAATGCAAGGCAACGACTTGGAAACAATGGTTTAGGGAAATGAGTGTTCTCGTCGTCGCTTTTTTGAAGAAAAACAGAGGGCCTCCCCCAATTCCACGTCTCCTCCGCGATGGTCGGCAATCTGGACGCCTCGAAGAGTGTGAGGATCGCATTCTTTATGCATTGAGAGAGCTGACTGATCTATCTCTGATAGAGCGAAACTCTCACAACGATACATATGTTATGCACCCAATCATCCACATTTACGCTAGAGAACGGCCCAGGATGAAACTCGTAGACCAGGTACTTTGGGCCGACGTTGCTGGTATCGTCCTTGCGTCCTCTATCCTTCTGCCACCGCTAGGAGTTGGAGAAGAGGTTGAAAAATTCCACATCAGCTTGCTTGCCCACATTGAGCAAGTCGAGCTTTGTCGCGACGACCTACGAGATAGGGTATCGAAGAAGGAACCGTCTTGGACTTCTTGGTTAACCACTGCATCTACAATAAATATTGATTTGCTGCGAATGAAGGCCAAGTTTGCCTTTATTTATGCTACTTGTGCCAAGTGGGATAAAGCAAGGTTATTGCTCGAAGAGGTCAAGATGATTTGCGATTCCGTCTTGGGCGCCCACGATCCTCGGTCAAGGAGAGCGACTCTTTTCCTCTCCGATGTGCTTGTGTACATGGATCGATCTATCGAAGCAGCAAGCTTGCAACAAGCATTACTCAAAACCTGCTCAGGATTCCTGGGCAAGGACCATCCTGATACATTGAGGGTGATGAGCAAACTGGGAGGAACTCTCTGGCAACAAGGGCAGTATACTACAGCTCTAGATTTACAAAGAACAGCTGTTGCTGGCATGAGGGTGCAATTGACAGCAGAGCACCCCGATACGCTCGAGGCAATCGACAATCTTGGCCGAACCGTCTCCAAGTTCTGGGCACGCGACAACATTGAAGAGTCGCGTCAACTTCATACCGAAGCAATTGAAGGAATGACTAAGATACATGGGGCCGAGCATGAAAAGACACTGACCGCCAAAGAAAACTTGTGCAGGATCTTGGTTCTACTTGGCGGAGACTATTTCAACGTGGCCGACGGTTTAATGAACCATGTGCTTCAAACCCGCAAGACCAAGCTCGGAAAAGAACATCCGCAAACGCTTCTAGCAATGGCCAATTACTCAATTGTAAAGTGCGGCATCGGCGACTTTGATGCGGCAGAGAAACTGATATCGCTCGGCTTGCCTATTGCCGAGAGAAATCTGGGTGAGAACCACATCGGTGCCCTTTTTGGCCGTCAAATTCTAGCCTGCATACTTATGCAGCAAGACAGGCTGACTGAGGCGGAAGAGATGTTGCGTCAAGTCACTGAAAAGCAGAAGAGTATGGAGTCGAGACGTGGAAACTATCACCCTGATCGACTGGGAGCACTTATTGATCTCGCTCGCTGCTGCTATTTACAAGGGAAAATTGCCGAAAGCATTAGAACCTGTGAGGAAGCGCTACAGGGTTTCACATCTATCAGCATCCAGGAACACCCTCTGGCATCATTGCTAAAAGCTGCCAGAGAGCAAATGCTGAGACAAGAGGGCCAGGCAAATGACAATGTGCAGGATGCTCCACAAGCTAACGTCATCTTCCCTGCTATATTCTTCAAGTTCCCAGAAGATTGATGAGCTTGAACGCATATTGAAACGACTCTTGATCTAGATGTTTTGGGTGGATTTGATTCATCGGGCAGTAAAGAGACATTGACTGGGAACTATTCAAGAACACCGATCCCCTTTCCGCCCTTTATTGTTCGGGCATTCATAACTATTTCTTATTCTGCTCAGTTTGCAAGGCGTCTGGAATCCAGAATACAAGAATTAATAGCGGAATTGCCCATTTCTCCGAAATAGCATCCTTACAGTTATGACTCAAACCCAGCTTGTTATCCGGGTTGTTTTTAATCATGGAGTTGTAAATGGTTGTCTGGTTGATGATGGAGAGAGAGTACAGTGTACTATTGGGAACTGTTTCACTGTAAACCAAGAACAAGAATGAGTTGGACTAGATGAATTGACGCTTGTCTGGTATTCGCCAAAAGCCTCGAGGGCATTAACTGGTGGTGGTCTCTACCGTATTTGTTGGCAATTAAACTTTGGACCTGACGATTGAAGATGTCATTCTCAGGGCATTCCGCTACGCGTTGGAAGCCAGCGAGCTGCGCCTGAAGTTTGTCATGTTTTTTAGGTCGTTGCATATAATTGCGAGCCGGCTTTTTACGGCCGTCTTCGAGGTCAGATTATTTCGTTTTACCAATACGGGCTCCATGGTTTCCCAACTCGCTTGGATCAGCCGATGCGTCCAGGCCAGGCGGTGTCAGTGAGCTCCTTGCTTTGACAACCGGATGGTCACCAAGAGTAGTCGCCGTGTGAAGTTGAGTTATCCGTTAGTCAAATGTAGTAGGTGTTCAGTAGACAATAAATCGTGAGTTTAGTCAAAGCCAGGGATCAACAGCAGTTGGGAAACGGGGTCTTGTGCATGTTGGTTGGACTTCCTTCAGGTCGTGGATCATGAGTCCGACATGCTCAGTACCTTGTTGTAGTCCTTGTGCACCAGTTAAACATGAGTGGAGGCTCCGAGTTCACCGTGGATTTGAGCACGACTAGGAATGTGTTGTCACCTGGTGGCCGGTCTGCCTTTGCGGCTCCAGCTTATAAACAATCGGGAGAATTTTATATCTTCTCAGTTTATGGACTCTAGATACGCAGGGTAGGCGTGTGTTCATGCAGAAACTTTGTACTTGCGGTACACCACCCCACAGAGTTGCTGTGCCTTTGTTGCTGCACTGCACACTACCAAAAGTAACAGGGCATAAAGCAGACGAGGTTGGTACACGTCAACACAATCAGAGCCAACCTGAACTATATGCCCAGCAATTAGAACATGTTGTTTTCATGATGGCGCAACACAAAATTTGGCCGTTGCTTGCACCGCCGCTTTGGCGTAGTGTTCGCCCTGGACACTTTCTTGGGCGAATCTCACTCTGCGGAACCAAATTCTATAATTTATTGCAGGTAGACAAACAAATGATCAGTCAAGTTCAACACAGTCGCTGTAATAGCCATATCATCCTCTGCTTGCTGGTCTGCCTGCACCGCCAAGTCAAATTGACCCCCGACCACGTAAGCCGCGCATTCGGTCAGACATTTGGACCCAGGGCTGCGGCAGAAGGCAGCAAGTACAGACGCGATCTATACAAAACGAAGTGGTATCTTCTAAAGCAAGCCAACGCCCACTAATATGCCTACGCATCATTATGAGGCTCAACACGAGGCAGTCCCCCAACTCCCCCAGCCACCATGCCAACCATGACCACCGACGGTGCACACACCGAGCCTCTTCTACTGCCAATAACGTCGGCATCTCGATTTTGAAGTAGCGGTGTTCTCTCATTATCAGAATGCCCTCTTTCGGATTCGACTCCAGAACTGGACCACCCCCAACCCCTTGACGAGGTGCGGATCAGGCGCCGCAGCCGGGAACTCCGTGGCTGCGTACACGTAACTAGTTCGTAGCGGATGTGGTCAACCGTCGAAAGCCACGTTGCGTTGCTCGGCGTCGTCGAGGGCGATCGTTTGCGGAACCACGTTTGCCACGCCCTCGGTAGCCCGAATGCGCTTGCAACCACGTCGTCGGGAAGAAGTCGAAGCAAGACAGCAACAGGCATACACAGTGCGCCAAGAAATATCGAAATCATCCATTCCTTGACCGAAAGCGGCGTTGTTGAGAGTGCGATTCCACCAATGGTCACAATGAGAACCTGGCCCAGGATGATGATGATGTTGACAACAATGAAGTAGACATTTTTGTGCAGGCCCTCAAAAATGTTGAGCTTGTTGTCTAAACGGCGGTTGCTGCAGGTTGATTAGTACTACCATCTGCTGTTGGGTGAATTGAATGACTCACTTGTATAGATTGAATAGCTGCATCCATACAAAGGTATTGAACACAAATGTCTCCAACGTAGCCGCCTCGTCTGACCTCACGAGCTTCAGAAGATCGGCCCCCTTGAAATCGAGTACGAACATGACGAGCAGTTGGTATATTGCCTGTCCGATAATCATCTTCCACCCGGTAATCGATATCATCGGCGTGGCTTTGGTATCCGGGGCGCGCTGAAGGACAGAAGGATTTGCCGGGTCAGTCGCAAGCGCCAGCGCTGCTAGCGTGTCCATAATCAGGTTGATCCAAAGCAGTTGGGCAGGCGATATGATGGATTCGCCTGTGCCGCTGGACACAGATGATACGAATGTGAGGGTGACGGCGGTGATGTTTGCCGTGAGCTGAAACTACGCAAGCGTTTAGTTTTCACCATCTTGATGTCGGGACAGTCTGCAACCTACATGGAGGAACTTCTTCACTACGTCGTTAATACTCCTGCCCCACTCAATAGCGCTTACAATGGATGAAAAGTTATCATCCATGAGAACGATGGACGATGCCTCCTTGGCGACGTCTGTGCCGGATATCCCCATCGAGAAGCCCACGTCTGCCGTCCGTAGTGCCGGCCCGTCATTTGTCCCATCGCCAGTGACGGCCACGGTCTCACCCAGCTCTTTGAGTCGCTGGACAAGTGTCTTCTTGTCCTCGGGGCTAGATCGAGCAAGAACCTGTAGTTTGGGGAGAAGATCGTACATCTCGGATGCAGACAGGTTTCTGAATTGGGACCCTTCCATGGCGATCCCGGAATCGGTTAAAATACCACATTCTCGCGCAATCGCGCGCGCAGTTTGGATGTTATCACCCGTAACCATTCGAACCGACACTCCTGCCTGGGCACATTGCGCTATGGCATTGGTAACTTCGGGTCTGAGAGGGTCATGAATCGCTAGCGTCCCCAGGAATGTCATGCCGGTAAGAAGTTGCTCCCACATCTCATCCTCGCTCGATGTGCTTGTTGGTGGCCAGCAGACAATATCCTTGTAGGCGAATCCGATGGTCCGTAGTGTAAGCCTTCCATAGGACTCGACGTTTTGGAGAAGAGATTGGTAGCGGTCAGGGGTGAGGGTTGCATCCTCCGTTAGCGGTAGGGTTGCATTATACAAGACTCGGTCGCATTTTCGCAAGATGACTTCAGGAGCACCTTTCAAGTACAGTCGGTGCAGGCCATTCGCTTGGAGGGCCACAGTAGCCATGTACTTTCTCCTAGAGTCGAACGGACAGGCCTGTACGATGTGCGTATTTGCCCGCTCCTCCTGCAATGGCTGCATACCCAGCCACGTTCTTGCAAAGGTGACAAGCGCGACTTCAGTGCTGGATCCAATAAAGGTCGCTATTCCATCTACTACCCCCTCTGATGCTGTCGAGTTCGTAGAGATTGACTGCATCAAGACGTCCCGAACTAGCGGATCGACCGACGACCGGAATCTAACGAGCGATGAGGAACTCCCTAGACCGGAGTAGCACGGTTGATTACGCTCATCTGGAGAACTCGGATTCTCCTCCATTCCCTGGTGTCCCAGGTCATCAAACGAGCCGTCCAATCCAACACAGCCAGCTGCGACAGCCATTTTATTCATGGTAAGCGTTCCGGTTTTGTCAGAGCACACCACGGTTGCGTTGCCCATTGTTTCACACGCCGAGAGAACCCTGACCAGATTGTTGTCCTTGAGCATTCTTGTGACGCCGATTGCGAGAGCGAGAGTTACAGCTAGCGGTAGGCCTTCGGGAACGGCAACAACAATGATGCTTATTGATATCATGAACACCCTGAGGAACATCTGCACAAGCTCAACAAAGGACCGGTCAGAGCCCGGTAGCTGAACGAGGATTTCGATGCCAAGGACTCCAAACAACAAAACAGAGACGGTCACGCCGGCCACGGCTATCCTGTCCGCTATGTCACTCAGTTTCTTCTGCAACGGCGTGGCTTCCGTCCTCTCGGTAACGTCCATCTTGAGTCGGCCATACATGCTATTGACCCCAACTCCGGTGACCAAGTAGGTGCCCATTCCTTTCAAGACTTTGCTCCCAGAGATCATGAATGGGTCTATATCCTTGGCGACCTCGCCAATGTCCAGTCTCGACAGCGCAGTATTCAAAGGCGTTTTGGTAATGTGATCCGATTCACCAGTGATGGACGACTCATCACACCGCACTGAGAACCCCGTCACTAGCACGCCATCGGCCGGGATCACACTGCCGGCGGAGACGTGGAGAATATCGCCGACGAGTATGTCGAAAACAGATATTTCCGTACTCTTCCCAGAACGTATCGCTTCCACAACCCGGTCTTCGGTCTACGGCATGGTCAGAAATTGTTCCTAGCCATTCGCTGCGCCGTCGGCCATGGGACAAGACACACATCCCGAGGCACAAAGGGGTAGCGATGATGTACGTACCTTTTTGACGAGACGGGCAAACTGCTTCTCTTTTTGGTAGTCGTTGACTGCCCCTGTTACTACAACAATGAGAACGGCCGCCATGATGGTCAAGCTGTCCACCCACTCAATCCTCGGCTGCCCTGGCAGATGTGGTTGGAACAGAGCCTGATATACCCCGATGAACAATGAGATGCCGGCGACAATACACAGCAGAACCAGGACCTTGTCGCTCAACGCAAGCATCATCAGCTCGAGGATGCCCTTTGTCTTCTTTGGCGGTATCTTGTTGACACCGTATATCTCGACTCTACCTTGATGTGGCCCGTGTATCCCTTGCTCCAGTGACGGGCGGCCAGCATCAGACGATGATACGTCCTCACACAGGCCGGCATGTAAATCAGTTTGCAAACCTTGAGCCAGGCCATTGAGTCCGCCGAGGGCCTCGAGCTCCGCTATGCTCTTGGAAGCAATGGTCCCGGCCAAGGCCTTTGGCGACAAAAGAAACGGCGCACCGCACGTGCTAGAATGGGACAGGCGCCGACTACTTGACCTGCCGTGGACGGCGAAGGTGCTGCAAGACGAGGCAGAGTAGGTCCTCATGGCGGAGAAGACGGGTGAGATGGTCGTGGCCGACGTGTTGTCCGGGTCTACATCTGCGCAATCTATCACGGGTATCTGGAGAGCTGTTTGACGATCAGGTGTCCTGCCGGAAGACGAGGCAGACGGCGTTTGCAGATGGCTGTTTTGAACAACGACCTCGTCCTGATGGAGCGTTAGACGCCGTATGGACCAGGGCCGGCGCACAAACTTACAGCAGGATGTATTGCTATTGTAGGAGCTCTCTTCCGTGACGGAAATTCGGTCTCTGGTGATTGCTCGCCATAGCTGCCAGCCAAGGGCAACATTGCACTCCTCCTGGTACGTCGAGCCGGCTACGCATCTGTCAGCTACCCAAGGGGTTGGTGACGGAAACAGAGGCCGCGACGGAGACTCATCCGAGGAGGCCCGGCTCTTTATTGGATCGATGCGCAGCTGATTGCGCAGAGGCGAAGACAGGGGCGGTGCTCGCGCATCGTGTCCAAGGTACTGGGGTGGCGTGACAAGTGCAAAAACAAGCACCAAGGGAGCAGTCGGTTAAGTGTGCAGGTATAAAAGGACATGGAAGGACCAGACGGAAGCGCGGAAGCTAAGTGGCATGGAGTAGAGACGAGGGGTCGGCGGCTCGTGGAGACGACGTCGACCAGTTGACCCTCAGCTCCGTTGCCCCCTCATGTGAACATTGGCTTCCCGTGGCCAAGTCAAATGACGAGGCGCCGTGGCTTGTCCTGGCCTACCGAGCGATGAACATGGCTGCCGTGAGGCCACTGAGCAAATCGGCAATGTCATGATTTCCACTTGACCTTTTTTTTTCGGCATGGCGCATGGTTGAAGGATCAACGACGCAGTCTGGCAAGGTCGCATCAATCGTCCCACAACGGCTTCGGCAGCAGGAACAGAGCTGCGAGTGATGAATTGTGGTTTCACCAGACACCCCCCGTCATTTACAACCAGACACCGGCAGCCCGGCACAAGGCCTGTAATAGCTGATCTCACAGCTGTGGAGTTTTGCTTGTGGCTGACAACTTCCGGCCCAATCTGGCCCCACAAGCCACTTATGATGAGGACGTCAACGACCGACCGGACAGCTTCTGAACGGGTTGCGACCCATACTTCGGCAAGTGTGGGGACGAACGGGCTGCTGGACCTTCAATGTTGGGCAAGGCAGCATCGAATGGGTCAAGTCACAGGATGGAGTACGGCATAGCATAGTTGAGAGCTTAATACGCGGGGTGGCCCAAGTCAAAACCCCAGCCGCATGCCAGGTGCCTCTTTGGCCGCCTTCTACGGAGTATTCCATCAATGATCAATTGATCTGCATTGACCTCATGGACTCACCATGGAACCTTGGCTGCGGCCTGGAACCGAGTTGGTTGAGCGAAACCAACGCCGGCTCGAGCTATCCATAATTTAGCATTTCGCGCATCAAGCAATGTAACTCGCGGAAAACCCCTGGAACGCCTCGTTTTCCTTCACGGAGGAGAATGTACAGAGTACGGAGTACCTTGCCAGAACAGCGCAGCTTCACACATGTCAACGGTGCACCTGTAACAGGCGTCGTGCTGCCTGGGCCGATGGTGGCTTAGACCTGCCGATGAGACAAGGATGGTCCGTCCATGTCGTCTGAAAAGCATTCATGGCCCATGTGCACCCGTCATCTGCGCCGTGACTGAACATTGAACTGCCAGCACTTGAGGCTTGGCCCGGCTGATTCCCGTCCAAGAGGTGAGCGGGACATAAGCCCCCAAGGACCGTGGCACGGCCACTCTACGCCAACCGTCTCCCAAGCTTTTGCCCGACGGGAACTGAGTTTTCTCGTGTCTGGTCCGGTGTATACATTTTCGAATCCACGGGCACAGCTCGCCAAGCCATAACGCAAAATGGAGACCAGCAACCGGCCGCAGCAGCCCGTATCGACAATCCGGCGGGCGGCCACGAGCACGCTGGCCCGGCTCTTCCATGCCGACTCGTTGCTGGTGTTTGTGCCGTTGGGCTTCGCGGCACACTGGGCGCGATGGCCAGACACGCTCGTCACGCTGAGCAATGTGCTTGCCATCATGCCTCTGTCGGCCCGTCTGTCCGACGCCTCCGACACCATGGGCGACAGATGGGGCAGCTTGATCGGCGGCCTGATCAACGCGACCTTTGGAAACACGGTCGAGCTAATTGTGAGTATATACGCAACACACATGGCGCATGAGAGCCTCGCGACTAAATTCACGACAGGTGGGCATCCTCGCCATCCTTCGACATGAGCCGCGGCTCGCGCAGTCCATGATGATTGGCAGCATCCTCTCCGACATTCTCCTGGTTCGTCAACGCCCGCGGGCGGCCTGATCTTGTTCTAACGACCACAGGTCCAAGGCTGCTGCTTCATCACGGCGGCCCGCGGCACCGGCGTGTTGAACGTCAACTCGGCCGTGGCCGACACCCTGTCCACCCTCATGATCATCACCACGGTGGCGCTTGTCCTCCCGGCGGCGCTGTACTCGACGTTTGCCGCCAAGTCGGGCGGCGAGAGAGACCTCGGCCGCATGGTGCTCAACTTTAGCCGCGCCACGGCCCTCGTGCTTCTCTGCGTCTACGTCGCCTACCTGTACTTTCAACTCAAGACGCACTCGTCCATTTTTGTAGACGAAGACGAGGATGGAGAAGATGACGACCAGCACCATGATGTCTTGCCGTCTTCGTTGCCGCAGAGCCAGGCTGCTGCCGAGGAGGTTCCGCAGACGGATAGGCCCTCCATGGCAGATATTTCTGTCGCTGCGCTGACGCTGCTCGTGTCCGGGCTTCTCATCGCCAAATGCACGGCAAACTTTATGGATTCCTTGAATGGCACCTCGCGCGCCTTGAATATTTCCAAAACCTTCATCGCCATCATCATCATGCCGCTTGCGAGCAACGCTTCGGAACTGGCACAGGTGGTGGCCGCCTCGAGGAATCAAAAGATTGACTTTGCCATTGGCGTCATTATCGGCAGCATCCTGCAGATATCGCTGTTTGTCTTGCCGTTGCTGGTGGTCGTGGGATGGATACTACGCCTACCCGTGGATCTCTACTTTGAGCCGTCGCAAACCTACATTCTTCTTTTGGCAGTCATCATGGTCAACCAAGTGCTCCAAGACAAGCATTATACTTTTTTACACGGGACATTGCTTATAGCAGTGTAAGATGTACCGATTTTCTGCGTAACAAGACACCGCTAATTTCCATCTCTAGCTACGTTGTCATCATGGCGGCTTACTTTACATGACTGCTTCTAATCCCGATACATGCCGCGAATCTTGTCGACACTCAAAAACGACGAATTCCCAAGGCAGATAGGCTGGTTTTGGTAACATCGGGTCGGACATATAACGCAATGGCAATAGATAGGTACCTAGTGGACATTCAATGTTAGCAAACCCCGGCGGCAGGCGTCGGCTTATTGCAAAGTACATACGTCCCCATGAGCATGATTCCTTCGAAATACGTCGTTTTTCCATGCTGCACCAGGTACGTCATGGTCAAGATGGCCATCAAGAATATGACGGCTTCGAAAAGTCCAAAACTCAGTTTCATAGGCTCGCCCACCGCCCAGCCAAGCAGGACCAGCATAGGCAGGATGAAGAGCTCCGTGTCGAAAACGTTGGTCATGATGGAACGGATGGCAAAGTCGAGACGGCCCATGCCACTCGGCAACGCATCGGGGCTGGATCGAGTGTGCCTGATGATGGTAACCGCCTTCATCAAGCTGCCGGCCTGGGGCACCACGACCAGCGCCACAAAGGACTCGGACACGCCCAGAGCCTTGGTAGCTCCAGCCAAGCTCCGTACCAGATAATAGCTACACAAGGCCGTGAGTGCAAGAGCCCCCAGACCCACGAGGGTCATGTTCACATGAGATGGGCCAGATCCACGGCTCGACCCGGATACAGATGAGACGCCGGTACTGGTCCGGCTGAGACGGGGGGCGTTGGGGTTCCGGGGAAAGATGCGATTGTGCGTTCGGAAGCGAAACACAAGGTATGCCAGGAACAGGAACATTTGGACGAGGGACGTGGCGCGCGACAGAAACAGAGGGTCCCTGTTGACCTTGTCGGCGTGGTGCTTCTCCTCGACAGCCATGGCAATCACGGTCGGGATCGCGAGGCAAATGGAACCGCTCATGACGAGGGACGACATGATGGAGGTCCGGGTTCTGCTGAAGGGCTCCTTTTTCTTCCCGTAGCTAGCCACGAGAAAACTGAAGCCCAGCACCTGCGCAGTGGTCCTTTGGTCAGCAGCAGCCCGCGAGTTGGCACGAAGACGGAATGGGGCTCTGGGAGGCGCACAAAGAGGCAATATGTCAGAATACTTCCAATCATGATCCATTGCGCGAGCTGCGCTTTGCCCTGCAGCAAGGCGCACATGCCGAGCTAGAAACGCAGTAGAGTTAATCGACGAGAAAGCACACTGCCGGGTCCTCGCGTCCGTACCGTAAGTTCAGTAGCATTTCCAAAGACGGCGCGCAGCAGTCCGCCGAGCAGGGCGTAGTCGGCGGTAAATGCGAGAATGGTGTAGAGAACCAGGGCGGAAAGAGGCACGAGGGCGATAAAATTGAGGGCGAAGACGACGACGACGTGAAGACGCAGAAAGCCCGCCGCTATGCCCGCGGGAGCAAACACCAGCAGCGCCTTGGTCGGGCTGGAGTAGAGCTCCTGCAGCAGAGTCGCGATCTCTTGGTAATGCGTTTCTGTCCGCATCCGCAGAAACATGGACTGGGTCCTGGCGACGGGCGGTATCGACTCGTCTCTTCCAGGCGCCTCGGCGTCGTCTGCGGCTGCCCTGCCTTCGGCCATGGCGCGTCGTCGAGCTCGAATGCTTGCTGCGAGCTGTGGGTGGCTATCGGCGCCGGGCATCGTTGGAGTGTTGACGCTATCTAGACTATCTCCAAGGACGACAAGCCAGTGCTTGGCGTTTATGGGGGGTTCGAGATGGAGCCTCAAGGGGCCATGGGCCGGCTCGACGGCCAATCTGACGTCTGGTCTGGTCAAGTGCAAAATGGCACGCTGATTGACCCTTTGTGACGTGGTCTGGCGGGGCGACGTGCTCGATGATCCAAAGCAGTCCGTCCATCATCTGCACGCCGTCACGGAACCTGGCCGCGTTTGTGAGACAGTGTAATTAATTCTTGACCCTGGCTGAGCAACTCTCAGCTTCCGGGTGACTGCAGCCAAAAGGTGCCGTTTGATCCAGTAACCCTGGCGACTTTTGCATAGCCACTGCAAGCTTGGGCGCATCAATCGATGACGGCTCCACCGAGGTTGGACATCAAAGCATCAATTGATGATGCATTTGCTCTGTCTGACCGGTGGTAGACTGGCAGTGCGCTTTGCTTTGTCCAACATTGAAGCAAGCACCGAGTAGTTGTGCCAGAGAGTGAGCCGTCTGGTCTCTCTGGGCCCTCAAAACACCCGCCAAGCATCACCATGAGTCCAGAGACGCAGAGCCCGAGGGACGACGAGACGCGGCCGCTGCTTGCCACCACGCAAAATGGCCAGGCCACGCGCCGAAAAGACCTACTGCAGAGCGCACGCAAAGAGGGCACGCACGCCTTGATGGCAGCCCTGACGTGCAGCTATTCCAACGTGCTGCTTCCCTGCGTGCCTCTGGGCCTCATGGCCGGCGGATGGGGATGGCCGCCGGCCGCCGTCTTCGTCCTCAACTTCCTGGCCATGCTGCCGCTGGCTTCGATCCTCACCTTTGGAACCGAGCAGCTGGCTGCCATTGTAGGTTCCGTGGCCGGCGGCCTGATCAACGCCACGTTTGGCAATGCAGTAGAAATGATTGTACGGTCCCCTCTGCCCGCGTCCACGCAAAACCATGTGCTCACCCTCACATAGGTGGGAATAAGTGCCTTGAGAGAGAATGAAATATCCATCGTCCAGTCGAGCATGATTGGAAGTATTCTGTCTTCTATTCTGCTGGTCAGTGAAACTCACCCTTCCGTCTTGTCGCTTTGCTCATCAAGGTTATAGATTCTCGGAACGTGTTTCCTGCTCGCTGGCCAGGGGAAGAAGTCAGTCGACATCAACGTCGACGTCGCTGGCGTTTTGACATCTCTCATGATTATATCCTGCGTATCGCTCATCATGCCCTCGGCGCTGCACATGTCGGACCCCAACCGTGGCGGCTCCAACGACCATCCCAGCGAGCACGTTTTGCTCCTGTCGCGCATCACCGCCGTCATACTGCTCTTGTTTTACCTCATTTACCTGTACTTTCAATCGGTCACGCACGCGGACCTGTTTAGCGAGGAGGAGGACCAGCCTGAGGACAAGCTGCACGGCCTGTCCAGCAGCATCATCCTCGTGCTTGCCACTCTCGGCGTCTCCTTTTGCTCTGATGCGCTCGTCGATAGCGTCGATGGCTTCGTCGAAGCGCTAGGGGTCAGCAGAAGCTTCATTGGCCTCATTATTGTGCCGATTGTCGGCAACGCAGGGTGTCTGGTCGGGACGGTGCAGTGGTCGAGGTCGGATCGCGTCAATCTCGCCGTGTCCGTGATTGTCGGGGCGACGCTGCAGATTTCGCTCTTTGTCACGCCCTTTCTCATCGTGGTTGGCTGGATCATGGGCAAGCCCATGTCGCTGCAGTTTGACACGTTTGAGACGATTGTGTTGACCATGTCGACGCTGGTTGTGAACTGTATAGTGCACGATGGGTCGACGAATTACTTTGAGGGCTTGTTGCTGGTGAGCACGTAAGTGGTGCCGTTTATACCCGTTGACGTTTTGTATGATCTTCTAACTGTTTGTAGGTATGTGATTATCGGTATAGCTTTTTTTGTTCATCCGGATGCGGTCGCAACTTCATCGTGACTAGGCATGTCTCCTCGGCGCTGGGGCTTGCTTTCGGATTTGAATTTGGTCAGCTTGATGCGGTATACTAGAAAATAAAGATGATTCGGCATTGGTTCTGTTTTTGCTACAAAGGTTGTCAGGGACTAGAGATGTCTGCGTTCAATGTTGCTTTAGAAGCCTCGGGCCTCGGGCTGGCCGTTACCGACGCGGTGGCTTTGGCTCTTCTTTGCCTTTTAACCAAGCTGCGCTCCTATTTGGTTCAATGTTACGATGGTAGGACAACGAATCGGGTGTTTAAACCGCTCATGGTGGTGCTTGCAACGATTTTTCTGGTTGCAAGCATTACCATTTGTAGCCCTTGCAGTGCACGACCAAACCCGATTCCTCGCCATATTCTTTTCTCCTCTGGAAATATTTGCTTTCTGGTCTAGGGGTATACATCTCACATGCATCTCAGACGGCCGCTTACGCCGCTGATGCATAACGCTATGCATCACGGTGTCATCAAGTCATTGCTGACGATTCACCGCCTTCCAAGGTCCTTGCTCATCTCATCACAACATTTCAATACCTCCTCTGGCCTTGATCGTTTACTTGGAGCTCCAATCATGTCTCCAGCTTTGGTTCATACACGGCAACCGCTGCGACTCGACACTAGCCGATCAACACTGGCCGTGGTCCAGACAAAAGGCATCCGGGACAGTCTGCGAAGGCTCTCGCCCAGCGAGACATTTGAGATTGAGACACTACACATCTTGGACAACAAGGACAAGTCTACGGCCCTCTACGACTTTGGCCAAAAGAGCCTTGAACAGCCGAGTTGGAAGAGAAGCTGACGTCGGGCCAATTGGACATGGTCGTGCATTGTCTCAAAGGTACGAAGCTCTACCGTCCCATTTTTGCCCAGAGCCAACGCCCGTCAGATATATCAAGGTCGATTCCCGGCTCGTGTGACCTCTGACGAATGATCAAGCCTCAGAATTGAGGTGGGATCTTGCCGCAGGGCTCATAGACGGGCTTTCGGACCTAGATAGATGGATGAATTGACATTTGTTAAGCAAATCATCTCTTCCCGGTCAGGCTGCTTCGTCTTTGAGAAACGCCAACGAATGTTGTGACCGGATTTCGGAGCTCAGATGTCAAACCGGCCATCCCGTGCCGCTTCCCCGCTTACACGCCACAACATGGCCGACGAATCAATATCATGTCCATCTCTACAATGTAAGACTTGCTCAATACCTATAGTCCGCTTCGTCCATTTCCCCAAGAACAACTTTCCCATCTCGCAAACATATCTCCCAATGGACAAAGCTACACTCGAGCCGGCGATGGAGACCGGCCCAGAAAAGGCCAAAACATCCTGGCAGGAATACGCCTATATCAAAGAATTGCCAGACGACATTGCGCCATTCAAAGAACTACTCCAGCAGTACAGCAAAGTCCCTCCGGACAAGGTTGACGAATTACTTCTCCGCACCGTACGTCACACCCCAGCAATTGATGCGCAATGCCATGGCCGCCGCTGATACGACCCCCATCAATTGACAGCGAGACCGGCTCTGGGACGTGGTCAACTATCCCTGCATCGGCCTCTGGGCCTTTACCAAGCTGCACAGCACCACAGACTCGCGCTTCGAAGCCGCCACGCAGCGACTCCTCGCCGAGGACCCCGTCGAGTCCGGCGGCACAAGGCCCGCCATCCTCGACATCGGCTGCTGCATCGGCCAGACCCTTCGCCACCTCGCCCACAAGGGCGTGCATCCCTCGCGCCTGTACGGGACAGACCTGCGCCCCGAGTTTATACGCATTGGAAACGAGCTCTTTGGGGACGAGCAGCGAGGGCTTACCTTTGTAGCGGGGGACGTGTTGAATGCCGACGACAGCAGCATGAAGGAACTAGATGGCAAGGTGACACTGATTCACGCCGCGTACTTTTTTCATCTTTTCACGTGGGACGACCAGGTCAGGATCGGCGAGCGCATGGTGCGCTTCCTGCAGCCGGGGACGAGCGACGCCGTCGTTTTCGGGAGGCACATTGGCACGCTGAGGCCCCGGGAGTTGGAGGTCCCGACCACACGTGCGTCCAGGTGCTACCTCCATGACGGGGAGAGTTTCCAGAGACTGTGGGATGAGGTGGGCAGCAGGACGGGCACGAGGTGGCGCGTGGAGGCGGAGATGGCGGACCGGCTGCACGTGCGGTTTCCGTTTTTTGGCGACGACGAGAAGTACATGTCCTTTGGGGTTTACCAGATATAATCTCAATGTAGTGTTTGGTATAGTATCCTAGTATAACATGTCTATATATTTTTTGAATTACGTGTGGCTGTAGCTTATAATTCTCGTCATGCACACACGCCGCTGTTTACAAGTCTATTACATGACTATTCGCTTGCTCAAGTTTCAAGCGCTCATGGCATCTAGCGCGACGGTGATGTGAAACGGCTGATACCAGACCGTCACAATAAGGAATAGGCTTCCAACGTTGGTCACACGTTGAACTCGTCAATCACGCTCCGCGGCTCGGTGAACGGCACGCCGCCGTCCACCGGGGCCATGTTCAAGCCGAACCCTGCCGGGCCGCCAATGGCCATGGCCGCGTCCGTCTTCCACAGCGGGTGGGCAGGCAGGGCAATGACGCTGACGCGCAGGCCGAACCGCAGGTCCTGGGAGCCAATGGCCTCGCCGTCGTGGCCGAGAATGGAAATCAGCTCGGGCACGGTGGCGACGACCTGCTGCGATTCCGGGGCGCCCGCGTCGTCGCAGAGCGCCGCGTACAGGTACTCGTTCTGGAAGGGGATGATCATGTGGCCGTCGGGCTGGGCGGGCTTGGACTCGGCGTCGCGCTCGTCGGCGGCAAAGGGGGCCAGGACGACGGCGCCCATGGTGTAGCCGCCGTCGAGGTGGCGCTGGACGTCGACGATTTTGCCGGTGAAGAGGACTCTGCCGGCGCAGACGTCAAACTAGACGGGGCCGTCGATGTTAGCTGGTGCCCCACGTGGTAGACTTCAAATTGTCATGAATCGGTCTGGACGTACAATGGCGTCCGTGTAGCTCGTCTTGGCTCGCCTGGCTTGGTGGACAGCCCGTCCCAGGTACCAGCTTTGGGAGAGCGTGTTGGGCACCGCGACGCTCTTTGCCATGGCGCCCGAGATGGGGTTTGTGCCGCAGGCGCAGCTGAGGCCGAGCTCTACGGCTGCGTTGCGGCAAATCGTCTCGAGGCGCTTTGCGCTGTCGACACCCTGGCGGACGAGTTAGCGACGGCCTTGGTCACTCATGTGTCTGGTGTATCGGGAGGTGCTCACCATGGCGACAACAGCGTTGCCGCGGGCGTCTGTGATGACGGCAGGCGTCATTTCGTGCCCGTACACGCTGAATGTGACTTGGGGCGGCCGGTTAGCGTGCCGTGTAAACTTTGATGGTGATTATGCGAGGGACGCCAGTCTTACTATGATACATGGTTGGATAGGCTCTCCCCATGCCGTCGCAATCCAGGACCGGAACGTCAAAGTAAGTGCCGACAGGAAGGGCGGAGAGGCCGTTTCCACCGCCGCTGGCTTCACGGTTAGTTTTTCACAGACTCACTAGCAATGGTAGGAATTGGGGGCGCCGAGAACGCACATCTCGTCGGCAAGAACGGCATCAAACGTCTCTATGTGCTGGATCCTGTTGACAGCCTTGATGGCATCCACGATTTCGTTGCCCGCAGCAATGCGTTCGTTGATCACGCTCGGGCTGCCATACCACGTGCCGAGGCATACAACAGCATCGTCCCTCAACGACTTGGGAGAGATGATGCGCATCCGGCCCTTGTCATTGTTGCTCAGGCACTGCAGACTCTTCAAGTACTCGTAGTACGTTGGGCCGCCGCCGCCGGTGCCCAAGATGGCACACCCCGTCGAGATGAGTTCGAGGTCGATATCCGACGGGTACCAGGTGCCGCCTCGCACGTCCGGACGGTATGTGGCCAAGTCGACCCCCAGCGAAGGCTTGGTCGTCGGGTGGAGGGCATTCGGGACGCCGACCTTTTCGCCCTCGTCTTGCTCGTCATCGTGGCCGTTTGCCTCGTCGCCGCTCCCAGGCGCCTCGAACAAAGTCACGTCGTCGGGAATAGCTAGGGTCCCCACGGCCCGGACCTGGATCCGGATCGTCACCTGCGACATGTACTGGAGCGGCATCTTGTTCACCTCGACAATCTTGACGTCGTCCGGCCGGGCCCCCTTGGCAATGGCCTGGTCAATGGCCCTTTGGCACGCCGCGGCAATCACTGCCTTTTCATCCTTGCCCTCCAGGATCTCGACGGTGTCGACCTCGCCTGAGATTTTGCCAATGGCCGCGCCGACAGCGTTGGCCGCGCCCTGGTGGATGGGCTCGATGCACTTGTCGACGCCGGCAATCTTCTCCGTCACCAGGATGGAGCCGCCGCCGACGAGGAGGACGTGCACCGGCGCCGTCGACACCTTCATCTTGTCGATGACGGTCTCGAGGAGCGCATTGATGCCCCTGCGGCCGCCCTCGCGAAGCTCAGCCGCCACGTCCTTGACCAGCGAGGCATCGCCGAGAGAAGCCCTGCCCTCGGCGACGACAATGTCGGTAGCGGTCAGCGTAGGACCCCCAAAGACCTTGGCCTGGGACAGCAGCTCGTGGCCTACGGATCCGGGGCCGACGGACACGGACTGCGGCGCGTCCGGGTCAACTGTGACTATACTGCCGCCGCCCAGGCCAATCGAGACGACTTCGGGGATGGAAAAGGCGGTTCGGACACCCGCAACCTCCACAAACCCGGGGGCCTGACGTGGAAAGCCAGAGGGCAGAAGCGCGCAGACATCCGTGGTTGTGCCTCCAATGTCGACAACAAGAACCTGAGGCTCGACGGCGTCGTTGGCAGGAGCATCGCCAACACCGGGCAGCCCACAGGCATCGAGCTTCGACTCGACGCCATTCACCACCGGGCCCTTGCCGGCGCCATGCCGATCCAGGCCGGCGAGAAAGGCCGCTCCGCTCATGCTGTTGGTCGGCCC